TATATTCTGTAGCCAAGAAGGCTCAAAACCTTGCCAAACTACAACTCTCAGGATTCCATTGCTTTGAGACATGGCAGTGAAAGCAATGTTAAATGTCCTCCTTTACGAATATACCTTTTTCATTGCTATCTCATCCAGAGTTGTATCATTTTATGTCGTACATTTGGCCCGCCCACTTGTATTTGATTTTTCACTTTGTAGTTTGCACTGTTTTATTTTATTCTTATGTTCTACTTACTTTATTGTGATGTTATTTTTGCTGTTCTGTAGTTAAGGAAAACCTGGTGGGGTATAAATAAAGATTATTATTATTATTATTATTATTATTATTATTATTATTAAACCACATTAACTCTACAGTATGGATGCACCCCAAGTGAAAGTTTTTAACAGACACACAGAAAGGCGGTAGTGGAAACTCTACAGAAGTAAACAAAGGAACAGATACCATTCCCAATGCAGGAGAGGCCAGGAGTAGAGAGAAAACTGGCGTCTGAAGGGCAAGATGGATGGATGGCATCCTTGAAGTGACTGGACTGACCTTGAGGGAGCTGGGGGTGGTAACGGCCGACAGGGAGCTCTGGCGTGGGCTGGTCCATGAGGTCACGAAGAGTCGGAGACGACTGAACGAATGAACAACAAACCATTCCCAATGCAGGAGAGGCCAGGAGTAGAGAGAAAACTGGCGTCTGAATACCGTCATCTTGTGATGATGGTATTCAGCCGGTAGGTTGTTAGGAATTGTGGGAGTTGAAGTCCAAAACACCTGGAGGGCCAAAGTTGCCCATGCCTGATGTAGACTGTAGAATGGATGCAGCTTGGCATCACCTGAACTAGGGGATCTTTTGAGTTGGCCCTGTTTGGCAGGGAAGGCTAAGGACCTTGGAAAACTACAACTACTACTATTCCATAGCCTGGAGCCATGGCAGTTAAAGCGGTGTCACGCTGCATTAATTCGGCTGTGTGTCAGCATCTGTGGGAGAAATGGCCGGTGGGCACCATTGGGGTTTTGAAACAAGAAAGGTTCTGGAGGAAGGAAAGAAAGTGAAGGAGAGACATTTGGTGAAAGGGAGATGCTGGCTTGCAAACCAGGGACCAGAGCCAGTCCCTGGGTTCAGTTGCAGAACCTCTTTGACCCCAGATTCATGCACACATATATGAATCATTGTAGGCATGAAAAACAACCAAGTTCCTCCATCCAATCCATTCTGCTCCATTCTCTCCATTCACTGAGCAAAGGACCTGTCTTATTGCAAATCTTCCTGACTCTCAAATGCCATCCGCCTAAACAATCAAGTCTTGCAGAAATCTTCCTGATGGGTAATCAAGAAATCTGCTTTTTGGAATGACGGTGGTAGCGCCAGCAATGATGTAGGTGGTGACATTACAACGTGTCCCTCCAGGTTTAATCCAAAACATACGTCGAAAGGAAATCCTCAAAGAGAGGGTCACAAGTGTAGAGTCAGGCTCTTTGGAACGCCTCCTTGAGGTCTAGAGGCATGGATTGAATCCACACCACGTATGGACCCACACCCCAGCCACAAAATACTATGAAATCTGAAATATAGCATATATATTCTGTACCTCTGATGGGGAAACTGGTGCCATTTTTGAATCAGTGGGTCTCCTTTGGGAGAAATAAAGCTGGGTATAAATAAATATAATAATTATATAAATACACATAATAGTAATGCTGATAATAATAGCAATAACAACAACAAATGCGTAGCATTCTACAATACATTCTGGAATATATGGCATTATATGGAAGCTTGCACTATAAAAAACATGCAATGTCAAATCATCACATCACATGCAAATATTAGAATTTTTAAAAGGCCCCTTCTACACTGCCATAAAATCCAGATTATCAATAATAATAATAATAATAATAATAATAATAATAATAATAATAGTTTTCTTTCTTACCCTCCACTCCCCATCCACATTATCTGCTTTGAACTGGATTATATGAGTCTACACTGCCATATAATCCAGTTCAAAGCAGATAATCTGGATTTTATATGGCTGTGGAGAAGGGGCTATAAGACCCAGTAAGAGCTTCTGACTCTGACCTAAACTTTCTGGAAAGTGTTTCAGGCCCCTTTTACACTGGGACATAAAATCCAGATTATCTGCTTTGAACTGGATGATACGAAGTGTAAACTCATATAATCCAGTTCAAAGAATATAATCTGGATTTTATATGGCAGTGTAGAAGGGCCCATAGGAGTCAACAAAAAAAACCACTCATGCCAGGAACTTATGAAGGAAGGAATGCCCCTGAGCATGAACAGAGTGGTTCTATCTTTATTCCCGAGAAGCTCCATCCTCTATTATTTCCTTTCTCTATTTTCTGGACTTTTGGGTTAAGCAGGTTGGACTACATGAGCTTTGGGGATTCCTGCCAGACTGGGAAATACTGGGAAATGTGTTTTCGAAGGCTTTCATGGCTGGAAAGACTGGGTTACTGTGAGTTTTTCGAGCTGTATGGCCATATTCCATCAGCATTCTCTCCTGACGTTTTGCCTGCATCTGTGGCTAATGGTATCTTCAGAAGTCTGTTGGAAACGAGGCAAGTGTGATGTATATATAACTGTGTAATAATGTAAACGGTGGAAGAACTCTGGTCTATTTTAAGCAAGTGTGTATGTGGCAATTAGCCAGCTTGATTAGCATTGAGTTGCCTGGCTGTTACTGCCTGGAGGCATCCTCTGTTTGGGAGGTTTGCTGGCATTTGATTGTATGCTGTCTGGAGTTCCCCTGTGTCTTTATTTACTGTCTTGATTCTGGTGTTTTTTTTAATACTGGTAGCCAGCTTGTGTTCATTTTCATTGTTTCCTCCTTTCTGTTGAAATTGCCCACATGCTTGTGGATTTCAATGGCTTCACTGTGTAGCCTAACATGATGTTTGTCTGAGTGGCCCAGCATTTCTGTGTTCTCAAATAATATTCTCTGTCCAGGTTGGTTCATCAAGTGCTGAATTAGTCTGGATACCCAATTCTAGTCAAGCTGGCCAATTGTAATATTGACATTTGCTTCTTTTTCTCACCCTGGACATTATTCCATAGGTGTGTGTGTGTGTATACACATACACTAGCCACCCACTGCCATGCATTGCTGTGGCCTAGTCTGGTGATCTGGAAAATAAAGTAATGAGAAAGTGTTGTTTTCCAATATATGTAATTTCTTTATGCTTGTGAGTAAACAGTATTTCTTGCTGTTCCTTTGTCAGTGTTGATGTGGAGATTGTCTGGTTTGCCTACTCTGGAACATGCAACATATCATTGTCCTTCTTTAGGGGTCCCTTTCAAATCTATGATACTATATCTGTGTGTGTGTGAATCATATCTATCTATCTCTATGGCTGGATGGCTCTTTGTCAGGAGTGCTTTGATTACGTTTTCTTGCCCTGGCGAAGGGAGTTGGACTGGATGGCCTTAAGTATTTTGTGTTGTTCATGGGGGGTTCTGTATAGGAAGTTTGCCCAATTCTGTCGTTGGTGGGGTTCAGCATGCTCTTTGATTGTAGGTGAACGATAAATCCCAATAACTACAACTCCCAAATGTCAAGGTCTATTTCCCCCAAACTCCATCTGTGTTCATATTTGGGCATATGGAGTATTCGTGCCAAGTTTGCTCCAGATCCATCATTGTTTGAGTCCACAGTGCTCTCTGGATGTAGGTGAAGTACAACTCCCAAACTCAAGATCAATGCCCACCAAACCCTTCTAGTGTTTTCTTTTGGTCATAGGAGTTTTGTAGGCCTCATTTGTTTCAATTCCATCATTGGTGGAAGTTCTGAATTCTCTTTGATTGTAGGTTAACTATAAATCCCAGCAACTACAACTCCCAAATGATAAAACCATTTTTAGTGATGGTCACTCGTTGGCCTAATAGATGTCTTGTGTCCAAATTTGGTGTCAATTCGTCCAGTGGTTTTTGAGTTCTGTTAATCCCACAAACAAACATTACATTTTTATTTATAGACTAGCCGTCCCCTGCCACGCGCTGCTGTGGCCTACATGGGGGTTCTGTATGGGAGGTTTGGCCCAATTCTATCATTGGTGGGGTTCAGAATGCTCTGTAATCGTAGGTGAACTATAAATCCCAGCAACTACAACTCCCAAATGTCAAGATTCTATTTTCCCCAAACTCCGCCAGTGTTCACATTTAGGCATATTGAGTATTCGTGTAGAGTTTGGTCCAGATCCATCATTGTTTGAGTCCACAGTGATCTCTGGATGTAGGTGAACTACAACTCCAAAACCAAAGGACACTGCCCATCAAACCCTTCCAGTATTTTCTGCTGGTCATGGGAGAACTGTGTGCCAAGTTTGGTTCAATTCCGTGGTTGGTGGGGTTCAGAATGTTCTTTGATTGTAGGTGAACTATACATCCCAGCAACTACAACTCCCAAATGACAAAATCATTTTTTTTTGAGTGAAGGACATATATTGGCATGATAGGTGTCTTGTGTCCAAATTTGGTTTTTCTGTCCTGTTAATCCCACAACCGAACATTACATTTTTATTTAGATAGATAGACAGACAGACAGACAGAAGATAGATAGACACACATCCCACTTGCCTCATTTCCAACAGACCTCTGAACAAACCTCTGAAGATGCCTGAGGCCATTGGCCACAGAAGAGGCATCTGAAGCGGCCATTAGCCAGAGATGCAGGCGAAAGGTCAGGAGAGAATGCCACTAGGGACATGGCCTTACAGCCCGAAAAAATCACAGCAACCCAGTGATTCCGGCCATGAAAGGCTTCAATAGTCCAGAGCAGGCAGAATCCAGCTTCCATGGAGAGATGAAATAAACATTCAGGGAAATAATGGTAAGGGAGGGGTCCAGGAGAAGAGCATCCCTCCGAGGATGGAAATCCCCTCTTCCGGGAGGGAGGGAGGGAGGGAGGGAGGGGCAGGCAAGAGAGAGCTCCCTCCCTCCCTCCTTCCATCCCTCCCTCCTTCCTTCTCCCCTCCCTCCGCCCTCCCCGTCGAGGAAGAGGTTTAGGTGGCACCGAAGGGCGAGAGGCAGCAGCGGAGGAGGCGACGCACAGGTGAGCCAGGTAAGACAGGTAGGGCAGGTGAGGCGGGAGGGAAGGGAGGGGGTCGCTCAGAGCCATACCTCTCCTTCCAGGGGACCCCCTGCCGCCTCTTCCAGCTGTGCCTGGGTCCTAAGAGAGGGGCAGAAACCGGGTGTGAGGAAGGGGCGGCTGGGAAGATGGCTGAGGAGAGGGGCCCTTTGAAAGGCATCAAATACACCTCCCTCAGAGACCCCCAAACTCTCTCCCTTCTCCAAGGCCCCTTCTACACTGCCCTGTATTCCAGCATCGGATCCCAGATTATCCTATCCCAGATTATCTGACAGTGTAGACCAGGCAAGGGCAAATCTGGGTCCTCCAGGTGTTTTGGACTTCAACTCCCACAATTCCTAACAGCCGGTAGGCTGTTAGGAATTGTGGGAGTTGAAGTCCAAAACACCTGGAGGGCCCAGGTTTGCCCATGCCTGGTGTAGACTCATATAACCCAGTTCAAAACAGATAATCTGGGATAGGATCCTGGGAAAGGGCCCAAGAAGCATCTCTCCCCCTTTGGATACTGCTTCCCGATATAATCCTAGGGTCCTTCCAGACAGGCCCTGTATCCAGGATCTGATCCCGTATTTTCTGCTTTAAACTAGATTATACGAGTGCATATTGCCAGATAATCTGGGATAAACGCAAAACCTGGGATCTGATCCTGGAATATAGGGCCTGTCTGGAAGGGCCCCTAGAATCCCAGTGTTACAAGGGATCCCCAAAGGCCATTTAGTCCAACCCCCCTTTGCCTTGCAGGAAGGTGCTACTATTTTGGCAATGGTATATATGAAAGCAAAAACGCCTCGTTAGAGAGGAGGTATAACAATGTCCCCTATGATGCACTCTTATGTCTTTGCGGTGTTGGCTCAGTCAAAACAATAAGACATGTACTGCTATATTGTTCCTTCTGCGGTGGCTTCCAACATACTTTTATCCATGCAATTCTACAAAGCATTGAACTAATGAGTTTTACATGCACTATTTGCTGCCAGATCACAATCTGCAAAAAATGACCTCACAAACGCAAAGGAATTTAAACCTGCATTTAATAATATTTATTCTTATATAATCTGGTTATCAATATTATTTGTTTGGTTCTACTTGTTTTATCTGATCTGTTATTGTAACCAATTTATAGACACGAAGGTGCCACCCAATCCTTTTCAACAGATTATTATTTTTATTATTAACTTTATTTATACCCTGCCTTTCTCCCCTTGGGGACTCAAGGCTATTAACAATTTCACTCTTATTATTATTTTTATTTATTTACTTGCTTGGGTACCCGGCATTGCCCAGGTTAGTTGAAAAAGTCATTTCTTTAATTGTACAAAATGCATAAGGTTGTGTGGGTGAACCACAACTCACTTCATGCCAGGTTAACCCCGAAAAACTCCATCAGTACTTTAAAATGTGTTATATTGGGCAAGTTTGCTCTAGATGCATTATTAGTGGTGTTCAGTGTACTCTCTGGCTGTAGGGTAAACTACAACTCCCACTATGGTGAGTCAGTCCCCTCAAACCCCTCCAGTAGGTTGAGTTGGTCATGGGAGTTCTGTGTGCCAAGTTTGGTCCAGGTCCATCACTGGGGAAGGGCACAGTTTCTCTGGTTGTGGGTGAACTACAACTCCCAGAAAAGAAGGTCAGTTCCTCCCAAACCCTTCCAATAATCAAATTTCTGCATATCAGGTCTGTGTGCCAAGTTTGGTCCAGGTCTATCGGTGTTGGGTTCACAATGCTCTCTGGGTATAAGTGAACTACAACTCCCCCAAAACAAGATGAATTTTCCCCAAAAACCTCCAGTATTTTTTTGCTTGTCTTCGGGGCTCTGTGCCAAGTTTGGCCCAGTTCCATCTTTGGTGGAGTTCAGCGTGGTCATTGATTGCAGGTGAACTATAAATCCCAGTGCCTACAACTCCAAAATGTTCAGGCCAATTCCCCCCAAAACCCACCAGTATTCAAATCTGGGCATATAAGTATGCATGCAAAGTTTGATCCACATCCATCATTGTTTGGGTTCATAGTGCGCTCTGGATGTAGGTGAACTACAACTCCTATAAATCCCCCCAAAGACTTCCATTACGTTTTGGTGGTCATGCAGGTTCTGTGTGCCAAGTTAGTTCCAGGTCCATTGTTGGTGGAGTTCAGAGTGCTCTGATATCCCACTTTATTTAGGAGGAGACACAGATACATAGAGGAGGGCAGGGCCATCAATAGATACTGGTCACTTTGCAAAACAAAGAGGGATAGATTGGTCCCTAGGGCAGAATCCCAGCTCCCTGGCCATGGGAAACCTATAAGAACAGGTACATTCCTTGTATGCGCATGAAGAACTGTAGCAAAGGTGTGGAGCAAACATAAAAAGGCCCAGGAGGCATGGAGAAGGCGGTTCTGGCTGCACAAGATTACTACATCCCATCCTGCATGCATTGCAATGTTAACCAGCATTTTATTGGTGTGTTCTTACATGTATGTTGTATTATCTCCTTGTTTTAACACTGTTGCACCCCACCTTGAGCCACAAGGAGAGGCAGTTAATATGGCCATGTTCCAGAAGCATTATCTCCTGATGTTTTGCCCATATCTATGGCAGGCATCCTCACAACCTCTGAGGATGCCTGCCATAGATGTGGGTGAAATGTCAGGAGAGAATGCTTCTGGAACATGGTCATACAGCCCGAAAAACTCACAGCAACCCAGTGATCCCAGCCATGAAAACCTTCAACAGCAGTTAATACAATTATTAATTAATTAATTAATTAATTAATTAATTAATTAATTGGAGTCCCTTCCAACTCTATGAATCTAATAACAACACTTTGGAAAGACAATAATGTTCCATTCCAACTTAGCCGTCTTCTCTGGAGTTTTCTAAGCAGAAGCTGGATGGCCATCTGTCAGGAGTGAATGGATTGTTTCATCTTTCATGACAAAAGTGGGTCAGGTGGAATAACCCTTAGAATATTTTCCAACTCTAGGATTCTATGATTCTATCTATCAATCTTTTCACCTGTAAGAAACTATTTCCTTCTCTGGAAGTTTCTAAGCAGAGGCTAGATGCCCATCTCCCAGGAGGGTTTTAATGGTGTCTTCCAGCTTGGCAGAAAACGGGTCGAACTGAATGGCCTTTGGAGTCCCTTTCAACTTATTGAATATAATAATAATAATAATAATAATAATAATAATAATAATAATACATGATATGAATGGATAATAATATTTATTATTATTATTATTTATTAACTTTATTTATACCCCGCTAACATCTTCCAAAGGACTCAGTGCAGCTTACAAAAGGCCAATAGCAATATAATAGCAATTTTTTCTTCCTGCTTGACAGAAGGGGGTTCGACTGAATAGCCCTCGAGGTCCCTTCCAAGTGTATGAATATAATAATAATAATAATAATAATAATAATAATAATAATAATAATAATAATACATGATATGAATGGGCAATAATATAATAGTAATTCTATCTTCCTGCTTGGCAGAAGGGGGTTCGACCGAATGGCCCTCGAGGTCCCTTTCAAGTGTATGAATATAATAATAATAATAATAATAATAATAATAATAATAATAATAATACATGATATGAATGGATAATAACATATTTCTAATTCTATCTTCCTGCTTAGTAGAAGGGAGTTCAACTGAATGGCCTTCAGAGTCTCTTCCAGCAGTGGGAGTCTATGAATCAGAGGCTGGAGAGCTGTGGTTGTGCCTTTCCTGGGAGAAGGGGGTTGGACTGGATAGCCTTTGGGTGTCCTTTCCAACTCCAGAATTCGATGTTTCTCATTCAAATAGAGTCCTCTTCAAGGGACCAGAGATGTTTGTTCTCAAATTGAAGAGTTTGGGCTCTGAGTCATTGGGCCCAGGGCCAGCAGGCAAGAAGGCTCTTGGGTCCCTTTTGTATTGGCTAGATTGGGCCCTTAGTCTTCCATATTGGAAGCCTTCTTGGGCCATAAGTGCCAGGGTCTTCTTCTCCATGGTCCCCAGGCATGTTTCTTCTTCTTCTTTGGGTTGCGACATCTCCCACCTGCCTCTTCTGAAGGCACTAGATGAAATCAGGAATGCAGATTTAGTCCAATCTTCTCTACCTTGTAAAATGACAACTCCCAAGATTGAATAGCATTGAACCAAAGAAGGTAAAGCAATGCAGAACTGCATTAATTCCACAGTGCAGATGGTTGCACTTTGTAGCTGAAAAGTGGACAATCCAAATGGAGGGCCTTTTAGAAGCAAAATGCCATATCTCATTGGGTGATAATGCAAAGGGACTAGGGAAAAGGAGAGGGTTAGGGCTGAAAGGGGGCCCTGGGCTCCTATTGTGGCATATTTGGGCACCCCCTCCATTAAGAACAGCTCCCCAGCCCTTCTGAGTTGAGTGTGGCTGAGAGAGGAGGGTCTTTGGGATAGCACTGTGGCTAATGCGCCCTACTCTTTCTTATAGGTGCTTTCCACCCAGAGATCGACTTCTAGCAGCAACTGCTCCGTCCAGGAACTGCCCTTGTTGTCTGTGTGTCTTAGTGCATATCGCCTTGGGGTATGTTCCCTGCAGAGGCTTGAGAATTTCAGCCTCTCCCCCTCCCCTCCTTTAGCTACTGCCCAATCTCCCCACCACTGCCACCTTTACATACATATATCTCTTCCTGGACTTGCAAAGCATTTGTATTCACATTCCCTGGATAAATGTGCAAAAGGAGCTGAAGCGGCAAAGCATGAGGCAGCTCCAGGTGGATCCGGCGCTCGCTCTTGGGTCGGTTAGCACACAATCGCCAGGTAAGGCTGTTTCCGAACATGCAAGGTTCAGGGTCTTAAAGGAGGAGGAATCTCAGGGCGAGGGGGCTGTGCTTTGACTCGAATGGCATGCTTGCGGTTGATGCTGAAGGTGCTGTGCTTAATGACATCACCAGGGCCTGCCCCTCTCCTTTATGACATAATCAAGGGTCATCCCTGAGGCCCAGAGAACCAGTCTTCAGCAACCAAAAACGTACTTCCTGACGATAGTTCAGTTAGCCATCAGATTGTTTCCAGTACACACCGACTGAAGCAGAAGACATTTAGGAAAGTGCATAGCAGCATGTCTTTCTCTGGATTGGGATCACAGGTGGCTGCCGTAATCTTAAAGAGGTGTAGATCCACTCCTGGTTTTAGTCTGAACTTTAGTCTAAAGGAGGTTGGGACCAGCACTTTGGAAAGCCCCTTGGAAGTTCAGGCTATAAACTGTGACCGATCTGCCAGCCACTACAATGCAAATTAACTGCTATTATATTGTTGTTGTTGTTATTGTTATTGTTATTATTCCTCTGGATTGGGGCCACCAGTGGATGCCATAATTTTGAAGAGAAATGAATCCACTTCGGATTTTAATCTGAATTTTAGTCTTTTGAAGGAGGTTGGGACCACCACTTTGGTCTCAACCTCCACTTTGATGTTCAGGCTAAAATCTCAGGTAGATCTGCCAATAATATTGTTATTGTTGTTATATAGCAGCATGTCTTCCTCTGGATTGGGGCCACCAGTGGATGCCATAATCTTGAAAAGGCATGAATCCATTCCTGGTTTTAGTCTGAACTTTTGGAAGAAATTAAGTTCAGAACCTTGGAGAGCCCCTAGAAAGTTCAGGCTAAAACCTGGAACGGATCCACCAGTGTCACAATACAAATCTGATGCTGCCATCCCTCTATATTATTATTATTGTCATCATCATCTTCTTCATTGTCGTTGTCATATTCATCAGACATTCCCCTCCTAAAGAATACTATATAGTTCATCTCTCCAGTTTCCGCTGTGAGAAACTGACACTTCCCCCCCCCCCCCAATTTTGGGATGGATGCAAAGCATTATTCTGCCATAAACATTGATTGCATAGCCAGAGTTGATTTGGGTTGGTAGGCCCATTTTGAGTGGACTTAATTGATTCATACATCTATCAAACGCCTCTGATTGATTATTTGCAACTAAGCCCCAGGAGGGACTTTGTGTCTGCTGCGTTTATCTTAGTCCCATGAAACAGCCTGAAGATCTATGGCACATAATGGCTGCCCTATTAGTACCGGTTGTGTCTGGGCAGCTAATCCATTCTCTTGGCCCTCAAGCGCTCAGCAGAGTGTCGTTTCACTGAGCCCTGTGTGTTTGGGGGTTTTAAAATCCCATTTTTTATTCAGTGCAAACTGAATGAATACTGAAACTGGTTTAAGGGTGTTGGGGCCAGTCACAGATAACTGTTTTCCCCAGATTTACGGACAATAGAGGAGCCACTTCCCTTGGGTTTGGGTTAGTACTTTCTTGGTCTCTCTTCAGCCCTTCCCAAAATGCAATTAGTTCAATTTCCATGCTGAAATGGCCTATAGAGTTGTCTCTTCCTTATCCTTGGGTTTGTTGGACATTATTGGCTGCTCAGGAGGTGTTTTCTTACTAAGCTTTCTGGCACAAATAGCAACACAGACATAAAACCCCACAAAACAGCATCCTACCCACTCCCTCCTTTGTTTTAAGAATTGCTGCAATAGGATTCCTCCCAAATCTGGGCATTTAGAACCCTCTTTTTGCCCCCAGAACGACCTGGGAATTGTATTCTGATGTCGTTTTGCAAAGCATTGCAATTTTTCCGCCCGTTTGCTCATGCTGAAGCCAGCCAAACCTCTCTTAAAAAGGCCTCCATTCAAAGCGAGAAAGAAATGAAAGATGTTCTGGAAGATGGTATCAGATAAGATCAGTTACTGGAGGTGAGAAGGCATCTGGTCGTGCCACCTCTTTATCTTTCTGGAAATGTTTTACTTGCCGTCCATGACGATGAGGTAACCACCCTTCAACAGGATCTGACTGGGTTTTTCGGCTTCTTTGCTTTACTTTTGTTGAACGGAGCCCAGGCTGGGGACAAACCCTTGGCATCCGTTGATGCATGCACAGATAGACATTTTGCAAATGCCTCTATGGCATTCTCAAATATTCTCCTAGCATTTTAAATGCTATCTGGTCCCATAAAAAAGAACCTAGCTCTGAACTCCCAGCAAGAACATGAGAACTAAAGGTACTCTGAATGAAAAAAGGATATCCTGATGTCTCTGGCTACATCTACACTGTGGAATGAATGTATTTCCATAACACTATGCCGGTGACGCAATGGGTTAAACCCTTGTGCCAGCAAAACTGAAGACTGACAGGTCAGAGGTTTGAATCCAGGGAGCGCGCGGTTGAGCTCCCTCTGTCAGCTCCAGCTTCCCATGCGGGGACATGAGAGAAGCCTCCCTCAAAGATGGGAAAACATCAAAACATCTGGGTGTCCCTGGGCAACGTCCTTGCAGACGGCCAATTCTCTCACACCAGAAGCGACTTGCAGTTTCTCAAGTCATTCCTGACACAGGGGGAAAAACCCACTATGCTATGGGAACCTGGAAGTTGTAGTTTGGCACTCTGCAAAGAAGATGAAATACCTTGCAAAACAGCAACTTCCAGGACTCAAAGTGCATTCAGGCTACAGTGTAGATGCATCCTCAGGTGCAAAACCTGAAGACGGGACCCAAATGCATCCAATTGTAAGAATGACCCCCGGTGCATTGAGTTGCCCAGAATCCCTGAGAATGAACCCCAATCTGGTCCCTTTTCTCTCTGAATCCAAATCTCAGGAGCCGCTGCCCTGCTTTCTCTTTTCCTCGCTCTTGTTTTGAAATTCCACCTCAGGATAGAGAGATTCTTGCCTTGCCGAAGGAGGACAAGGTGTACCTTGAGCGCTCGCTCACAGCAAGACCCACACGAAGTATGGCAGAACAAAATGTACCGATGGTATCTGAAAGAGTCGAGGAATTTTGACAGAAGGCCTAACCTATAGCCTCTTCCTCCCCGCCAGGCAGCCGCCTGCCTTCAAGGAATCTTCCACTTGTCTCTGAGGAAAGAAAGATCAGCTGGGGAGGGTCTCTTTGGCTGGCAGAGACAAGAAGGAAGGAAGGAAGGAAGCAGGGGCCCATCTACCTTCACGAGACCCATTTGGAGCATCTGCAAAGTTACTGCAAAGGACCCCTAAGGCTGCTTCGGGGCAGCAGTGTCCTATTATTATTATTATTATTATTATTATTATTATTATTATTGCCTTACTTTATCTCTCCCTGGGGCCAAACCTGGCCACTCCATGCCCCTTCCCTCTATAATGCCATTGTGTGCCACCTAGAATTACAGAAATCTTGAACCATTGAGTTGGAAGGTCCTCCCAAGTCCCATCCAGTCTGACCCCCTTCTACCATGAAGTAAGACGCCATCCGATCCCTCCCGACAGATAACCATCCAACCTCAAAGACATTTGAAGGTTCATGCAGAAATAGGGCTATAGAATCAGAGTTGGACAGGACATTCAGGGGCCATCCAGTCCACACCCATTCTGCCATCCAATTCCTCCTGACAGATGGCCATCCAGCCTCTAGAGAAGGAAGGAGGTTCATGGAGAAATAGGGCTATAGAATTATAGAGTTGGAAGGAGCATCCAAGGGCCTTCCAGTCCACGCCCATTCTGCTATCCAATCCCTCCCGACAGATAGTCATCCAGCCTCCAAGGAAGCCTCCAGAAGAGGAAGGAGATGCCATCAAACTCTAAGGCAATCGATATTACAATCAATAAGTTCTTCTTAATGTTTAGGTGGAATCTCTTTTCCTGCATTTTGAATCCCTGGCTCCATTGTGTCCCAGTCTCCGGGACCTCCTTCCCTTGCTCTTATATATTTTCAAAAAGCTAAGTGTCTCTCCTAAGGCTTAAAACCTAGTGTCACTAGAGTTGTGGAAAAGGTAATACATGAATAACAACAGTGTTGTTGCTGTTTTTATCAACATCTCACCTTTGCTGTTGTTTGGATCCAGGGACGTGTCGGGATCCGCCCTTGCTGAAATCTGTTTCTCTCTTCTCTTGGTGCAGAGTCCCGGATAATGGTGGTGAAGAAGTACTTTGTAAAGGCGCTGCACCGGCTGCAGAAGGGCCCCGGCTATTCCTACCGGGAGCTGCTAGTCTGGTACTGTGACAACACCAACACTCACGGTCCCAAGCGCATCATCCGTGAGGGCCCCAAGAAGAAACTCATCTGGTTCTTCCTGACCCTGCTCTTTGCAGCCCTGGTCATCTGGCAGTGGGGCATCCTTATCGACACCTACCTCTCCTACAACGTCACTGCCTCTCTGGCCATTGGCTTCAAGAAAATGATCTTCCCAGCTGTTACCATCTGTAGCGCAAGCCCCTTCCGGTCAGTTTGAGCACCTTGTCAGCCATCACACGGGCAGCCATAGCACCATAGGAAGAGACACCCACAGGAAACTATGCGGTCCAACTCCTTTCTGCCAAGCAGGAAGATTAATACTAATAATACTACTACTAATAATAATAATCTATTATTATTATTATTATTATTATTATTATTATTATTATTATTATTATTATTATTGACTCTCAGAGTTGGAAGGGACCCCAAGGGCCAGCCAGTCCAACTCCCTTCTGCCAAGCAGCAAGATAATAATAAGCTGCTGCTGCTGCTGTTGTTGTTGTTGTTGTTGTTGTTGACTCTCAGAGTTGGAAGTGACCCCATCCAATCCAACTCCCTTCTGCCACACAGCAAGATAGAATTATTATTATAATTATTATTATTATTATTATTGACCCATAGAATTGGAAGGAACTCTAAGGACCATCCAGTCCAACCCTCTTCTGCCAAGAAGCAAGATAGAATTATTATTATTAGTATTATTATTGATCCCGAGGGCCATCTCTTTCAACCCCCTCCTGTCAAGCAGAAAGACACAGTTAAAGCCCTCCCGACAGATGACCATCCAGCCTCTATTTAAAAACCTCCAAAGATTGAGATTGCAATGAACTCCCAGGGAGCATATTCAGAGTGTGATGGAACCTCATTCTCTGGAAGTTTTGGCTGCACGCTGCTAGCAACAGGCATATGCATAAGTTACCCTATGCATGCGGGGCAAATTTTGTGCCATAGTGTATGAGTGTGTTGCAAAATGCAGTTGGGCATTTGCACAGTGGTATCTATGTACTGGAAACATGCAGTGTTTCGACTGGGAGATCCGTCGTATTGGTGTGGTGTATCTCCACATGCCGATATTTATACTCCACATTGCAGCTTTTGTGCTGCTTTTGTTAGGGGTCCTGAATGGGAATCACTTTATCCCTCCAAGAACTTAAAGTCAAATTGATCAGCTCTTCTGGGGGAAAGACATGAGCTGGAAGGTAATCAATAACAACAACAGCAATAACAGTGGCAGGAGGTTACTTAGCTCTTCCCTTCCAGCCTCAATTTTGTCAGAGGCAATAGCAGAGATGTTATAATGATTATGGAGTTGGAACCAGCAACTTTCAGAAAGAAAGCTGGAAGCAGGTGAATACAATCCGGGCAAGAAACCAACAGGGAAGAAGATAGACCCGGTGGAAATATTTTGAATGATTTGTGCTTTTAATCTATGCATTGCTTGAGCAGGGGGATGGCAATGAACAGCCTCCAAAGTCTAGGGCAAGGATCCTGCCCTAACATCTCATTGGTCCTTTCAGGTACCCCAAAGTGAAACCTTACCTGGCGGACCTGGACTCCCTGATCGGGGCAGCCCTGAAACGCATCCTGGAGACTGGATGGGATGGAGAAACACCCACATACAATGCCAGCGATTTGGAGGGCCTCAAGATGCACCTATGGGACCAGATCCCATTGGTGATGATCGTGGAAGGCAACGGTGCCAAACCCATTGTCCACGATGTCCTCCGGGGCCCTGCCCATGGCCTGGACAGCCAGAATGACTCTGACCCGTTCTTCTTCAATCCAGAAGAGAAGAGGTACAGGCTGGCGCTCAAACTGGTAAGTGGGGTGGAAAGGGAGCAGGCAACACACCAAAGGAAATGTATTACACATAAGTATTATATCCTATAGACAACTGGGTCTCTAATTATTATCAGGAATCACTTCCAACTGGGAAATGAGGATTCATATTCTTCATTTTTGTTGGGCTGTGAACAACTGAAGGCTCTATTTTCAGAGAAAGGAAAGAGACCACCTCTGAGTATCCCTTGCATAATAATAATAATCATAATCATAATCATCATCATCTCTGGCACAAGCGAGTAAAGGTGGTCTCAGTGGCGATCAGCACACCGGGTGCAGTGCCTAAAGACCTTGGCCTGCACTTAAACACAATCGGCGCTGACAAAATTACCATCTGTCAGCTGCAAAAGGCCACCCTACTGGAATCTCCACCATTATTCGCCAATACATCACATAGTCCTAGACACTTGGGAAGTGTCCGATGTGTGATCCAATACAACAACCAGCATAGTTATCTTGTTTGCTGTGTACTAATCTTATTGTGTTTCAAATAATAATACTTTATTTATATTCTGTCCTTCTCCCCAAGGGGACACAGAGCAGATTACAGCACATTAACAGACACTGGCAAACATTCAATGCCTTGTTACAATACAATGAGACACAAATACGCAGATGAAGGCAAGGGTTACACAGATGACACTCTATTACTCCTTTCCACCGAACTGCCTTCCTTCCCAACCCGTCACGCTATTCTCTTGTGTGTCTCTCTGATCCCGCAGTGCGCCGACAACGGCACCAGCTGCTACTACCGCAACTTCTCTAGTGCAGCGCAGGCTGTGGGCGAGTGGTACGTGCTCCAAGCCACCAGCGTGTTGTCCCAAGTGCCGATCCAGAAACGCATAGAGATGGGATACCAGGCGGAGGAGGTCATCCTGGCCTGCCTCTATGGGGCTGAGCCCTGCAGCTACAGGTGAGCCGGACAGTAGGATTTACACATCTTACCTACTGTTATTTATTAAAATAAGTGAAATATGCTGTTGCCTGGGAGTCCAGTGGCACATCCTTCCTTCTATGCAATAGTAGGATGGCCATCTGTTAGGAGGGCTTGGATTTTGCCTTCCTTTATGGCTGAAGGGGTTGGACTGGATGAGCCTTAGGGCATTCTTCCCCCTCTAAGAGTCTTATGCTTCCAACATTAGAAGGTCTTTAAGCAGAGGTTGGGTGGCTATCTGTTGGGAGGGCTTTGTGTCTTTCTTTGTGGCAGAAGGGGTCAGACTAGATGGCCTCTGGGGGTCCCTTCCAACAATATGATCCTATAATATTTATGATTCTGTTCTATGATATGCTTCTGCCTGGGAGTCTGGTGGAATCTCTTCTTTCTCTGGAGACTTTAAAGCAGACGCTGGATGGCTATCTGTCAGGAGGACTTTCATCGTGTCTTCAACCCTGGGAGAAAAGGGATTGGACTGGATGGTCCTACAGTCTTCTGTATGGCAAAGGAACTGGACTAGATGACCTTTGGGATCCCCTACCAACTCTAGGAGTTTATAATTCCATCATTGGAAGGTTTTTAAGCAGAGCCTAGATGGCCATCTGTCAGGAGGGGTTATATGGTGTCTTCCTTTATGGCAGAAAGGGGTCAAACTGAATGGCCTTTTGGAGTATCTTTCAACTCTATGTCTCTGTGATCCTATGAAAAGATTTCTATCCTGTTCTTTGTCCAGAATCTCAGGACAAAATCAAATGTTAAACAATTTAGAACACTAATAGCAATTTAAATGGAATACAAAGCATTCTGTGTCTTCACCCAGCAGAGAAATCTGTGTACTTTTCTTTTCTTTTTTGCCCACAAAGTGCTCAATTATGACAACGTTTGCCCTATTCAGCCAACGTTTCCTAATCGCCTGAAGCATTTTCCTATGTGCTCTTTCCAATGATGCACATTTGAGCCATTTGCGTTTACAATTGTGTAAGCTGCTTTATGAGCGTTTGCTTTCTTACAACGTCTGTGCCAAAGTGTCCTGATTCTAGGGTTTTTTTTAATACTGGTAGTCCTGATTTTGTTCATTTTCATGGTTTTCTCCTTTCTGTTGAAATTGTCCACATGCTTATGGACTTAGGGCTTCTCTGTGTAGTCTGATATGGTGGTAAATAAAGAGCAACACTCAGAAAACAGGTGAATTCCAGACAGAAAACAATCAGGGCCAGCTAACACCTCCCAACAAAGCATTCCCCAGGGCAGGAAGCAGCCAGGCTTTGAAACTGCAAGGCCATTCACTGCTAATCAAGGTGGCCAATTGCAACATTCACACTTGCCTCCAACAGACAAGAGTTCTTTCTCCCACCCTGGACATTATTCCACAGATATATAAACCCCACATATCTAGTTTCCAACAGACCTCACAACCTCCAAAAATGCCTGCCATAGATGTGGGCAAAACATCAGGAGAGAATGCTTCTGTAACATGGCCATACAGCCCAAAAAAACTCACAGCAACCCAGTTGCTTCCATTGTCTATAGGTTTGGTTTTCCATCCCTATGATGGACATTATGTGCATTTCTTGGTGTGAATAACTACTTAACAGTTAATGTGGAGAGAATTGAATAGAAATTTAGGGGGAAAATAGAAATATGCAACAAGAAGTGCATGCAAAGTGCATGGCCAAGCTCTAGTGCATGCAAAATCTATAGGAAGGCCAATGGGCGCAATTTTGTGAGGATTTCTGCTTTCCTCCCGTTTCTGTCTGGTGTTCATCGTTTCATGTTTGGTTTAATTAAATTTCTCCCGTTTTTTGAGGTATGTTACTCTTCAAATAATAACCTTCGGCATTCCAGAATCGGATTAGAGCACATCTCAAATGCCCAGAACTTGAAGCCAAAGAGACAAAGGCCAGGATGAGCGGAGATCGGTTTGCAGAGTGCAAGGCAGGCTCCCGGGTTGCTAGGATTAGGAGAGGAATTAAGTCATCTTGGATGCGAAATAATACCCACATTTTAATCTGCAATGTTAGTCCAAGGCAGGTATCTGGTTTATGGGTTGGATAGCAGGCCAGATCCTATTCCTCCAAAGGCTTGAGCTTTCAACATTCACAAAACTCTTCTTCAGGCAGAGACATTCATACCAAACCTCCCACGAAAAGGAAAAGATAGCATTAAACACTTCTCAGAGTGAGGCTGGCCCAGTCAAATGGATGATAAAACACAGAGAATGCTGCTCAGAAAAGGCATTATATGTACAGAACTGCAAAATCTCAACCAGGAGGATTCCTGGGTCCCAGGGACTTGAAGAAGGGGAGGAATCTCAGGACGAGGGCATTGCCTTGGAAAGGGAAAGGAAAACAGATCTCACACTTAGTGTTTCATGATTTTTAATCTCTTATTGGTCTACTCTGTTTAAAGCAGCGGTTCTCAAAGTGTACTCTGGGGAGCACTTGGGGCTCCGCAAAGCATCCTGAGGGGCTCCACAATGGCCCCTTTGGTTTCTGTTGTTATTATTATTATTATTATTATTATTATTATTACAAAGGCTAGGTGACCATCTGTTGGGGATGTTTTGAATGTGCTTTTCCTGTACGACAGAAGGGTTTTGGACTGGATGGCCTCTGGGGTTGCTCCTATTATTATTATTATTATTATTATTATTATTAAATATTTTATTATTATTAAATAATAATAATAACAATTACTACTACAAAGGCTGGATGGTAATCTGTTGGAGTGCTTTGATTGTGCTTTTCCTGCATGGCAGAAGGGTGTTCGACTGAATTGCCCCGGGGCTCTTCCACTAAAATACTTTTAAGTTTATGTTGGTCAAAAAGTTTCCCCATTCCTGATATATATATATACAAAGTTCTTGAACAAGAACTGAGTGATTCCAGCCATGAAAGCCTTCGACAATATATATACAAATATTATATAAACATTTCTTGGGTCTCCACAAGAAATTTCAAAAAAGGCTCTGTGGCTGAAAAAGTTTAAGAACTCCTGCTTTAATTGATATTATAGAATCACATTCCTCTTTTGGTAACACTATATTAACTCATAAAGACCAGGAACAGAAAGCTGCCCTCCAGGAAGGTCTCCAGGTCTCTCAGCTTGGCACTGAGCCTTGAAGGAAGGGAGGAATCTGAAGGCAAGGGCATTGCCTTGAAAAACAGGTGTGAGATATAGACAGATGGATGGATGGATGGATGGATGGATGGATGGATGGATGGACGGACGGACAGACAGGTAGACAGACAGACAGACACCATTTATCTAGGTTTTGTTTGTTATTTGAATTGAACCCCCTGCTTGATCTATCCTACTGGCCACATCCTGCATTATTGCAATGTTTCATCCCTCAGTCCCAGGGGCTGCACCCTCAATGCTGAGTTGCCGTCGCCTGCAAAAGAGCTCTGTGACTGTGTTCCCTGCTTGCCTTCATGGGCTTGTGCTGTGGCTCTCCCAACGTGGCTGCAAAAGGCTGCTCCTACCCACCTTGCCGCATGCTGACTCACTTTGCCACTAAACTATCCATCAGCAAACATGGGCTTATTTAATTAAACCAGGAACAGATTGGTTATCACAGCTCCAGGCTAATGCCGTGACCTGGACTTGGCGCTCCAACCTGCTCCTGGGAGAATGCCAGAGACATAGAAGAGATGGATTTGGGAGCTTTTTCTGGGTGAAAGAGGCAAAAGGGGGGCCAAAAGGCCATCTTCGCTCCTCATCCAAGGAAACCAGGATCTGAGAATTGCCAAACAGAGTGGAGCGGAATGGAAGCATGAAGGCTTCCTTCCCTCTTTTTCACTCTGCTGCCCACTTTCCGTGACTTCTCTTGCTTTGCTGCCCTTGACATTCCTCTTTGATATAACTCTTGAGAGCCCTTCTCTGCCCATGCAATAGGACAAGCCTTTGCCAACGAATCCATCTGTTTACCACCTTGATTTCTTTGCCTTCGGAGCAGCCGCCTTCCGTCAGCAGTCTTCTCCTGTTCTGTTTGCTGGCCTTAAAAACCACTGAGTAAACAAGGAAGGGCTGAGCAAAGTCAGGACAATGCCCAGTTGGACAGACTCCCATTTGAGTGTCTCCTCCCAGAGTCACCCAATCACCCAGTGAACCCTTCAGCCAGGCCAGCCTACCATCTCTGTCATTGCTTTCAGGGCTTCCACCTAGATCTCTTCACTGGTCCAGCATGGTCTATGACCACCCAAGCCAGTCGGGAGTCCATTTCTTCCCAGTGCAAGGCTGGTGTCAAATTCCAGAAGCCCTGCAAGGAAACTGAGGCTGGAGATGGGCTCTCTGAGTTATGCGGAGTCAATGGACTTTTGCACCCAGGGATTTGGGAGCTGCAATGTTCCAGCAAAGGTACCCGAATGACTGACAAAAAGAAGAGGCCTTCTTGTAGGATGCAGTTCAGCATCTTTTCATGGGATGGCGTTGACAAAGTAGGCAGTTCCTGGAATGAGGGCACTTAGTATGGCTCTTTGGAGGCTATTTATGCTTCCTTCCTCCATAGTGGAAGAAATGAGGATAAATGGGCATCTGTTGAGAGTGCTTTGGTGGTACATTTCCTGCCTGAATGAAGAGGGTTGAACTGGATGGTCTTTTGGGTCTCTTCCAATTCAAGGATTCCAAGATTGTATAATATGTATTGTTAACACAGGGTAGATCAGGCATGGACAAAATTGGGCCCTCCAGGTGTTTGGGACTACAATTCCCACAATTACTAACAGCTTCAGGCCCCTTTGTAGGCTGTTAGAAATTGTGGGACTTGCTGTCCAAAACACCTGGAGGGCCCAAGTTCAACCATACCTGGGCTAGATGGTCATCTGTCAGGAAGGAACAGATTATGTCTTCCACAATGACAGAAGAGGTTGGACTGGATGGCCTTTGGAGGGTCCCTCCCAACTCTTTGGAGGGTTCCTCCCACTGTCTTTATGAAAGTGGCTCTGTTGACAGTCTGGATCCCTCAGTCTTCCTTTGTCGTAAGATACAAGGCACATATTATGGGGCACACTGCACACTCCGAAGGGGAAACAATAGTGTGCCTCTATGCAGAGAGAGAAGGAGGGAAACACAGGCAAACTGGAGCAGATGCAGGCGCCCCTCCATTCCCTCCTCTCCGGTGACCCCTTTCTTTCCCCTTCCAGGAACTTCACCCGTCTCTACCACCCGGACCATGGCAACTGCTTCACTTTCAACTGGGGCATGGACAAGGAGCAACTCATTTCCTCCAACCCCGGAGCAGAGTTTGGTAGGTGCTCCTTCCCTCCAAAGGAATATGGTGGTCCTGGGGGGCTTCCGTGCCGCTTCCTCCTCAGACTGCCATCTTCCTCCTCCTCCTCCTCTTCCACCATCTCAGGGCTGAAGCTCATCCTGGATGTGAGCCAGGCAGACTACATCCCCTTCCTGACCACAACGGCCGGAGCCCGGCTCATGCTCCATGAACAGGAGAGCTTCCCCTTCCTCAATGATCAGGGCATCTACGCCATGGCTGGCACAGAGACATCCATCGGCATCATGGTGGTACGAAAGGGATTGGGGTTCAATCGCGGGAAAAGGGCGGCCAGGTCAAGCAGCCAACAGGCCTCTTGTTTTGAGGACTTCAGTGCCAATCCTCTGCTCAACCGTTGTGTCACAGATAGCCCAATGTTGCTTTGCCATCTGTTTACTCATTGCTCATTAATGGCTGATGAGTCTCAACCAGAATGGATCTGTCCAACTGCAAAATGGTACTTGGATGAGAGGCAAGAAGTGGATACTTTTGCATGAAGGGAAAGCAGCAGAGCTTAATGTGAATAAATGATATTTCTTCCGTTCTAAGATGCACTTATATAGACATCCCTGAAAACAGGATTATGTCTTAGAATCACAGGTGTATCTTGTGTATTTTTGTTGGCAGTGGGAATACTGAAATTAGGGTGCGTCTTACAATGGAAGAAATAGGTAGTTTCCACCCAGAGCTGTATTTAGATGCACCTTCCTTCTTTCTTTCCCAGGATGAGCTCAAGCGGTTGGGGTCTCCCTACAGCGACTGCACAGACAACGGCTCTGACATCCCCGTCCGCAACCTCTATGAGGACTATCTTGTCTTCCAGGTGAGCAGCCAAGGCCCTTTTACCACCCAAATCATGGGGCAACCCAGTGATATGGACACCTTTGGGCACCAAAGCTAAAAGGGCCAGGTCCCGATCTGTCTCGGTGGCCCCCTTCCCTGGCAACAAGGTGGGAAGGAGACCCAACTGGACCACGTTCCTGTCTCCCTCAGGGCCAGACAGAGCCAACCAAGCTTTGTATAAACTGCACGGTTGAAGGCCAAGATGCCAGCAGCGGAAATGACTCCTCAGGCAGATCCTATAGAACGATCTACTCCATCCAGGTGGGTGATGTCCAGCCGTCCCTCCATCGTGAGTTCCCCCTGGGCTCCTCTTTCCTGAGCTCTTCTCTTTGCAGCTCCCAGGATCATACCTAGAAACAGGGAAGCCACACAAACAGTATCACAAACCTTCAGATTTCAGGGCCCAGACTCTAAGACCAAGTCATTGCCCTTAATCAGAGAAAGTATCCCAAGAGGAGGGACAACCGCATCCTCTTCAGAGCATTCCTTAAGCAGCAGTCAGGAACACGATGTAAATGCACTTTTACATTATTTGCAAGGCACTGCTTTCACCCTGAGACTCCCCGCTTTGCCCTGCAGAGTGGAGAAAGGGGTCCAGGCCTCCAGACTTGGAAATAGGTGGCTTTGCAAATCCAAAGAGTTTCTGATTGCGGCCAAACTCCTCCTCCTTATTAGAGGGCAGAAAGGAAAGGGACAGGACAGAGGCAGGAAGGAAAGAAACCAGACAGAGGCCATGCAGTGGGTATAGAGTCAGACTTAAACTCTGAGCCTTTGGGGCATCCTCTTAAAGCATGATGGCTGCTACTGTCCCCCTCCCCCCTTCAAATCTTCAACCAGGACCCTTCTTCTTCCCAGGCTTGCCTGCGCTCCTGCTTCCAGGCTGAGATGGTAGAGAAATGTGGCTGTGGCCACTACACCTTCCCACTCCCCAAAGGGGAAAAGTACTGCAACAATGAAGACTTCCCAAACTGGGGTGAGTAGGGCCAGCTACAGGGAGGGGAACGTTCCCACTTGAAGGCATAAGGCCAGACAGTGGAACTCACTGCCTTGCGACGGTTGCCAACTTGGGACAGCTCTGAAAGGGCATTGAACAACTTCATAGCAACAGGGGCCCTGAGTGATTGCTAGTCAGGATGGCTAGCCTTCCTCTCTAACTTGCTACTTAGCCAAGATCTTTAATGGAGGGCCCTATAAAAGCCATGGTGCCTGGCAGAGCTGAGCCGGTTTCCAAGCACTCGTGGTCACCACAAGACACTAATCATTTGGCATCTCTCTGGCAGATGGACCAACCTTAAACACTTCAGCTACATTTTGAAGGTGAAATGTCAAAGTTTGTAAGAGTTTGAATGCATTTTGGCATTCCACCCTATCTCCCTTGGGGAGATAAGTCAGAATATAAAGTGTTGTTGTTGTTGTTGTTGTTGTTGTTATTATTATTATTATTATTATTATTATTATTATTATTATTATTATTATAATGCTTTCTGTCCAAAATGCCAACTGGAAACTGGAAGCTGGCAAAAAGGATTCCAGTCACAAAATAAAAACAGTGTGGATGGGATGATAAATACAGAAAAGTGGTGCGTTCTGCTGTCTGAGCTTTGTTTTCCACTTGCAGCGTACTGCTACTCCTCCCTGCGTCCCAGCCTGAAGCACCGGCAGTCTTGCATTGAAAAGTGCAAGGAGACCTGCAAGTAAGTCCAGAGGCACAGGGGTGATTTGAGGACACAGGGGAAATGGACCTCTCTAAGGCTCCTCCTTGGCTGACCCACGGGGACTTCGGGGGTCTGAAAGGTGTGACTTGGTTCCCTCTTTCTTCCTCCAGCAACACTCAGTACAAGATGACCATCTCCATGGCCGACTGGCCCTCTGAGGCTTCAGAGGACTGGATTTACCATATTTTAGCCTATGAAAAGAAGACGGTGACCCAAGTGAAATTGGACAAGTGAGTTAAAGGCCCAAAGCCACAGAAGAGAGCGGTTGCTCCTGCGGCCGGAGTTGGCAGAATGGGACTGAAGGGATGTGTGAGGGCCTTGGGCTCCATGAAAAGGCCTCACCCATGTTCCTATGGTGAATAGCTTGGAATCTGTTCCTGGTAGCTTCTACAGGGTCAGGCGAAGAGGAATCATGCCAGAAACCATAGCTATTTCCAATCAGAGTGTTTAGGAAAGTGCTTAAATCTCAATATAAAATTTTGTACCAGTTAGAGACTTCTTTGGCCAAGTAGCAAGAGATGGAGTGTGCTTGGCTCATCTTGTCTCCGTTTGCCTCCAGCAGAACTGGGATCATCAAGCTGAACATCTACTTCCAAGAGTACAATTACCGGACCATCTCCGAATCGGCAGCAACCACCGTAAGTGGAGCGACCAGGAGCTCGAACCCTTGGCCATGGTTTGCTTTGCTCTCCTCTCCTCTTCTGCCCACTGGCTCTCTTTCTCTGGAGATCACTTTCACCAAAGGGGAGAAAAGACCAATGGCTTCCCAGGGATGATATTGGGAAGTAGGCATCTCCATCTTTTCTGTATTCTCTTTGACAGATCGTCTGGCTCCTCTCCAACCTGGGAGGCCAGTTTGGCTTTTGGATGGGCGGCTCTGTTTTGTGCCTCATTGAGTTTGGTGAGATCATCATCGACTTCCTGTGGATCTTCCTGCTCCAGATGATCGGCTGGTGCCGGGGCGTCCGCAGGAAGTGGCACCCCAACGGCCTGGATGCCCAGAACGAGGGTCTCCCCGCCACCACAATCTCTGCAAAGAGGGAAGCCCACACGAACCCAGCCTTTGAAATTGGGGAAAAGGAAGAGGAGGCTGCGGGCCAGGCAGGGAGCCTCCCGGGGGCCCTACCCGAACCAGGGACCCCGCCCCCGCAATACGACTCCCTCCGCGTTTGTCCCCTGGGCCGCATGGAGATGGAGAGTGACGATGGAGAGGCCTCTGTGTCCAGTAGGACGGCGGTCTAAACCCTAGACGGTTGGAAGGAAAGAAGGAAGGTGGGATGTGCTCCGTGGCTCGGATCCTGTTGGTGCGCTGCGCCAGTGATAGCCACGCATCAGCAGGAAGAAAAAGGCCACAGGAGACAAGGAGGGCGGCAAAAGCTCCAGGGAAGAAGGGCAGTGGATTTGGGCAGTCTTTGCCACAGGGAACTTGTAGAAAGGTGCAGACTTTGTATTGTGCACCAAGGGGATTCTGGTCCCCAACTTCCATGGGGTCTGCACCTTGGACCCACTTTAAACATTTACTCCAACCCCAGCCCCACAGCGAGAATCACAGGCTTGGAAGGGAATTCAAAGGCCCCCTTCCCAATGTGGAGCCAGCCAGACCAGGCCACCCAACCTTTGTTTAGGTGGAAAACTGCAAGTGACCCTCATCAGCAGCAATGGGCCCTGGCCTTGTCACAAGCTACCAACCCACCCCTCTGTCTCTCTTATTAAAGTTCACTTTTCCTTACCAAACGTCTCCCTGCCTCTCTGCGTCTTCTTTTGTGGAAATGTACTGCCTCCCCTTCGGTCCCTTCTGGGTTTTTGAGTCCTTCTAGCCGCAGGAGAAACCTTTGCACACCCAAAACCTAAAGCTTGCATCTTCAAATTTCTGGGTTGAAATCTCTGGTCCTTCCAGTTTTTTCAGAATCCAGGATCCTGCCAAACAGGATCAGATCACACAAGTTTTGAACTCCTGGAGTCAAGCACTTCTCCTAAATGGTTTGTCTTGGTGGACCACCTTTGGTTGGTTCTGTAGGACTAGCTACAGGCACAGATGCCTCCTTCACTTCGGCTGGAAGGTGGGCCTCTTGGCTTCCAACTTTTGTGTCCCCCTCAAGGGCTCCCTTTATTTATTTATTTATTTATTTATTTATTTATTTATTTATTTATTTATTTCGGTTGCTTCTACCCCGCCCTTCTCACCCCGGGGGGGGGGGGGACTCAGGGCGGCTTACAAAAGCAGGCACAATTCGATGCCCGCATCACATAACAGCAAAGACAATAACATCAGTTAACAAAGACAGCAATTCTAGTAATAACAACAATTAACAGAAACAATAATTATTATAGGCAAAAACAACCATAAAACCAATAAAAGCAATAAAACCAATACAAACCTCATTGACGGTCAGCGTTTCAAAATCTCATAGTTCAAATTCCAATTCCACAATTGTCAGTCCTTTCAGTCCTATCCATCTGGTTTCCATATCTAATTGTCAGGTTGCCCAAAGGCCTGGTCCCACAACCACATCTTTACCTTCCTCCTGAAGGCGAGGAGGGATGTTGATGCTCTGATTTCCCCCGGGAGTGAGTTCCACAGGTGAGGGGCCACCACTGAGAAGGCCCTTTCTATGTCTGGTAGTCCTTCTAACCAAGACAGAGGTCCTAAACCAGGGGTCCACAAAATTTTTAAACAGAGGGCCAGGTCACAGTCCCTCAAACTGTTGGAGGGCCGGATTATAATTTGAAAAAAAAAATGAATGAATTCCTATGCATGCTGCACATATCTTATTTGTAGTGTAAAAACACTTAAAAACAATACAATAATTAAAATGAGGAACAATGTTAGCAAATATAAACTTATTAGTATTTCAATGGGAAATGTGAGCCTACTTTTGGCTGATGAGATAGGATTGTTGTTGTTGTTATGTGCTTTCAAGTCTCACCCTAGGGGTGAGAAAAGCGGTATAGAAATACTGTAAATAAATAAATAACACATTTCAGACTTAGGTTGACCTTGAGCGAGGGCCGGGTAAATGACCTTGGAGGGCCGCATCCGGCCCCTGGGCCTTAGTTTGAGGACCCCTGACCTAAACCCTTGGCTACCAGCCATTATTATGGTTTTGTCCTCGATGAGGCTTCAGGACAGGATTGGCAGAGCCATGTGGTTGGAAGGAAAGAGCAAGAGACAACCTTCTAGGCACTACTGAATGGCAACTTCCAGCATTCCTCACCAGGGCTTTTGGGAAGGTGGTCGATGGGAGTTGCAGTCCACCAATCTCCCCAAAAGAGCCCCTGTTGGTGCAGCATGTTAAACTGCTGAGCTGCTGAACTTGCTGACCAAAATGTCAGCTGTTTGAGTCCAGGGAGCAAGGTGAGCTCCCTCTGTTAACCCCAGCTTCTGCCAACCTAGCAGTTTGAAACATACAAATGTGAGTAGATCAATAGGTATCAATAGGTATCACTCCGGCGGGAAGGTTTAGTTATTTTTCGTGTCAGGAGCAACTTGAGAAACTGCAGGTCGCTTCTGGTGTGAGAGAATTGGCTCTCTGCAAGGACGTGCCCAGGGGATGCCAGGATGTTTTACCATCCTTGTGTCCCCATGTGTCCCTGCATGGGGAGCCGGAGCTGACAGAGGGAGCTCACCCGCACTGTCTCTGGATTCGAACCTGCGACCTTCAATCCTGCCCGCACAAGGGTTTAACCCACTGTGCCACTGGAAAGGTAATGGCGCTCCATACAGTCATGCTGGCCACATGAAAATGGAGGTGTCTATGGATAATGCCGGCTCTTCAGCTTCGAAATGGAGATGAGCACCATCCCCCAGAGTCGGACATGACTAGACTTAATGTCAAGGGGAAACCTTTACCTTTAGCCTTCCCAAAACCCTTCAACTTCTCAGTGGCCCAGTTGCCCACCTACCCCTGTTTGAGCAGCAAGAGGGCTGACTGCATTACCCTTTACTTCTATGGGACAGCCATAAAAGGGATGGGGCACACAATGTTATCTGCCTCCTGGGACCAGCCAGTCTCCCTTCTTCGTCTCCTCTCTTCCTCCTTAAGGGCTCCAGGAGGCTTGTAAAGAGTGTTGGGAAAGAACCCATAAACAAAGCTGGGCATTCCACACTTGGGAGGCGCCCAGCTTGGTCTGTGGGAGGCACTAGGCTCTTTACCTCCTGCCAAGACTTGGCCCTGGACTGAGAAGAGCCCATTCCAGGCAGAGGCCCTGCCCACCTCCCCTGGGGGACCAAGAGCCCATAAAGATTGGCAGGTGCCTAGCGAGGGCCAAAGGAGCCTGTTTGGGGCAGCAGGATCCAGTTGGGACAGCCTCTGGGCTCCGGCTTTTCCCAGGCCCTAGAAAAGGGGCCGGCTTGGCCTGGTTGGCCTGGGCAGTGGCGGATCCAGACCCTAGAAAGAAGAAGCACCGAGGTCCCCTCCTGCTCCGCAGAATCCAAGGCTGGGAACACCCGGCCCCATTGCTGCAACCAACCCGCCAAACTGGTTCCCTCTCAGAAGCAGGAGAAGCAGCGGTCCTGCCTGTTCTAGCAGGATAGCCATGAGCAAGAGGCAGGCGCCCACAAGGCATCCCTGGCGCACGCAAGGGCCAGCCTCCCAGGCGCATGGCACACGCCACATGCCGAGCAGCAGCCGGCCCTTTCCCACCAAGAGGTAGCTGGGACCCATTTGCCTGGCCACCAGATAGATCTTTCATTGCGGGACACTATGTTACCCCTTCCCTATTCAGAGCCAGCCCTTGTCCTGGTCTGACCCAATGCCAGCCTTGTCCAGCATGGTCCTGGTCCAGCATTGTCCAGTGTGGGTGAGCTCCCTCTGTCAGCTACAGCTCCCCATGTGCAGACATGAGAAAAGCCTCCCACAAGGATGGTAAAATATCAAAACATCCAGGTGTCCCCTGGGCAGCATCCTTGCAGACGGCCAGTTCTCTCACACCAGAAGTGACTTGCAGTTTCTCAAGTCACTCCTGACATGAAGTTATATGTCTATGCCACATACATGCTGGTCCCACTGCATTCTGGTACGTGTACATGTACCTTGTCTAACAGGGAACAAAATGTTTTACATTCAGCTAAGGAGTACATGAAAGGAGATTTCCAAATGCAGTTGGGTTAACGCAAGGAGGAAGGAACAAATAGCAGCAGGAAGAGTAGATCTGTCTCTCCCTATTCATCACTAGGCCTCCTTTTAGATACTGCCCACAATTTACCCCAGGTTTGGGACTAGCACTGACTTTCTTTCGGGAGGTGGCCACCATTCTGCCCCACCCCACCTTGTAAAACAGCAGTCATTTACACAGACTGCTACTGCTCCAGGAAATAAAGCCTGACTGCTCACTGGAGGGAAGGATATTAAAGGCAAAGATGAAATACTTTGGCCACATAATGAGAAGACAGGAAAGCTTGGAGAAGATAATGATGCTGGGGAAAATGGAAGGAAAAAGGAAGAGGGGGCAACCAAGGGCAAGATGCATGGATTGAAGTTATCCTTGAAGAGACTGGCTTGATTTTGAAGGAGCTGGGGGTGGCCACAGCCAACAGGGAGCTCTAGTGTGGTCTGGTCCATGAGGTCACAAAGAGTCGGAAGCAACTGAATGAATAAATAACAAAAGCGACTCTTTGGGACAAGTGCCTCCCCAGAAGTAATTGACAACTGCACTGTTAAAGAGTTTTATTAATTTACAAATCTGAACATTTCACTCACATCACCAAGTGCTTTCGAAAGGCAGCCTCCGTGTCTGTTTCCTCTTCAGACCAGCACCAGGTAGATGCACAACGACCCTGCAAGGTGAGATGGGGAAACTCCAGGCACACACAGTGGGGCCGCAGAGGACTCTGCCCCAAAGCCCCGCTGCAGACTCCAGGCATTGGCTCAATAGTCTAAGCCCCGCATGGATGCGACGGTACTGGCCAGGCGCCGGGGGAAGCTCTTGGCCACCTGCTTATAGTCCTCGGGTTTGGTCTTGAGGAGGGTGACAGTATTCTGGAGAGCCTTGGATGGCTGGAGGCCCAGCGCGTCCATCACGTTAGCAAGGTAGTCTGGAAGAGCAAATGAAGTCAGTCTATGTAGGGTGGCAATTTCTCCCATGAAGGCCAAGGAGCAAAGGAGAGACCCCAAGGAGGAATCAGGGTCCCCAAGAGGAAGGAAGAGGCAGGGATTGGATCCATGGGAGCATTTGTGGCCCACGCAGAGCATGCCCTCCCTTGCCCTTATTTACCAATATCCGTGGCCAGCTGCTTGGCAGAGTGCGGGCTGAGCTCAGGGATCTGGAGAATGGCTTCACAGTAAGTCTGCATGGTGGCCCTGGCCAGGGAGCCTAGCCAATAGTCAGCCATGTTGTCCAACTCCGGAAGCTCATCACCTTTTGGGATGGAAGAAAGAATAGAGCATAAAGTGTTGGGTTTCATCTTTTGTGTCATCAAGTCCCTAGTCCTCAATGAGTAGCTAGACTAGAAATAGGATTGGGGTGAGGCATTTCTCCCCCATGTTCCTATGCATGTTTACCAAAAGGTCTTACCTCCTCTTCTTCTCCTCCTTTGAAGATGTAGCAATGTAATCTCTGTGAGGGCAGTATGGCCATTTTCTAGAAGCATTCTCTCCTGATGTTTCGCCTACAACTATGGCAGGCATCCTCACAATCTCTGAGGATGCCTGCCATAGATGTAGGTGAAACATAAGGAGAGAATGCTTCTAGAAAATGGCCATACAGCCCACAAAACCTACAACAACCCAGTGATTCCGGCCATGAACGCCTTCAACAATACATCTGTGATGAAACTTTTTTTTAATTGCCCTGAGCTGGCCATGTGGCCATTCGCCATCATTGTTTCTTCTGCCTTTCTTTCCTTCCTGTGAGGATGCACATTTTGCCTATCTCTCTTTAGGCAAAATGTAGCTGCATGGATTTGACTTTTTAACTTATTTCTTTAGAAGATGAGATTTAGTAAGCTAGTCAGCTCCAAGACCTTTCCTATCTAGAATGTATTTCTTTTACTTCAATATTTTTGAACCTAATGTTCTGACTCGTCAATCCTGTGCCATCCTAAGAAATAGAAGCTGATCCCAGATCATCACATGTGTGTTTCTGCTGGTTATGAAGTTTGCTCCTGGTACTCTGCTATATTTATGGTGGAATCACCCAGCTGAGGGTTATTTTTGAGCCTAACAGTTCCGATTCCCCAACAGAGAGGCTTCTCCCCAGGTCCCATCTTTTTAGGCCTCCCAGGACCAAACCCACTGTCTCCTCTCTTCCCAGAGTGATCTGGTTCAAAGCCAAGATATGCAGGCAAGACCACCATTGTGCCAGGAAGGGATTACAGCAGCACACTGGGTTTTTGGATGACAAAGGTGTGATTAGACACGCTCTGCAGACACACACAAAAAGACAGCGGGAAGGCCGAAGGCTCTCAGAAATGGGGGATTTGTTACTGTCCCAACCCTCAAAGGCCGAAGAGGGAAGAGATGGAAGAAAAGGGAATAATTAAGGGGATATTAATTGAGTCGTTAGTGAATGTATCCCCTCCTTAACTCCAACACTGGACCCTGTTTGGTTCTCAGTGCAAAGCAATAATAAAAACAATGTAAGACGAATGTAAGCAATACTAATAGTGTGCTATACTAATAATATATTGTATATACATATGATATTGATCATAATATTATAATGTAATACAATATAATACTAATAAAAATAAAATATAATTGTTTATTACATTTTACATATAATATTATTAATAATATTGCAGTATACTGGTATAGTACAATAGAGTAATATATAACATTTATTATTATTATTATTATTATTATTATTATTATTATTAACTTTATTTGTACCCCGCTAGCATCTTCCGAAGGACTCGATGCGGCTTACAAAGGCCAAGGCCCTCAATAAAACAATAGCATAACAAAACACACAACTCATAAGCAAAACCAAAACAATTGAAGCAATAACAACAAAGCAATAAAACAATACACCGTGACACAGTAAAACTAGGGCCGGGCCGGATATAATGGGTACAGTTAAAAGTGCTGGATATGACAGGTGGAATGCAAGGACTGGGTAAGTGCAATATGCAGACAGTCTGAAATCTCTAATAAAGTGCATCTGGGACGTGATGCTAGAGAGCTTCCTAATCTGGAAAGGCCCACCGGAACAGCCAGGTCTTCAAGCTCTTCCTAAAGACTGCAACGTAGGGGCTTGTCTGATGTCCTTGGGGAGGGTGTTCCAAAGTCAGGGGGGCTACTATGGAGAAGGCCCTGTCCCTCGTCCCCACAAAACGTGCCTGCGGCGCAGGTGGGATCGTGAGCAGGGTCTCCCCAGATGAACGAAGGGAACGCGTGGGTTCATAAACGGAGATGCGGTCACGTAGGTAGGCAGGTCCCAAACCATTTAGGGCTTTGTAGGTGAGAACCTGCACCTTGAATTGGGATTGGAAAATGAACGGCAGCCAGTGGAGCTCCTTAAACAGGAGGGTTGACCTCTCTCTATAAGGAGCGCCAGTTAACAACCTGGCCGCCGCCCGTTGGACCAACTGAAATTTCCGAGCCGTTTTCAAGGGCAGCCCCACGTAGAGCGCATTACAGTAGTCCAATCCAGAGGTGACCAAGGCATGGACCATCCCGGCCAGATCAACCTTTGCAAGGTATGGTTGAAGTTGGTGCACGAGTCTCAGTTGTGCAAAAGCCCTCCCGGTCACTGCTGACGCCTGGGCCTCAAGCGTAAGTGATGAATCCAGGAGGACTCCCAAACTGCGGACCTGTGACTTCAGGGGGAGTGCAACCTCGTCCAGCACAGGTTGCCACCCTATACCCTGATCCGGTTTACGATTGACCAGGAGGACCTCTGTCTTGTCGGGATTAATCTTCAGCTTGTTCATCCTCATCCAGACAACAACAGTGACCAGGCACTCGTCCAGCACCCGAAGGGCTTCCTTGGAATTAGGTGGAAATGAGTAGTAGAGTTGTGTGTCATCTGCATAGAGATGGCACCCAACTCCAATATTGTGCTTTGCTAGTAATATAATATATTGTATGTACATATAATATTGATCATAATATTATAATGTAATACAATATGACACTAATAATAATAAAATATAATTTTATATTGTATAATACATGTAATATTACTAATAATATTGAAGTATAGTGATATAGCACAATATAGTACCATAATATATCATACTAATATTGTGCTATGCTAATAATATAATATATTGTATGTACATATAATATTGATCATAATTTTGTAATGTAAAACAATATAATACTTATAATCTAATATAATAATAAAATTATATATATTACATGTAATATTACTAATACTATTGCATTATAATGGTGTTGTACAGTATAGTAATATATAATGCTAACATTGTACTATGCTAATATAATATATTGCATACAGTGTTTCCTTGCTACTTTGTGGTTCGCTTTTCGCGGACTCACTGTTTTGTGGGGTTTTGCCTCTCAGTTTATGAATGGTTGCCGTTGCCCAGAGCGGCATTCTAATCCTGCCTCCTGGCAATGATGAAGTGTGGAAGGGGGTTTCACCCTCCCCCCTCAGGAGAGAGGCAGTCAATCAAGGGAGATTGCAAAGCAAAGCAGAGATAGCTAGCAAAAAAAAAAAAAAAAAAAAGTGCGAGGTTCCTTTAAATCTCTCCTCACATCTGCCTCATCCTCAGAACTCGATATACATATATTGTGTCCCTACTTCGCAGATTTTCGCTTTTCGCGGGTGGTCCTGGAATGTAACACCTGTGATAAGTGAGGGAACACTATATACATATAACCTGTAAGCTGCTCTGAATCTCCTTTGGGGTAAGAGAGGGCGGGGTATAAACTGGAAATAAGTAAACGACATAAATAAATAAGTCTTCCTTTCCCCTCGTGGGTGCACCCACCCACCTTGCTCCGGGGGGAAGGGGAGCTTCCCGGCATGCAAGGCCAGCTCCAGGGCTGAGTCCTCCTGGGTCGTCACAAAGGGCTCCAAGTGTAGCGGGAGGGACATCAGATACTGGCCGATCTGGAATGACAAGTGGAGGATGGGGGTCTTCAGGGACAGAAGAGCCAAGGCAGCAACACAGGCCCCAGCCCAAACAGGCCCCAGCCCAGCCGCTCTGTGTCTCTCAACACTGGCTGTGCCCCCGTTGCAATATAAAGCCCCCAACAACCTTCAGACACAGAGACAATCCCAAACCAAGGCTGCAATGGCACTGGGGGTCTTCCAGGTTCTGCTCTGAGCCCGGAAGGGGGCTTCCCAAAGTCCCAGAAAGACAACACATGGGAGGTCTCCCCAATGCGCCCTCTCCTCTTTCCTCACATTGCTGATGTATTCCAGGGGGGTGAGGCTGAAGTTGGGCAGGTCGTCCGTGAGCATCTCTCCGCTGCCTCCAGTGCTCCAGGCCTGGGTTCGAAAGGAGACAGAAGAAGAAGGAGGTGGATCTCCTCCCTCCATTCTTTACTCTACCCATGACCTCCAAAAGAGGACTTTTGGGGTGTTTGTTCCCTCCTCTTCGAGTCCATAATGGACCAGCTCACCTCCATCTTGGGGACCAGCAGGAGCTGTTGCTTGATGCGAAGGAAAACGGACTCGAAGGCCAGCTGGTGGGCCGACTGGTTTAGGCGGGCGAGGGCTGAGCGCGAGGCCGAAAGCAAGTTATGGTTGGTCCCTTTCTCCTTTTCAATGGATCAAAGAGAGGTAGATAAGACAAATAATAATAAATAATAATATTGCACTAGGTATTTAGGCCCCTGCCTCTCCTTTAAATGTTTGCCTTGCTAGTTACTGTGGGCTGGATTTTTTTGGGGAAAATATATTTAATTCTGCATCTTAACATTTCAACTCTCCATAGTGGAACGCACTGCCACAAGATATAGCAAAGGGCTGCCAATCTGCACTGATGAGAAAGGCTAGTTCTCAATAGCCGTTATTTGCAACATTTGCTGAGGAACATAAGTTGGAGGGTGTTGTCGCCTTCATACCCCTGATATCTTCATGAACCACAAGAGAGTTATTATATTAATGGGCTAATAAATACATTCAGCAAATGGATAGTGAGGGGGGAAAGCGTGTTTGTGTGAGATAGACTCTGCAGGACAAGTTTCCCCCAAAACCCGGCTGGGATTTGTAGAAGCCGGGAGCAATAGGAGGAGTAGCAGGTCTTGGACTCACCTTGAGTGTGTAGAGGGTCTCCAGGAGGGCCGCATATTCAGCAGGGCTCTCTGCTTGGAGGTAGTTGTGCTCCTGCCAGGGGTTCTTGAAGGGACTGGGCTTCTCTGGAGAGGGCTCCTGGAGGCCGCTCAGGCTGCAGGGGCTGTAGGTGTCTGACAGGTACTTGCCTGCCCTGGAGAGGATCCTGCAAAACAGCCCAAATGGCAATGGCCCCAAAGTGTCCTCAGCCCCAAACAAGGAGTCAGGGGAGAGCTCCATGTTTGTGCCCAGCAACTGCACCACAGTTGGTCACTTTGCAATGTTTTCTGACCCATCAATGCCTTTGTCCCCTCTCCAGCGTTACCTGTTTGCCAGCTGTTGCTCGAAGTCTCCACACTGACGCAGGAGCTCTCCGCAGGTCCCAATGATGCTGTGGCAGGAAAACACCAATCAAAATCTCTGAGACAATACAACATACAACTTGGCTCACTTGCTTGGGTCACTCATTGCTACTTGAGCCCAATGGAAGAGATCTGACAACTCTATCAGCTGTCCAAATTTAAGAGACTACTGAAGACCTAGCTCTAATAATAAAAATAATGGTGCAGGGAGATTATTATTTATTATAATTATATTAATTATTACAATTATTATTATTATTATTATTATTATTATTATTATTAACCTCTCCTTATGGCTCGACCTATCTCTAATAATAATAATGGTGCAGAGAGAGTATTAATTATTATAATAATAATTATTATTAACCTCTCCTTATAGCTCGACTTATCTCTAATAATAATAATACTAATAATAATGGTGCAGAGAGATTATTAATTATTATAATTATTATAATTGTATTTATTATTATTATTATTATTATTATTATTATTATTATTATTTACCCACCTCTCCTTATGGCTCGAGGCGGGGCACAAATGCAGTTAAAATATGTCATCGTCATAAAATACATTCAATTAAAATAAAATAAAAACGATTTCTATACATACTTATTATTGTTATGGGCAGGGAGATTGGGGACCTGCTTAACTTTTAAACACGTGATCCCCTATAAAGGCATTAACAAATAATACTTCAAGGCAGGACCAGAGGAAGCAGACACATACACCCCACTTCCAGTATCCTCACCGGACAGCCGTCTGGAAAGCGCCCCAGTCTTCCTGGAAGAGCAAATCCGAAGGGATCTCGTCCAACTGGCATTTCTTCCGGATGGAGAGCAGGGTGTTGCTGAAGTCCGAGGAGTATCTGCAGAATGGGGCAAAGTCAAGAGGCAGAGTTTAGGGCCTCAAAGGTACCTGCAAAAAGGGATTGCCCAGGGTGGGAAAGGAAGGAGGAAGGGGTAAGGCTTGGAAAGTCCTGTTGCTGCCCCACTCTATCCAAGCATTATGTCCTTCAGATAAAATTACCCTTAACCAAGAAAGTCAAGTTTTCATGCTTTCCTCCAACCTCAGCAGATGGGCCCAGGCTCTTTTGGACAAGACTTTTGTTCTCTGTTTCAGGGAGCATCTCAGTCCAAGCATCCCTTGCAGCCGGTCTTCCACCTGTGGCCCCATTCCAATGGAGGGGGAGGCTCTGGCCCACTGGCAAAGGATCACAAGATGCACTCAAAGCAAAGGACTCACTTGTGGAAGAGGGCCCTCAGGGCCTTGAGGAGGCCACCCACGCCAAGGCCATCAGTCAGCTGGAGGCAGTGGTCCACAGCGGCCGAGGCCAGGCCAAAGAGCTTGCTGACCGAGTGGCTCAGCTCCTGGACACAGTCAAGGATCTCTCCATGCTCCTGGGGAGAAACACCTCACAATCACACACCAAGACCCACATTCACAACCCAGCCCTGCTTTGAAGGAAGAGATCCTTGGAATGGGCAGGCAACATGGACACCCAAGGGATAGGGCCTGCATCTGGCCAACAGATATGGAATTTGCAGATATGGGATGATCACAGAGAAGGTCTCTTCTCATCCATTTCCCTGCACCATAATAATAATAATGGTGGTGGTGGTGGTGGTGGTGGTGCAGGTAGATTATTATTATTTAAAGAAATGTGTTTTAATAATGATGACAAGGACGACAACAATGATGATGATAATAATAATTCTCCCTGAACCATTATTGATGCTGTTGTTGTGCAGGGAGATTGCTACTGTTGTTGGTATCATGTTTTACTTATTATTCTTACTATACTTAAATTTAGATAATTTTACCCTGTTCTTCAGTCACAAAAGCAATCAAGAGCAGCTTACAAAATGCCCTTAGTATGAAGACGCTTTAGTGTGTGAGAGGCCTCAGTGTGAGGTAAACCTCAATGTTAGTAGAGGTAGGCCTCAGAGTTAGTAGGCCTCAGTGTGTGAGAGGCCTGGAGTGAGAAGGCTTCAGTGAGAGAAGCCCTAGGTGTGAAGGTTGCTGTATGTAAAAGGTTGCTGTGTGAATGAAGCTCCTATATAAGTGAGAGACACTGTGAGAGTGAAGCTTTCTATCTGCATGAGAAAGATGCCCAGCATGGAAGCAAAGAAGGAAGTATAAAGAACTTTATTTGTGTTATGAAAACCTTGTTTTTGTAAATAGTGCAACCATACTATTTTGCTATAAAGAAAAGCCTCCTAAGGAAGATATAACATTGGTCTGTGTGTTTTTGTTCTTTATATCACTTTTAACTACTGGTGCTGGGTCATGCTGCAGCTAATAAGTTATACATTTATAAGAAGCGTATTTTGTTAATAAGTCCACTCGCCCAAAAAATTTGCCCTTGGCTTACAATGTACATTTCTGACTTGATAATGGCTCTGAGAAGAGCTCATGTCACTCCCCACTTTTATGCTAAGTGAATACAAGAGATGGGGAGGGTACATAGGGAAAGGAGGGGGGCGGGCTTGGCTTTACCAGTGGGACGGCACTCATTTGGATGAGCAGGTTCTCCTCCTCCAAGGCCCCATATTGCATCTGGAAGGGCTTGTAAGGGCCGTAAGTGGCTTCCACCAGCTCCCCCACCTTCACCAGGTTGCAGTCCTCTGGGAAACCAAGGAGAAAGGATTACAATTGGGGGGGGGGGGGGGGGGGGCTTCAGAGATCACATTTCTCCCCTACTTGATTCTAAGACTACAGACAATAGCATAGGAGCAAACGGAGTGCCAGAATGACCCACCGCTTGCAAAGTCAATATCTATTGTTTCCGCACTGATGTGTTTGCAAGCTGAGCCTGACCTCGGGTGACCTTGGGGTCGGGTTCCCTTGTACCTGAGCTGGAGTGACCCTCCCACTCCTCAATGTCTTGGCAAGGCTTATCCAGAGCCTTCCTCCTAGATATTATGGGACCGTACGGTCAGCTGAGGATTGGAACCCTGGTTTCCTGGAATCCTGGAAGAACACTGAAAACCCAGTCCTATTCTGGCACTTATGGCCAGGAACTAATCCTTAGCAGAAGCTGTTCAACCTTTTAAGAATGGGAAGTGGGGGGGTATTAAAATGCCGGGAACCTCCTCAACAGTGCAAGCAAGGGGCACAAAGGGGTCACAACCACATGAGAAAGCCAAGAAGGCTGGAGTCCCCCGTTTGCCAAACTCAGAGGCAATGGGACTCAAGAGGCCAAGTTTCAACCCACAAAAAAGCGCTAAGTGATGTTTACTCAAGATAGGCTCCATCATGTTCTGATTCAACAAACACCCGAAAGACTGTGTCAACAAGGCTCAGGGCAAGTCAAACACAGTTTGGGACAAATGTTATGTAACCACCAAATGCCACTAGTGCCAGGCGGACAAACAGCATTGCTGTTTAGAAAAGGGGAGAGAAAACTGTGGGAAAGAATGAAAAGGAAGGCTTCACTGGGGCAAGGCCTGAGAAGGGGGTCTTCTGGCCAATAAAGGGGGCACTTACTCAGGCAAGGTATCATCGCGGCCTCTAGGCCCCGAGCAAAAAAAGTGGTGGTCTCATAGAGGCCCAGCAGGAGGTCCAGCTTGCCATCGGGTCCGGCGCGTTCCATCGACGAACTCAGGCAGGCCGGGATGGGGGGCACCAAAGCCCCCAAGGCCTGGAGCAGCAGCACCGTCACCACCTGATGTGGGGCCTTGAAAACCTGGAAGATGTATAAAAAAGAGGATTGGACGAGACAGGAGAGGGGTTGGGGGTCACAAACCACAGCAGGAGCCCCCGATTTGGAATGGCAGGAAGCAACCACCATATTAACAAGATGGTTTAACCCAGGAGAGGGAAAGGCAGCTGGGTGTAGGTTGCCTCACATTCTCTCCCGCTTTACATAGCTAGAACATTGCAAATGCTGCCAGTGGGTGCCAGGACGGAGGAATGTAGCAATAAGATAATCAATAAGATTACCTCCAGTTTAAAACATTACTATTAAAAAGAAAACAACAAATAACACGTCATGGGAAAGGAGCCTTTCCCACGGCCTGAAGAAGTAAATACGTCCTCAACTAGACTCTTTGGGAAACACCCACAAAGCAGGGAAATGCTAAAAGGTGCCTGAATCTTATTATTAAGGGACAAGAAATCCCTCATCTTCATCTATATAAATAAAAATATAATGCTCGTTTGTGGGATTAACATAACTCAAAACCACTGGACGAATTGACACCAAATTTGGACAGAATACACCTCTCGGCCCAACAAGTGACCATCACTCATAAAACACTGAAAAACACAGCAGAAGAGACTTAAAAAGCCAAAAAATAAAAATACATTACAACGTATGAACAAAACCACATATATACACATATACACACATACACACACAAAACGCATATATACTGACTGGGCCACAGCAACGCATGGCAGGGGACAGCTAGTAATACATATTTCTCACAAAACTGCACTCAAAGAGGCCACGACTGTATCTCATGCGTGAGGCCTTGGCTCTCCTGGTTGCGGAAAGATGGAAATGAACTCACATCAAAGGTTTTATGAGGGAGACGGAGGTGCAAAACCTGCCCTTTCCTGGAAGCTGTAAAATGGGCCCAGCTTTACAGTGGCCTCAGACCGGTTCAAAGCAAGATAGAGCCAGAGAGGGGTTTATAGGTGAAAATATTTGCTTACAAACAGTGTGACTGGGCGGGAAGACGGCAGCGACACCTGACTTGCACCTCAAATGATAACCACTCAAGAAGCTATTTTTGAATCCCAGAAACTGAATGCACTTCATCGAGAGCCTGTAAAATCTGACCATAATATCTGTTCAAATCCCTGGGCAAATGAATCAAAACACCATGGAGACTGGGTTTGCTTGTGGTCAAGAGGAAAACAGGAAAATTTATTCCTGAATATACATACAGAATCTTTTGTAAAGATGGGAAGTGGGCAAAGGAAGCCACAGGAAGAAAACAAGACATTGGTAAACCAGTCAAAGGAGAAGACTAAATATAAGAAAGAGATCAAAAGCAAACCAAAGCGAGTGACGATGGATTCCCTCTGTCAGATTTATCCCCTTTGGAAGCCGGACTGTTAAAATGTCCTGCTGCTGACATATCCCCTATTCACAGAGGGTTTAATGGGAGATTATACAGAACACTATTTACGTTGGCCAATGCATTATTTTTATCCACCCGAGCTTTTCATAAAAGGCAAATGTTTGCTGAGGACTTCCCTTTGCCCAGTCACATCAGACTCTGAGTCAGATCTCCGAGTGGATGAAAATAAAAATCAACTGGATCCCAATGAAGAAACACAGCAGCTCCTTTTGTAGGAAACACAGACCATTCTGGGAGGCATCATAGGTAGAAAAATGGCCATCAAGGGGGGACTCATTCCAGGCCGATTGCCGAAAAGGCCTCTGGGGAGCTACCAGCGGTTGCCCAAGATAAGATCAGTCTTCCCCTTCATGGGTGAAAGCCTCCATCAAGCTAATCTGATGGTGCCGGCAATTGGAGACAAAGGCCCCCACTGCAAGGAACCAGTTTGGCCTCCAAGTTGCCAATGGGGCACCCCAGGCCTTTGCTGCTGATGCTGCAGCAGATTTAGGCTGCGTTGAACATGTGGGCATAAGAAGATCCGGCCACAGACTCAGGGCCTGCACCCAAGTACAAACCTTGAGTATACAGGAAGGGCTTCTCCATAGAAAGGCTTTGGTCCTGTTTATCGCAGGCAAATGCAGCTTTTCTCTCTGCAGAGAGGAGCAGGGACCCAAGGGCTGTGCTTGGAGATGCTCCAGGTTCAAGTTACAAGGGTGGCCACTCTCCAAGCACAGCGACTGGCCCTTGCTTTAAAACTCTGATGCGTGCACATCAACCACAAAAAGGATGCTGAATTCAACCCCGCAAAATCTCAAGCGAGCACAGTGCGATTACAGGTGCACAGAAGATACTCGTTACAGCTTCTTGGAAAGCTGCTAACAGCTAGGAACTGGTTTATGTCCAAACCTTGAGTGAGATACAACCAGCTAATGATTTTGCAAAGGAAAATAGCAGAAAAAACAGTAATCCGAGTGAGCTGCGTCAACTGGTTCGCCAAACGCTAGAGGCCATAAATGGAGAGGGTGTTTGCCAAAAATGTTGCAGCCATCTACGAGCAACTCAGGCACATCTTTTCAAAGAGATGGGGGAGATAGGGCAGCTCCAGGACCATGGCAACCACACTCTAGGGGAGTCCTCCTGCTCCCGGCTCACAACTGGACCTTTAGCCCCATGTGACCATCCACACAAGGGACGGCAACAGCCCCGGGGCTTCCCTTTGCCCGTTTACCTGCATGGCCCACTGCAGCTGTGTGTGCCAGGTCTCCAGCAGCAGGTCATAGAGCCCTGTCAGCTGACGGTCTAAAGGCAGGTCTGACTGGCACAGGTCCTGCCAAGCAGACACCAGCTGCACCTGAAAGAAAGAGAGGGAGAACCATCGTCATAAGAGGGGCAGCACATGATGGGCATCGCTCAGGATCTCTGAAGGGACACTTGGGGAAGATTTCGCCTTCCAGATTAACATTACGTAACTGAATATGCTTTTATATTATTTACATTATCAGCACTAGCACTGTCCTTTTTGTAAAAATACTTCTTTTTATACAAATTGGCTGGGAGTTAAGCCTGTCACTGGGCACCCAGAATCTACGGCCCTTCACATGCTTTTGGTATGCCAGCTCTCATCATCCTGGGACATTGGTTTGTTTGTCTCAGGGGCTGATTGGAGATGTAGTACAATACAATATGGAAGGCCATGTGCTTCCTCAGCCCTGGTGTAAAGCGAAAAGTTTCAGCAGGGACTTACGGAGCAATGAGGCTTACCTTGTGGCATTTGTAGTAGTAAGCCAGCAGCTGGGGCATGCGGTCGATTTCTGTGAAGACTTTCACAAACACTCGGGACTGGTCTAGAAAGATGGCAAATTTAGGGAGTTCAGGGGGATGAAATGCTCCAAAGCTCTGGAATTCCCTCCATTCCCCCTTGTCTGCCCCCCACTTCTTTTGCTGTCTGGGGAACTCTTTCCTAATCCAGGAACAAATTGCCTTTATGTAATGGGTTTTCTGTTTTAAAGCTATACCCTTTACGCTCCCTTGGCAACCCCCTCTTCACAGAAGTCAATATTAACACTGAATTACAACACTGCCCGAGCTCTGCAAGTGCAGCATTTTTTAAAATGGAAGAACAGAGTGTTTGAGGATTGGGACATCCATAGGGATATCAAGGTATTTGTTTATAAAGCTACTGTCTTCCCAACCCTGCTATACACCTGCAAAACGTGGACTGTCTACAGACGTCACACTCAACTCCAGGAACTATTCCATCAGCGTTGACTCCAAAAAATCCTGCAAATCTCTTGGGAAGAGAGGCGGACAAATGTCAGCATGCTGGAAGAAGCAAAGACCACCAGCACTGAAGCAATGCTCCTACACCATCAAATCCACTGGACTGGCCACATTGTCCGAATGCCCGATCATTGTCTCCCGAAGCCATTACTCTACTCCTAATTCAAGAATGAACATTTAGTTGGATAGAAAAAGAGATTTAAAGATGGGCTTAAAGCCAAAATTAAAACCAGTGGCATAGCCACCGAGAACTGAGAAGCTCTGGCCCTTGAGCGCCCTAACTGGAGGTCAGCTGTGACCAGCAGTGCTGCAGAATTCAAAGAGTCACAAATAGAGGGCAAAGGGGAAAAATGTGCCAAGAGGAAGGTATATCAAGCCAACCCTGATTGGGACCACCTTCCACCTGGAAACTGATGTTCACTGTGGAAGAACATGTGGATCAAGAATAGGGCTCCATGGTAAAAGGCGAAAGATTTATACGATCTGAAGAGAAACCAGAGTCATGGAGACAAAAATAAGACCCCAAAAAGAAGACTGGGAAAAGAAAATCCTTGATATAATGTGCATGGATAAACTGACATATCTACTTTCAAAGACACATAATAAACACATGAAGATGACTGACTGGACACTCCTCAAGACTTGGTCGAAAGTGCAATTATTGATATAACAATAACAATAATAAAAAGGAAATATAACAATTACATATACAGACCCACTATCAGAAGAAGGATGAAAATGGGAATAAAAACAAAAAGGAGAAAAATGTTTATTGTCAGCGTCTCTGTGATGAGAAATGGAAGAGCATACCCTCCCATCCTTCCTTTTTTTCTTTCCCCCCCCCTCTCCTCCCCAACACCCCCCCCCCCACTGTTTTATTGTAAAAGGAAAACCCTTAATAAAGATATTATATATATATATAAGAATAAGGCTCTATGGTCACCTACGTATCCACCTCCAAGACACTACACTTGAACGCCATCATATGGGATTGCTTTAAGAAAAATCTAAGAATACCCTATGAAATCCTTGCTTTTAAATTACTGTCAATATAGATCCAATTCCGCAAACAGTAAATAAAATGTAGCTTTTTGTTTATTTTTTCCTATGTCTTCCACATTTTTCCATTCTGTAATACAACTTGAGTGTCACTCTTAGGGGAAAAGACATGTCCTGGGTCCTAGGAGGAGGAGAGTTCGGGTGCTGCTGAGACAGACAAGACAATGGCTGCTTCCAAAGTTACCAAACTCTGTCTTGGGATGCCTCCTGCTGGCAGCTTTGTCACAGAGCTGCTCTGTCCCCAGGGTTTGCTAAGATTTCTCCACAGACTGAGGCTTATATGGGGAGAGTCTGCCCCCATCCGGACACTTAAGACAAAGCAAGATGCCTGTGTTAAACGTTCTCAAAGCACTATGTTGTTGAAAGCTTTCGTGGCCGGAATCACTGGGTTGCTGTGAGTTTTCTGGGCTGTATGTCCATGTTCCAGGAGCATTCTCTCCCGATGTTTCACCCACATCTATGGCAGGCATCCTCAGACCTCACAACCTCCGAGGATGCCTGGCATAGATGTGGGTGAAATGTCAGGAGAGAATGCTTCTGAAACATGGTCATGCGGTCTGGAAAACTCACAGCAACCCTTTCCAAAGCAGGTCTCAAAGAGAAGCCCTCCATGGCTAAAAAGGGAGGATGAAAATCTTTTTAAAGAATGGGAACCATTTCTATCATTCATAAAGGAAGAAAAGGAAATGTCAAAATGCTGGCAGGTTTTGAAAATTGGAAAAAAAATTAAGACTGCAGCCAGGAAATCAGAAGACATTTACTTCTTGGGAGGAGAGCAATGAACAACCTCAATAACATAGTGAAGAGTAGAGACATCACACTGGCAATGAAGGCCCGCATAGTTAAAGCAGTGGTATTCCCCATAGTAACCTATGGATGTGAGAGCTGGACCATAAGGAAAGCTGAGCAAAAGAAGACAGATGCTTTTGAACTGTGGTGTTGGAGGAAAGTTCTGAGAGTGCCTTGGATCGCGAGAAGCACCAACCAGTTCATACTCCAGGAAAGAAAGCTCGACTGATCACTGGAGGGAAGGATATTAGAGGCAAAGATGAAGCACTTCGGCAACATATGAGAAAACAGGAAAGCTTGGAAAAAATAATGATGATGGGGAAAATGGAAGGAAGAAGGAAGGGGGCCCAACCAAGGGCAAGATGGATGGATGTTATCCTTGAAGTGACTGGCTTGACTTTGAAGAAGCTGGGGGTGGTGACAGCCATGGGCTGGTCCATGAGGTCACAAAGAGTCAGAAATTACTCAATGAATAAACAACAACAAAAGCGGAGGCTGGATAGCAATCTCCAAGGAGAGGTTGCATGGAGTCTTCCTTCCTGGCAGAAGGGGGTTGGATTGGATGGCCTCTGGAAGTCTCTTCCAACTCTAAGATTTTACAAAACTATGATTCAAAGGATGAACAATAACCATGTGCTCCAATGCGTCCCAGTCCTACAGCAACAATCTGGACTTCCACAGGGGCCTCTCTGCCCATCCCACCTCATCCAAAGCCCCATGCCCTGGTCCTCACCCACAGACTGGGCATTGAAAGCTGCCACGATCTGGGGACTGGCCAGGGCCTCCAGCCTGTTCTTGAGGGCCTCCAAGTGGACGCACTTCTCGGAGTAATCTGGGGTGTCCACCAGCACCGCCAGGCTGCTCTGCATGCTGGTCAGCTTGGCCGAGATAACTGAGACGTCCTGCAGGTTAAGCGAAGAAGACACAGTCACTGTGCATGTCCCAAATAGAATCACTCCAGGCATCCCACACCACCTTTGAGGCACAAGTCGCTTCACCTGCGTCTTAAATGTCTCCTCAATGTCGGCACTGAGGGTGCTCCACTTGTCTGCCTCCTGGAGGGAGTCTGCGGCCACCTGCATCCGGGATTTCACCTGGTCCAGCTGGACCAAGACCTGGGAGAGGCAAAACTGTGAGGGACCCTGACCCGCACTATCCATAGGCCACTGCCAACATTTACATTGCCTCCAGACAGGCCCTAACAAAGCCCCTGCAAAAGGGGCCATACCTGCATGGACTGAGCCGTGTCCTGCTCCAGCTTCTTGATATCCTCCCGCACCAGCACCATCTGCTCTTTCAGGAAGGCCGCCTCCTGCTTCAGGGCCTCCACCTCCCGCAGGACCCTGGGCATGCTCTGCAGGGCCTGCTGGCTGGTCTCTGAGTAAGAGAGTGGCAAAAACTGAGCTGCCAGGACTGGAGAAGTATTATTATGAACTGTATCCATATCCTGCCTTTCTTCCCATAGGCACTCAAGGTAGATGGAAAGCAGGGCTTGGAAAGGCTAGCCCAGGCCTCTTCAACCTGTGGCCCTCCAGCTCCCAGAAGCCCCTGTTGCCAACTTGTTCCATGGTCAGGAACTCTGGGAGCTGAAGTCCAAAACACTCATTAGACCAGAATTTAGGAAACTGTAGATGGAGCCTTAGTCTGAAGGATGCAACAAAGCTTTAGAAAACTCTTAGATTAAGCTAACATACATAAATGTCTGAGTAGTCAAAGAAGAACCATAGAAACTTACAATTCATAGAATCATAGATTAGTACACACACACCGCCACTATGCAGGAAAAGCACAAAGCACTCCTGACAGATGGCCATCCAGCCTCTTTTTAAAAGCCCCCAAAGAAGGAGCTTCCACTACACTCCAGAGCAGAGTTATTATAATAATAATTATAATAAAAAAACTTTATTTATAGCCCGCCAACATCTCCCCAAAGGACTTGGAGCGGCTTACATGAGGCCAAGCCCAACAACACATCAATAAAAACAACAAGCAATAAGCAAATAAACAATACAATTAATATAACTCACATATAGACAAAACACATAGAGATTTAAAAACCTATGGCTGGGCCAAATGTAGTAGTTAAAACTTTAAAATAAATGCTGGACATGAGGTAGGATGTATCTAGTAGGAGGGTTTTAAACAAGAAGTAGGGGGAGCAACCCAACGGGTAGTTAAAGTGCTTCTCAAGATATTTTGCAGGAGATTGTGTCCTTTATTCAGGGAAGGCCACATTTTCAGGCTCCTCCTAAAGACTGCCAATGTGGGGGCTTGTCTGATATCCTTGGAGAGTGAGTTCCAGAGTCGGGGGGCCACCATAGAAAAGGCCCTCTCCCTCGCCCCCACCAATCGCGCCTGCAAAAGAGGTGGGAGCGAGAGCAGGGCTGTTCCAGATGATCAAAGAGATCTTGTGAGTTCATACACAGAAAAGCGGTCACGCAGGTAGGCGGGTCCTAAACCGTTCAGGGCTTTGTAGGTAAGAACCTGCACCTTGAATTGGGATCGGAAAATGAACGGCAGCCAATGGAGCTCCTTAAACAGGGGGGTTGACCACTCCCTGTAAGTCGCTCCAGTTAGTAATCTGGCTGCCCGTTGGACCAATTGAAATTTCCAGGCCGTCTTCAAGGACAGCCCCACGTAGAGTGAATTACAGTACTACAATCTGGAGATGATTAAGGCATGAACCACCCTGGCCAAATCTGACTTCACAAGGTATGGTCGCAGCTGGCACACGAGTCTTAGTTGTGCAAAGGCCCTCCCAGCCACTGCCGACGCCTGGGCCACTGTTCCACTGTAGAACAGCTCGTATGGTCAGGAAGTTCTTCCTAATGGTCAGGTGGGATCTCTTTTCCTGTCATTTGAACCCCTTGCTCCGAGTCCTAGTTTCCAGGGCAGCAGAAAACAAGCCTTCTTCCTCTTCCTTATGACATCCTTTCACATATTTATATATAGCTATTATATCTCTTCTCAACCTCTTCTGCAGGCTAAACAGATCCAACTCTTTAAGACACTTCTCATAGGCATGGTCTCCAGACCTTAGTCAAATCCTATTATGTTTGGAAAGAAAAGCACAATCAAAACCCTCCTAACAGATGGCCCTCCAGCCTCTGCTCCAAAGCCTCCAAAAAAAGGAACCTCTGTTGAGCAGCTCTTCTTACAGTCAGAAGGTTCTTCCTAAAGTTCCAGTGTGATTTTTTTTCCTGCAGTTTGGATCTGTTGTGTCTCTAGAGTACTTTGCGGGCTTGGCTTCCTCTGTCTCAGACTATGCACAAAAGGGCCCTTCTACACATGCTGTAAAACCTGTAAGTAAAAGGGGGTGGTGGTGACTAAACAACATTTAGCCATAGTGCAGGATGGATCGGGTTAAGAGAGAAAAAGAACGTGGTAAAAAAGTACACTTCATAGAATCATAGAATCAAAGAGTTGGAAGAGACCTCTTGGGCCATCCAGTCCCAACCCCCTGCCAAGAAGCAGGAATATTGCATTCAAATCACCCCTGACAGATGGCCATCCAGCCTCTGTTTAAAAGCTTCCAAAGAAGGAGCCTCCACCACACGCCGGGGCAGAGAGTTCCACTGCTGAACGGCTCTCACAGTCAGGAAGTTCTTCCTCATGTTCAGATGGAATCTCCTCTCTTGTAGTTTGAAGCCATTGTTCCGCGTCCTAGTCTCCAAGGAAGCAGAAAACAAGCTTGCTCCCTCCTCCCTGTGGCTTCCTCTCACATATTTATACATGGCTATCATATCTCCTCTCAGCCTTCTCTTCTTCAGGCTAAACATGCCCAGCTCCTTTAGCCGCTCCTCATAGGGCTTGTTCTCCAGACCCTTGATCATTTTAGTCGCCCTCCTCTGGACACATTCCAGCTTGTCAATATCTCTCTTGAATTGTGGTGCCCAGAATTGGACACAATATTCCAGGTGTGGTCTCACCAAAGCAGAATAGAGGGGTAGCATGACTTCCCTAGATCTAGACACTATGCTCCTATTGATGCAGGCCAACATCCCATTGGCTTTTTTGCCGCCACATCACATTGTTGGCTCATGTTTAACTTGTTGTCCACGAGGACTCCAAGATCTTTTTCACACGTACTGCTCTCGAGCCAGGCATCCCCATTCTGTATCTTTGCATTTCATTTTTTCTGCCAAAGTGGAGTATCTTGCATTTGTCACTGTTGAACTTCATTTTGTTAGTTTTGGCCATCTCTCTAATCTGTCAAGATCGTTTTGAATTCTGCTCCTGTCCTCTGGACTATTGGCTATCCCTCCCAATTTGGTGTCGTCTGCAAACTTGATGATCCTGCCTTCTAGCCCTTCATCTAAGTCATTAATAAAGATGTTGAACAGGACCGGGCCCAGGACGGAACCCTGCGGCACTCCGCTCGTCACTTCTTTCCAGGATGAAGAGGAAGCATTAGTGAGCACTCTCTGTGTTCGTCCACTTAACCAATTACAGATCCACCTCACCGTAGTTTTGCCTAGCCCACATTGGACTAGTTTCCTTGCCAGAAGGTCATGGGGGACCTTGTCGAAGGCCTTACTGAAATCCAGGTACGCTACATCCACGGCATTCCCCGCATCTACCCAGCTTGTAGCTCTATCGAAGAAAGAGATCAAATTAGTCTGGCATGACTTGTTTTTGATAAATCCATGTTGACTATTAGCGATGACTGCATTTGTTTCTAAGTGTTTGCAGACCGCTTCCTTAACAATCTTTTCCAGAATCTTGCCCGGTATCGACGTGAGGCTGACCGGACGGTAGTTGTTTGGGTCATCCTTTTTTTCCCTTCTTGAAGATTGGGACCACATTGGCCCTCCTCCAATCTGCTGGAACTTCTCCCGTTCTCCAAGAACTCTCAAAGATGGTTGCCAATGGTTCCGAAATGACTTCCGCTAGTTCCTTCAATACTCTGGGGTGTAGTTGATCTGGCCCTGGGGCCTTGAACTCATTAAGAGCGGCCAGGTATTCCTGGACGACTTCTTTCCCAATTTGGGGTTGGATGTCCTCCAATCCCTCATCCACTCCATCTTGCTGAGGTTGAAGACTCTCTTTTTGTGAGAAGACCGAGGCAAAGAAGGCATTAAGTAGTTCTTCCTTTTCCCTATCCCCTGTCAGCATTGCCCCATCTTCTCCTCGAAGAGGTCCTATCGCCTCCTTGTTTTTCCTTTTTCTACTGACATAAGAATAGAAGCCCTTTTTATTGTTTTTAATGTCCCTTGCAAGTCTGAGCTCGTTTTTTGCTTTAGCCTTGCGGACCTTTTCCCTACAGGTGTTGGCTATTTGTTTGAATTCTTCTTTGGTGATTTCTCCCTTTTTCCACTTCTTGTGCATGTCTCTTTTGTGTCTTAGCACAGTTAGAAGTTCTTTGGACATCCATTCTGGCTTCTTTGCACTTGTCCTATTTTTTCTCTTTGTTGGTACGGTTTGCAATTGCGCCTTGAGTATTTCACTCTTGAGAAATTCCCATCCATCCGTAACTCCCTTGTCTTTTAGTATCTGTGTCCACGGAATGCTGCTCAGCGTTTCCTTCATTTTTTGGAAATCAGCTCTCCTAAAGTCCAAAATGCGGGTTTGACTTGTCTTAGTTTCGGCCTTCCTTTGTACCTCAAATTGCAGGAGCACATGGTCACTTGCCCCTAAGGATCCTACCACTTCGACCGCATCGATCAGGTCCTCCACATTTGTTAGGATGAGATCAAGTGTAGCCAATCGGATTCCGTCTGAAAAATGCACCTTTGTATGGCTGTCTATCCCTGCAGTCATGTAAAAGATATGTTTTCCTTCCCCCCACCCTGTGTAGGCTACTCCAGTGCACATGCACTTTTTATAAAGCCCAAAACAGCTGGTCGGGCTTTCAAATGGACGCACAGGTGGTTCAAAGGAAGAACAAATGGAGAACAATTAGAACCTCCCAAACAAAGGGTGCCTCCAGACAAAAACACTGATTGACTTTGCAACTGCAAGGCTACTCAGTGCTGACATTTCACCTGCATCTCTGGCTAATGGCTTCTTCAGAGGTTTGTTCAGAGACCTGTTGGAAATGAGGCAAGTGGGATGCGTGTGTGTATATATATATCTCTCTCTGTGGAATATCCAGGGTAGTCTGTTTGAAGCAAGTGTGAATGTTGCAATTAGCCAGCTTGATTAGCATTTCCGAACTCTTTTATTTTACACTTTATAATCTTAAGAATTTGAGAAAGAGAGACCTAATGAACACATATGAATCTGCTTGTGTTTGCACTTACGCATTTACAGTCTAGCACATAACAAAGTGAATTTAAAAAAAAAACTTCTGCCAGATGTCCCTCGTCTGCCCTCTATTTTGATTCGCTTCAAAAGAAGACTGTGAGGATGACAGGGGACCATATCCCAGGGCTGACAGGTCTGTGTGTGGACCTGCTGTCAAGTCCCAGGATTTTTGATCTTAGAACAAAAATGCGGATGTTGACGCTGCCTAGAAGTGCCCACAGCCTCCACCCTGGAAACACCTGGAGCGCCTCCCCTTCTCACCCTCCACTGCGTTGTTGACCTCCTGGATGAAGAGCTGGAGCTTCATGACCAGGGTGGCCGCATGGGTGTCCACTTTGCCAGGGGCCTCCTGCTGCACGGCCCGGAAGGCCCCATTCACCCAGGCCTTCACCTCAAAGTCCTCCTCCAAGAACTTGGAGAAGTCCATGGCACTGAGGAGGCTGGACCTGCAAAGAAGCGAACAGGGATAAATACAGAACTGGTTACAGCAGTGGTTCTTGAAGTGTGCTCCATGGAGCCCTTGGGGCATACTGAGAGGCTTCACGCTTTCCTCCTCTTCCACCCCCTCTAAGCTTTTTCTCCTCATTCCTATGCCTCCCCTCGTCTCCAAAAGCCTTTTCCCCTCCATTCCTTGCCACCCAGATCCTTTTCCCCTCACCTTGCCTGCTTCCAAAACCATATTTCCATCTCACCACTCAGGGGGTGCTTTGCATGGCAGAAGGGAGCTAATCTGGATGGCCTATGGGGTTACTATTATTATTATTATTATTACTATTACAAAGTCCAAAACACCTAGAGGGCCAAAGTTGGTCCATGCCTGGTCTACCAGCATCTAAAGACCTTATAAAATTACAATTCCCGTTATTCCATAGCCTTGAATCATCGTAATTAAAGTGGTATCAAACCGCATTAAGCTTACAGTGTAGATGCAACCCTAGTGGAGCCTAAATACTCCAGGAAATGCTATAGTTCGAGAGAATTCAGGCGAGGGGAGGATGAAGGAGCAGCAGAAATGATAACCAGCCCCTTCATTTCATTTCCCATTCTTCCCAGAGCCACTGCAACTTCCAGAATCCGCTAATCAGAATGATATTGGCACAAAAGTAACTTTTCTCGGCTCTCCTGTCTTGCATAACATTGAGAGGGGCTTATTTTGCCCTTCGCCTGCCTACCTGCCCTGGTGTCGGGACCCACCTGCGCGCAGGCGCACTGAGTTCCCTTCTTCCCAGCAAACGTCAGCTCTAAGCTTCCGCCATCTTGGCCCCGGGACTGTCTCGCACTAAACCACGCCCCCCGCGGCGTCATCCTGCTCTTTCTTGAAAGGGATTTCCTGGAACGTCCTCTCACCTCCCATTGGTTGTCGGCTATTCTTTCTCGTTCTGATTGGGCATTCACTCTAATAAGCCCCGCCCACTTTGGACAGGAGGGGGAGAGGATAAAGCCACGACTCTTATTAGGTTCCTGCGCCTTTAAGACTGAGTTGCAGTTTGTATCCTTTCCTAATAGAGGCATCAGTATATGTATATATGATATATGTGCACAGGGAATGATAGAGTGAGACCTATTATCAAACTATGAGCAACATTTGCTAAATTTGTATGATCAGGGCTGTAGCAGAAGGAAAAAAGAACAGTAAAGCCTCCTTGGGCTAAAATTGGGCTAGACTACATGACCTCTGGGGTCCCATTCGACTCTAAACATTAGGAGAACCCCCCCCCCCCCATGGTAAGAACTGTTCAACCGTGGAATCAGCTCCCTTCTGAGTATTGTAGAGTCTCCTTTCCTCCTTTCTTGTTAAGCAGAGACTGGAAGGCCATCAGTGAGGAGGGATTGGATTGTGCCTTCCTGTCTGGAAGGAAGGGGTTAGTCTGGATGGCCTTTAGGGATCCCTCCCAAAGTCTTGGATTATACACTTTAGGAACCTGGTTTTCAACTTTTTATATGCTTTATTGGTTTTTAACTGGATTTTTTTCAATATAGTTTATATTTAATCTTGTTTTAATGTTTGCAGGCAAAAGTATGATAGCTTGGACCCAATGCTGGTTGTGCAACAAGGGTCAGAATTACACTCGCATAGCGAGTGAGAGACGCTGGTGCATGCTGTAAACTTAACTATTGCTAACTGCCATTTTTTACCATTCTTCACTATCACTCAAACTTAACTTAATTACATGTGGATGAAGTGTGTTATAAACTTAACACTGTCTCGTGCACGTCGTCGCTTCTCTAATTCTGATGCACTTTGCGCAACTAACATTGGGTCCCAACTATCATACTTTTGCCTGTTTGTATATTAAATTGTATGCTGATGTGTTGTCGAAGGCTTTCATGGCCAGAATCGCTAGGTTGCTGTGAGTTTTCTAGGCTGTCTGACCATGTTCCAGAAGCATTCTCGCCTGACGTTTTACCCACATCTATGGCAGGCATGCTCAAAGGTTGCGAGGTCTGTTGGAAACTAGGCAAGTGGGGTTTATATATCTGTGGAATGTCCAGGGTACGAGAAAGAACTCTTATCTGTTTGAAGCAAGTGTGAATGTTGCAATGTTGCAACCTTGGTTAGCATTGAATGGCCTTGCAGCTTCAAAGCCTGGCTGCTTCTTTTATATTAAGCTGCTTTGAGAGATAAAGCAGGCTATAAATTAATATAATAATAATAATAATAATAATAATAAGACAGCGAAGTTTGCCAATTGTCCCAACTGAAGACCATTCTCCCAAATGCAGAATCCAAAATTCCTTTAAAATTATTTTTCTTACAAGACTCCTTTACCCATCTTCTAGTTCCTCTATGAGTTTTCCCATAGATATTTCATTTTTTTAAAAAAGAAACTGCAATGTAGGCCAACATTTTGGGGAAGTTTGGGTCACAAGCCTCACATGCGATCACAGTGAGTCTGCCAATAATTTGGAGGCTGAATGTCTGACTTTGTCGTTGTTTTGCAAAGGGCATCTGCCCCCTTCTTATATCATAAAACACACGAACAATATATTATTTGTAGCTTAAGCTACATGTCGTGATGTTATGAAGTAGAAATGAATTAATCCCTTTGAGATTAGTGCAGGAACAACATCCAGCAGCCCTTCGATAAATGCCAAATGCCTCTGTGGAAGGGCCTGTTTTTATCAAAAAAATTGTACTGATTGGTTTACAGAAAGAGGATGCAACCATTGCAAAAGACTTAGTGCATCTGGAGTTAACAGATGGGCACAACGTCCGTGGCAGAGGCCCCGATCCGGTCTGAGGCTTGAGAGTGTCCCAAAGGCCACCAACTCTCTGTTTTCAGTTCGAAGCCCATAGATCTTCATGAGGAAAACTGGACACTTCTCCAAGTTTGCTGTGTGTCTCTCCATTCTGGGTGAACAGCAACCGATATCTCAGCCGCAAGGGAGCCTAAAGGGAAAGGAAAGGGAGGCTGATATTCAGTGGTCAAACTGGTACAGTAGCCGTCTGGATGGCTGAACAAGCAGTATGTTTCCTATATTTTGAATTCCTATGGGCCTGCACTCTTTTAAACAGATCTCAATTAGGTGGGCTTATCCTCCTATAAGGGGGCGTATACGCACCCCCTAGTGATCCCCAGAATGCAAGTGGAGCAGACTGAGCACAGCATCATCCACAAGCCCCCCCCCCCCCCCAACTGGACACTTACCTTTTGTGGGTTGTTCAGCAGCAAGACTCGGGAGATGACAGTTGGAGGCAGAAGCGGGTTGAAGGCTGGCAGCTCTGAGCCYGTTGCTGGCTGCAGCTTGATGGCCATCGACTGCAATCCATATAACAGAAAAAGGAAAAGACAACGATGGTCACTCATGTGCACCGGTTTGCCAAGGGACAGGCTGGGGTCGGGGGTCAGACACTAATAACAATAATAATAATAGTCACGATAATAATAGAGTAGGCACTGTTGGCACCCCCTGGTGGCACAGTGGGCTAAACCACTGAGCTGCTGAACTTGCTAACTGAAAGGTCACCGGGTCAAATCTGGGGAGCAGGGTGAGCTCCTGCTGTTAGCCCCAGCTTCTCCCAACCTAACAGTTTGAAAAATGCAAAGGTGAGTAGATCAATAGGTACTGCTTCTGTGGGAGGTTAACAACGTTTCATGCAGTCATGCTGGCCATATGATCTAGGTCAGTGGTTCTCAACCTGTGGGTCCCCAGATGTTTTGGCCTTCAACTCCCAGAAATCCTAACAGCTGGTAAACTGGCTGAGATTCCTGGGAGTTGTAGGCCAAAACACCTGGGGACCCACAGGTTGAGAACCACTGACCTAGGTGGTGTCTACAGACAACGCCGCCTCTTGGGCTTAGAAATGGAGATGAGCACCACCCACAGGAGTCAGACACAACTAGATTTACTGTCAAGGGGAAATCTTTACTGCTACCAAAGGCAAGGGCCACTGGGATTTTTGCATTATGGGGTCTCCCTACTCCAATTCTGAATCCCTGTACCTTGGGTACAGCGGCCTGGAAGACGATGCCTTGGACCGGATGGGGTGCCGTGCTGAGCAGGGAGAGGACCAGTGGCCAGACAGAGGGGAGGCCAGGGAGGGGCGCCCGGGAGAAGTGGAGCAGGGCCTGCAGGCCGTTTCCAGCAAATACAGTGACCGCGGGGATAGCGCCTGTTCAGAGGTGGAAACACACGCAGTAAATAAGACCAACCCCAAAGGAAGACGTTCAACCCTGGTAGCCTTTTTCTTCATGGACAACCTGTTTGGAGCTGTGAGGCTGGTCAGGGCTAAACCCAAAAGTGTGCTGTACCCTCCCTTCTCGCTTACTCAGAGTGATAGACTCCAGTGGGACAAAGAGGGTGGCCAACGAATCAGGGCTAGGCAGTGGAGGTGTCCCTTCGGAGACCCTGCTGGACAATGGGCTGCTGGGAAGGTCTGGTAAAGAGACAAACACAGAAAGAGTTAAGAGTGTGGCCCCAAACACAAGGCCGTATAATGCAGTTTCATAATGCTGTCAAACTGCACTGCATAGCAGTGTAGATGAGGCCTGCCACTTCTTCCCAATAGAAGTGTCACTTCCCTCCCCATCCTTGAAACCCACTTCCACATTTTCAGGTAACATTTTGCATAGATTGATGCCTTGGGACGCTCTTTGACCCTTCTTCCCAAACCTTCTTCCCAAACCTTGCTCCCTCCAAACCCCACAGGATATGGGGAAGCCCACAGGGATGCAGACAGAATATGGGGGAAATACAAACAGATTTCTATTCAATGGAGGAAATGGGACCAAGTTGGGTTTTATCCTCTGGCTCAGCCACAAGGAATAGGTGAAGCTGTGCTCTCAAGGGTCTGACACCGGAGAAAGGCAGCTTCTTACATCCCAGTGCAGAATAATGATAATAATAATAATAAAACTTTATTTATACCCTGCTCCATCTCCCCCAAGGGGACTCAGTGCGGCTTACATGAGGCCAAGCCCATCAATGAAGTACATACATCATAAAGCAAAAACATAACAATAACCAGAAAATAAAATACATAAAATCCAAAGAAATACAATAGACGACAACAGACAATATAAAAACATGCAATTAAAAACAGAGGATTTCACTGGGCAGGGCCACCTTCAAGGCTAAAATTTTAAAAAACTCTGGGAGATAGGACAGTGCAGGTCATCAGGATGAGGATTCGAGAATGAGGGAGGATTCAATTGCACGAACTATAAATAAAGTGCTTCTAAGGATGTTTAGTGCAAAGTTTGGTCCGGGAGTTTCTTACATTCAATCACTGAAGGCACATTGGAATAGCCAGGTTTTCAGGTTCCTCCTGAAGATTGTTAGCGTGGGAGCTTGCCTAATATCTCTGGGGAGTGAGTTCCAGAGCCGGGGGGCCACCACAGAGAAGGCCCTTTCCCTCGTCCCCGCAAGTCGCATTTGAGATGTGGGCGGGAGCGAGAGAAAAGCCTCTACGGAAGATCGAAGAGATTGCGTGGGGTTCATAGATGGAGATACGGTCGCGCAGGTTGGTGGGTCCCAAACCATTCAGGGCTTTGTAGGTCAAGACCTGCACAGAAGGTCCCTGGTTCAGTTTCCAAAAAGAAGTCCCCGGTGGTGCAGTGGGTTAAACCCTGTGCCAGCTGAACTGGTTGACAGAAAGGTGGCTTTTTGAATCTGGTGAGCGGGGTAAGCTCCTGTCTGTCAAGCTCTAGCTCCCCATGTGGGGACATGAGATAAGCCTCCCACAGGATGGTAAAATATCAAACATCCAGGCATCCCCTGGACAACGCTCTTGCAGACGGCCAATTCTCTCACACCAGAAATGACTTGCAGTTTCTCGAGTCACTGGTGACATGGAAAAAAAGTTCCCAAAAAGAACCTCTCCAGAAATAGACCAGAAAGGATCTGACCTGAATCGCAGTTCTCAGCTGGTAATAATGGCTCTCAGTGTAAAGACAGATTCACTGTTCCACAGGAGCAAAAACAAAGCGTGGTCACGAGGTTTGCTTGCCTCACCCATCACAGACCCATGACTCAGACAAGCAGCATCCTGGTCTGAGATTAGACGGTTGTAAAATTACCCTGTGTTTGCTGTTTAACTGCCATCTCATTGCTGCTGGAGATGGGTTTGCAGGAGAGGAAAGTCTGAGCCATTGTTATGAGACAAAGGGCTTTCCTCCTTTCCCACATTGGTAAGGAAAGTATGCACACTCCCCACGGCACCCATGAGCCCTGGCCCTAACACTCACCGAGCAAATGCCTAGATGGGGAACCCAGGTAAACCAGCAAATGTTACCTCTAGTGTAAATTGGGTAACAGAGAAAATAAGAGCCCTGAGTAAAACTGAACGAGGCAGGATGCCCTCTAACCGATGGAAAAAGTTCTGGCCCTGGCTGACAGAGACCACATCTGGGATCACCTGAAGGATTGTAGGTTTTATATAGATAGATAGAATTAATACAAAAGAAATTTTTGAAAAGATTGATATATGTTAACTGAGATATAGATATCTGAATTTACAATTCTGTTAGTAACTATAACTGTATTTGTAATTTAAACCAAAAAAGAAAGAAAAACTGTGACAAAATATCACAACAGGTTTTGTAACTGTAATGATTTAGAAAATGTAAATGTTGCGAACATTGTAAATACTTCAAAGCTAAGTATGTCTCATTTGATTGTAATTTGTTAGCAAATGTGTTTGTAGTACATATTTATTATAATAAAAATTACTTATATATATAAAAAATACTTATACCCACACTCACCGACAGACATCAGCTCCTCATCCAGCGAATGGGCAGAAGGGGAGGGTGGGATCTGCTCTGGACCCTGGTCCGAGAAATCAATTAATGGGAAGCTCTTTGAAAGCCCAGCTGGAATAGAAACCAAAAGGAGTTTTGAAAAGGGGGTCAAAGACCCATCCCAGGAGGAGAGAAGTGGCTAGGTTGCACCAAAATACAGAATGATTGGCACGGGGGGGGGGGGGGTCATTTCTCCATTTTGGATAGCTGACCACTTTTCCCTCTTCCACATTTCACAAACAGCCCACTTCATGGCCCTGTTTTGGGGAGGCATCCTGCAAGAGAACCACCAAACTGCTCTTGGCAGAGGACCTACCAGAGGTCTCAGCAGATCTTGGCTCAGGATCCCTACATCCAGATCCCACAACCTGATTGTATAAAGTGAGTCCTTGAATGAGCCGGTCATTTGCTTGGAGAATCTCAGCTACGGACAGAAGCAGAGAGACGGTCCCTCAAGTGTTTACATCTCAAAATGATGGCATCTCTCAGCCTCATCCCTTCAATGTGGGTTTCCTGCATCTCCAGCAAGATGGAAACCAACGTGCCAAAAAAAGGGAAAGTTATTGGCTAAAAACCAGAATTATTATTGTTATTGTTATTATTATTATTTGAAACACAACAAGAGGAGTCCACAGCAAACAAGATCACTCTGCTGGCTGTTGTACTGGATCACACGTCAGACACTTCCCAAGTGTCTAGGACTGTATGATGTATCGGGGAATAATGCGTGCAGATCCCAGTAAGGTGGCCTTCTGCAGCTGGCAGATGGTAATTTTGTCAACGCCGATTGTGTTAAAGTGCAGGCCAAGGTCTTTAGGTACTGCACCCAGTGTGCCGATCACCACTGGGACTATCTTTACTGGCTTGTGCCAGAGTATCATTATTATGTATACCCCACTTTATCTCCCTTGCACGAGACTCAAAGCGGTTTGAATCTTTCTCTTTCTTGTTTCTTTCCATTGGGTTTGTAACGTAAGGGAGGTGACAGGACAAAAAGTCATTCAGTTCATACTCGTCAATACAGTTTTAGTGGCAAAGGAAGGGTCAAAGAAATTTGCTGAGGCACAAGGAGGTTGTAGCTAAGCACAGTTATATAGCTATGGCCTCTTCCTGCAAACTATACATTAAAAACACATTTTCAAAAGCAGCATATTAAAATGAACCCCTGATTTAGCTGCAGTCCTGCCATTCTACTTCTTGACTTCTTCAGATCAGAATCCAGGCAGCTAGAATTCTAAGCCAATCACTGCCCATGTACTGTCAAAGGCTTTCATGGCTGGAATCACTGGGTTGCTGTGAGTTTTTAAGGCAGTATGGACATGTTCTGGTAGCATTCTCTTCTGACATTTCGGTCAGCATCTGTGGTCGTCATCTTTAGAGGTTCTGTTGGCAGTGAGGCAAGTGTATATATATATACCTGTGAAATGTCCACGGTGGGAGAAAGAACCCTTGTCTGTGTAAAACAAGTGTGAATGTTGCAACGAGCAAGTTGGAATAGCATTGAGTAGCCTTACAGCTGCAAAGTCAATCAGGGAGGATATTTCCACAGAGGTATCCTGTCCTTTTTGGCCAGGAGGCATCCTCTGTTTGGGGGCTGATAACTAGGACTTGCTTGTCTCCTGTTTCTGAGTGGTGTTCATAATTTACTTGATTCTGGTATTTTTTAATACTGGTACCAAGATTTTGATCATTTTTATAGTTTCCTCTTTTCTGTTGAAATTGTCCTTGCACTTGTGGATTTCAATAGCTTTTTTGTGTAGTTTGACATAATGGTTGTCACAGTGGTCCAGAATGTCTGTATTCTCAATAATATTTTGTGTCCAGGTTTGTCATGTGCTCTGCTATAACTTTGCAGCTTCGTGGCTACCCAATGCTATTCAAGCTTGCTAATTGCAACAGTCACACTTGTTTTACACAGACACTTGTTCTCCCACCCTGGACATTATTCCACAGATATCTATACACTCCACTTGCCTCACTGTCATCACAACCTGTTAAGATGCCATTAGCCACAGATGCAGGAAAAATGTCAGGAGAGAATGCTGCCAGAACCATGGCCATACAGCCCGAAAAACTCACAGCAATCCAACTTCTCATGTATTTCTTAACAGTTCCTGAACTATCCCCATCTTACCAAGGGCCTCTTCGTCCTCCACTGTTTCGCTGGCCACCCGGAACATCAGGGGCTTCAGCTTCTCACATTTGGCATGAAGTTCCTGCGGAAGGAGGGAGACGGGGCATGCAAATGCTTGTGGAAGGTCAACTTGGAGCAGAAGGCTCTCTCCAAGCTCTGCCACAAAGCCTCATTCACTGAGACACAGTCTCAAGGCAAGGAAGAAGCACTTTGCACATGCCCAGAGGCAAAGGCAAACCCTAGATTGCAGGGTCTGGGTACTCAGAGGTGACTCTGTCCTTCTTTCCCATGCGCATACATCAGATATGCCTCCAAGCACCCCAAAAACCACGCATCGGAGAGACTCTCACCTGCAGAGCCTCCATGGCCGGCTCTTCCTTTGCCTTATTCCTCCTCAGCATCTCCTCCAGAGCCACAGCGGAATTGTGTGCCTCCTTGATGGCATTCATGCGCCTGGAGACCTTGGCAGACTTCTCCTGCTCCTGAATGGTCCAACAAAGCCCATTCCCAAAGCCCCCGTCACCAGGACAATAGGGCAAACCCCAGGATCATACAAATGGTCCCATTTTGGCCACTTCCAGCACTCCAGGAGTTAAGGCCATGGTGCAAGGGCTATACATTGTAATGCATGCCCTGGCCTTTTGGTGGCAATGCCTACATACCTCTTTGATCAGCCCCTTGATCAGCCTATTGGCCGCCTGCAGATCCTCCGGATTTTTGCTTTTCAAGAGCCTGGCTAAGAGCTGTAGAGAAAATAAATAGTAGTAGTAATCTATGTATATAATAAAAGTCAGTGTTCGTATGCGAAAAGAGGGAGGGCGGTGTATGGATATAGCAGCGTTCTGATTGGCTGGCACTTTCACAGGCCACTGTGATGTGCACGTGCAACGGACCTGGACCAAACTTGGCACACATAACCCCCATGGCCCCTTCTGTGTCTTTGTGTGGTTTGGGGGAGGTGGGCCACGGATTATGGGATTTGTAGTACCTCAAAACACTTGTGCAACCACAGACCACTGTGGCCCCCACCAATGACAAATCAAGATCAAACTTGGTACACAGAGCCCCCATGACCCACTCTACATCCTGGTGCAGTTTGGAGGAGGATAGACCATGGATTATGGGACTTGCAGTACCTTTGCTCTCTTCCTGAGACCACAGGGACAAAAATCCAATTACCAATAAAGACCAAACTTGGCACTGAGAGCCCCCATGGCCAACTCAACATTTTGGTGTGGTTTGGGGGAGGGCAGACTATGGATGATTGGACTTGCAGTACCTTCACTCACTTTCTGAGACCACTGCGACCCTCATCCAATGACTGATCAAGACCAAACTTGGCACACCGAGCCCCCATGACCCACTCTACATCCTCATGCAGTTTCGAGGAGGATGGCACATTGATGATGGGACTTGAAGTACCTCCACTCATTTCCCGAGACCGCTGCAACCCTCATTCAATGACTGACTAAGACCAAACTTGGCACACAGAGCCCCCATGACCCACTCTATGTCCTGGTGCTGTTTGGAGGAGGGTGGACAATGGATGATGGGATTAGTAGTACTTTCAAACCCTTCAGTTCCCACAGACCACTGCGACCCCCAACAAAGACCAAACTTGATACACAGAGCCCCCATGACCCGAGACCGCTGCAACCCTCATCCAATGACTGATCAAGACCAAACTTGTAACACAAAGCTCCCATGACCCACTATACATCCTGGTGCAGTTTGGAGGAGGATGAACCTTGGATGATGAGACTCGCAGTACCTTCACTAACTTCCTGAGACCACTGTGAGCCACTTAAATAAAGACCTTTCTCTAATAACCCGGGCAGTGCCAGGTCCCCAAGCTAGTAATAATAATAGAGGATTTAACGATTGAACTGCAAAGACTCTGGCACAAGCCAGTAAAGGTGGTCCCAGTGGTTATCGGCACACTGGGTGCAGTGCCTAAAGACCTTGGCCTGCTCTTGAACACAACTGATACATCATATAGTCCTAGACACTTGGACAGTGTCCGACGTGTGATCTAATACAACAACCAGCATAGTGATCTCTTTTGCTGTGTACTAATCTTGTTGTGTTTCTAGTAATAATAATAATAATAATAATAATAATAATAATAATAATAATCCATCTGCAATCAAAGAAAAGCTGCATTTTGCATCATTCCAGTGTTGAGTTGAACCAGCTTTGGACTATAGGGATGATGATGATGATGATGATGATGATGATGATGATGATGATGATGATGATACAAGTTTTTGAAGAAGGTGGCTCAGCTTCAAATATAATCCTTTTGGTACCGTCACCTGAGTTTGCTCTCAGAGCGTGATAATGATGATGATGATGAAGACGATAAAGACACCGAGCAAAAGGCAGATGAAATTACCTGGGATTTCTCATTATCAGCATCAAAAATGGACCCTGTTGGTCTTGGTGAAGGAGGAGGAAGGATTCTGTCCTCTGGCAATTTGGGGTCTTGCTTTACAATTCCTGGACGAAAGAAGATTTAGGTATTACAGATGGAATTGCACTCTTAACATGCTCATCCAGCCCCAGAAACAACAAACTCAGATGAGCAGGATTAGCAGCAGGAGGCTGATTCAAAATATATCCTTTTTGCATCTAAAATACAAAGACAAGGTCAATTAATGCTCATATAATGCTCAAGGTCATATAGCCGAACTGCATGAGAAGTCACCATTGCAGGAGCTTTGGAACTCCTTGCCACAGGAGATTATCAAAGAAATTGGGGCTGTATATCCATTCTTCCACTCAAGAGGTTCATAAACAGAAGCTTCACAATAATAAACATCGTAATCATAATCATAATAATTTTGTTTCTTAAACTGCCTCTCCTTAAGGCTTGGGCACAACATAGTTTAAAAAACACATAATTATAAAACATTATGTAAAATACATATAATGTATTTCTATGGAATACATATATTAAAATAATCCTGGCATTCAGATTGGGTTGAACATTATTATTATTATTATTATTATTATTATTATTATTAATAATAATAATAATTCAGCACTTTATCTCTTCCAAAGGAGACTCAGAGTTTCAAGGTTGGGAGCTGCTTTCATTCTCCATCCAGAGATAAGAGCAGGATATAAATCCAAATATAATAATAGGTAGAGGTAAAGGTTTTTCCCTGACATTAAGTCTGCACGGAACACCATTACCTTCCTGCTGGAACAGTACCTATTGATCTACTCACATTCGCATGTTTTTGGACTGCTAGGTTAGCAGAAGCTGGGGCTAACAGTGGGAGCTCATGCTGCTCCCTGGATTCAAACCTGTGACCTTTTGGTCAGAAAGTTCCACAGCTATTCCACAGCTTACCCCACTGCGAGCTCCATGATATTATAATATCATTATCATTATTTTAGTAGTAGCAAAAAGTGCTGTCATCAATACAGAGCAGCAAACACTTTTAAATTCATCAATAGGTGAACAGTTTTACCACCACTAGAACAACATTAAAATTAAAAACATGAAAACTCTACCAAACTCTTAACAAAGCTTAAGGGAAAGTGGTTTAAATGATCTTGGTCTGCAAAAGACACATACTGGAAGCCTGTTTTTAAAAGGCAGTAACTTGCAGATATAGTGGTCTAAGGCCCTGTCTGCACTGCCATATAAAATCCAGATAATATGCTTTGAACTGGATTATATGGCAGTGTAGACTCATATAATCCAGTTCAAAGAAGATAATGTAGATTATCTGCTTTGATAATCTGGATCATACAGCCGTGTAGAAGGCACCTAAGACAATAGCTGGAGTCCAGGTTTGGAATCCCTGCTTGGCCTTGGAAACCTTGGACAAGTCACACTCTCTCAACCTTTAATGGAGACAGTCCCTTTTGGACACAGCGCTCCTGCATAAAAGAGGACCCGCAAAGGTCTCAAAAGGTTGGATAAACCTCCTTAAGGCTTCCCCAAAGCTGCGGGAGAGTTCCTTCTGCTCCTTCTCTAAAGAGGAAAGGAGCAAAGCGAGCGACCGGAAACCTCTGGGTCAGGCGCCTTGTGGCCAGAGGCTATTTGTGACTGAAGAGGGAAAGGAAAATAAGAGAATGCAGACCTTGTTTCTTCAGCATCTGATAAGCGTCTCGGATCTTCACTTCCTCAGGAAACCAGACAGTCCAACTGAAGAGGGTCTCCACGATGCGGGACTTGACTTGCTCTGTGGACCAGGAGCCCAGATACTGAGAAGGAGAGAAGGTCATGCTCACAGGGCGCATCTACACAATGGAAGGAAGGCAGTTTGACCCCACTTTGGTCCTCTATTCAGCCTTCCATAGGGCCCCTTGGCTCACCTTTGGGGAGAGGACTTTGATCAGACCATTCAGAAAGCGGAACTTGCCCATTTCGTGATGGAAGGCCTCCCCGCAGTGGTTGACGCACATTTCCAGGACCTTGGAAAGAAAGAAAGAAAGAAAGAAAGAAAGAAAGAAAGAAAGAAAGAAAGAAAGAAAAGTCTTGAGACAAATGGGATGCATTGGTCATGTTTCAAGCAGCGTGCCTCAGCCCATTGATGTCTATGGGGGCCACCCTTTGCAACGACATTGCATCACTTTCCTTCGGCCTCCCAGAGTGCATCTACACTGTAGAACTGATGCAGTTTGACACCACTTTAACCACCATTGGGAGTTGCAATTTGCACACCCCCAAGAAGGCTTGAGACCTTGCCAAACTATAGATCCCATTATTACACAGCATTGAGTTTCGGCAATGAAAGTGGTGCCAAACTGCATTCATTCAATGTATTGTCGAAGACTTTCATGGCCAGAATCACTGGGTTGTTGTAGGTTTTTTGGGCTGTATGGCCATGTTATAGAAGCATTCTTTCCTGGCATTTCGCCTGCATCTATGGCAGGCATCCTCAGAGGTTGTGAGGTCTGACCTGCCATAGATGCAGGCAAGACATCAAGAGAGAATGCTTCTAGAACATGGCGATACAGCCCAAAAAACCTACAACAACCCTGTATTCACTCATTTTGCTTTGCAGATACATCCCGCCCCCATTCACCACCTTGCAAAGGATAGCATTATATGTTGAAGTGCTTTGTATAGTGACCTCAGAGAAAGATATTTGAAACTCTTGCTGATAAATGAAAACGGGAACTCTTGTGGAAATGTTTCAGTTTTTGCTGAGTGACTCAAATGAATATGTAACATATAAAGTGGCTCTTTTTTTGCTTTGACTGCAAAAAATTAAAAAAAAGACCAGAAAGATAAAACTGCCATCAACTGCCATGGAGACTCAAAAGGCTAATTTGACCCTCCCTTGAAAATGTTTCTGTAATTATTGATGATTCGCATTGTTTTGGCTCTTTGTGTGAGCATGACGATGGCCTTCATATGTTGTCTTTTGTTTCCTGTTTGCTTTGAGGGAACTATTCTTTGTATGTAGTGCCTTTCTGTCTTTGGGCTTGTACAATAAAACTATTTGATTGATTGCAAAGGATTGCAATAGCTCTGAGCAGAAATGTCTGCAGATTCTTTAACCTTTGTGTGGAAGGCACCCCAGCCATCCAGATGGCTATCAGCACACTGTATGCACACAGAATTTCCAAAACTAACTTTGGAGTGAGCAAATTAGAACTGTGTTGTCGAAGGCTTTCATGGCTGGATTCACTGGGTTGCTATGAGCTTTCCAGGCTGTACGGCCATGTTCCAATAGCATTCTCTCTTGATGTTTTGCCCACATCTATGGCAGAGATCCCTCAGAGGTTGTGAGATCTGTTAGAAACTAGGAAAGTGGTCTTTATATATCTGTGGAATAATGTCGAGGGTGGGAGAAAGAACTCTTGTCTGTTTAAGGCATGTGGGAATGTTGCAATTGGCCACCTTGATTAGCATTGAATAGCTTTGCAGCTTCAAAGCCTGACTGCTTCGTGCCAGGGGAAGTCCTTTGTTGGGAGGTGTAACCTGTATTACAAAAAGCCCTCTAGAATCAGGACAGTAAATAAAGAGCAACACTAAAAAAAATAAACCCGGAGAATTTCAGGCAAGAAACAATCAGGGCCAGCTAACACCTCCCAGTGAAGGATTCCCCCCAGGCAGGAAGCAGACAGGTTTTGAAGCTGCAAGTCCATTCAGTACTAATCAAGGTGGCCAATTGCAACATTCACACTTGCCTCAAACAAACAAGAGCTCTTTGTCCCATCCTGGACATTATTCCAGAGGATATACATACACACACACACACACATATATATATACATACATACATACATACATACATACATACATACATACAAACATACATATATATCCACCCTACTTGCCAAGTTTCTAACAGACCTCACAACCTCTGAGGATGCCTGCCACAGATGTGGGCAAAACGTCAGGAAAGAATGTTTCTGGAACATGGCCAGACAGCCCGGAAAACTCACAGCAACCCAAATTAGAACTGTTTGATCTACTGGATGTCATTGTCAGCATCTTGAGGTGCATCTCATTTCTTTGGGGTCCCAAGAAAGCAGAGAAAGCTCAATATTGTGGTGCCACTTACGGTCAGGGCTCGGAGAGCCTCTGCTTCCTGTGGCGACTGGATCTTATGTTCCAGCAAACGGAGGGCAATGGAAGGGCTGAGAAAGAAGAGAAGAGATCCACATCAGAGGTTGGAGCATTGCAACATGGTACTGGCTGCATTGGGAAAACCACCAGCATTTCTTCTTCTGTATTATATCCTTCCAAAATGGAAATTAACAGAGGAACTGGCCAAAGCCACTTCTATCTAAGGAAACCTTCATGGGGTTGCCCTTAGTGGAGAGGAAGACGAGCAATGCATTTGGAGCCTCTGCTTGTTATTGTTGCTGAAAGACATTAGCACCCAAAACTGTGAGAATAAACCCTTCACTTGATCTCACTAAGGCTAAGGCTTGATCTCACTAAGGCTAGATCTACTTTCCTATATCCCAGGATCTGATCCCAGATTATCTGCTTTGAACTGGATTATATGAGTCTACACTGCCAGATAATCTGGGATCAGATCATGGGATATAGGAGTAGTGCGGAAGGGGCCTGAGCAACACTCCTGTGTCCGTTTTGCAGAAATCAACTTCAAGAAAACATACTTTGGGAAATATCATATATCATCATCATCCATAGTGGAATAATAATAATAATAATAATAATAGCAACAACACTCTATTTATATTCTGCACTTTTTCCCGAGGGGACTCAGATTGGATTACAATATATAAACAGACACAGGGAAACATTCAGTGCCTTGTTACAATGACATACACTGAGACACAAATACACAGACAAATGCTTCTTTCATTTCCGACTCTGGAAGCAGTGCTCATTTCCGGTTCCCGGAGAGGTGCTCTTTCTTCATTTCCAAGCCAAGGAGTCTGTGTCTGTAGACACTTCTTGGTTGTGTGGCTGGCATGACTGCTTGGGGTGTCTTTTTGCCTTTTCCTGCCAAAGTGGTACCTATTGATCTATTCACATTTGCATGTTTTCAAACTGCTGGGTTAGCAGGAGCTAGGGCTAACACCGGGAGCTCACCCCATCCCGTGGATTCAAACTGCCAACCTTCAGGTCAGCATTTCAGCAGCACAAGGTTTTAAAACATTGCACCATCATGGCCCTTTCTACTCTTGAGCCCCTTCTACACTGCCATACAATCCATATTATCAAAGTAGATAATCCACATTAGCTGCTTTGAACTGGATTTTATGAGTCTACACTGCCATATAATCCAGTTCAAAGCAGACAATCTGGATTTTATATGGCAGGGAAGAAGGGGCCTTAGTATCTAATCCAGGCCAAGGTCCTTTGCCAGCCTCCTCCGCTACTTTTTAAAGACAGAATATCTCCAAAGAGCCAATTCCATTCTTGCAAATGGCTACAAAGAGATTTTCCTTGCTCTGAAGGAAGTGAAGTGTGGCATATCAAAGCCGCAGAGTTGACTTCCCTTTTGAGAACAGACTCTCCACTGTGGGATTAATGCAGTTTGATACTACTTGAATCGCCACACTCAGCGCTATGGGATTATGAGAACTGCAAGAAAGGTCTTGAGCCTTCTCAGCCGAAGAGTGTCAAACCACAACTTGGTTGCACCGAATCATGGCACTTATAGTGGCATCAAACTGCACTCATTGCACAATGTAGATGCACCCCTGGCTATTTTAAATGAGGGTATCCAAAGCCTTGCTCTCCTCACCCATCAGGTTCTGCATTGACCTGGTCGCTGAAGCGCTGCATGGCCTCCCAGTTCTCTTCGGAGTTGCCAGGGTCAGTGACTTTATCTGCCGAAGAAGAAAAGGTGTTGCAAGTTTATGGAGGAAGAGGCGATAAATGACGCATCTACACTATGCAACTAATGCAATTTGGCACCTCTTGAGTTAATATAACTCAAGGCTATGAAATCCTGGGAGTTGCATCTTGTTCCAGTTCTCAGCCTTGTCAAACTGAAACTCCCAGGATCCAAAAGGGCAGTGAAAATGGATCCAAAATGCAATCCTTCTACAGTAGAGATGCACCAAAACAATTTCCTCTAGATCAGGCATGGTCAAAATTTGGCCCTCTCCAGGTGTTTTGGACTCCAACTCCCACAATCCCTAACAGCCTCAGGCCCCTTCCTTTTCCCCCTCAGCCGCTTAAGTGGCTGAGGGGGAAAAGGAAAGGGCCTGAGGCTGTTAGGAATTGTGAGATTTGGAATCCGAAACACTTGGAAGGCCAAAGTTTGCACATGCCTGGTTTAAGTTGAGGGGAATGAAATTCCATGAAAACATTACGAAGAACATCCTGATTGTAAGAACTGCCTTGGAGTCTCCTTCTCTGGAGATTATGAAGCAGAGGTTGAATGGCCATCTGTCAGGAGGGCTCTGATTGTGTCTTCCTGCATAGAAAATGGGGTCAATCTGGATGGCCTTTTGGATCCCTTCCAACTTTAGGGTTGTAGGGAGATGGAAACCTCTTTGGAGATCTTTAAGCAGGGTCTGGATGGCCATCTGTGAGGAATGCTTTCATTGTGCTTTCCTGCCCAGGAGAAGGGGATTGGATTAGATGGCCTTTGGGGTACCCCAATTCTTAAGATCGGGACTGTGTTGCAGTCTCCTTCCTTTTCTGGAAGTTTTGAAGCAGAGGCTGGATGGCCATCTGTCGAGAGGGTTTGGATGGTGTCAGACTGGATGACCTTTCAAGGATGTCTTCTAGTTTTTCTATAGTAATATAGGGTCCCCTGATGGCATAATGGGTTAAACCCTTGTGCCAGCAAGACTAAAGACCGACAGATCAGAGGTTCGAATCTGGGGAGAGCGCGGATGAGCTCCCTCTTTCAGCTCCAGCTCCCCGTGTGGGGACATGAGAGAAGCCTCCCACAAGGATGGTAAAACATCAAAACATCTGGGCGTACCCTGGACAATGTCCTTGCAGAAGGCCAATTCTTCCAGTTCTCTCACACTGGAAGCAACTTGCAGTTTTTCAAGTTGCTCCTGACACAAAATAATATTTATTTATTTATTTATTTATTTACGACATTTATATGCCGCCCTTCTCACCCCGAAGCGGACTCAGAGCGGCTTACAAGATATATATACATACAATACATTATATTATTAGCATAGTACAATATCAGTATTATATATTACTATACTGTACTATACCATTATATTGTAATATTATTAGTAATATTACATGTAATATAAAATACATAATTATAATATCATATTATTATTAGTAGCATTATATTGTATTACATTATAATATTATAAATATTAAATGTATATTCAATATATTTTATTACATTATATTATATTATTAGCAAAGCACAGGAGACAAGGTGGAACTGTCCCCTGGCCCCCTCTCTTTTCACTCTGCCCCAGAGCAGCAGTTGGTGCTGGGGGGAGGGAGTCCCCAACTGATGACATTTATATGACATATACATTATAATAACAAAATGTATTATTTGTTTACTTTTATCCTGCCTTTCTCCCATGAATGGGACTCAAAACAGCCAACCTACAATCCTAGGATTCTTTTATGGCAGGAGGGGGTTGGACTGGATGACCTTTAGGTGCCCCTTCCAACTCTAGAATTCTAGTTTTCTTCAATGGGAGGGGGCCCAAACTACCAGAAAGGCAATGCCATGGGATCCTGCTGGGGAGATTCTGTGGCCCTTTGAAGGAAGGGTTGGAACTGTGAAACCAGGATGCAAAGGAGAGATGAAGGAAGTCAAGGGGCTCAGGCTCTCTTTCCACCCTCCAAAGGGGACCCCAGGGTCTCTGCCCATCCCTTCCTGAGACTTACGCAGCAGGAGCTCCAGGGCCCCTGGAGGAGCCGCCCGAGCCATGGCTCAAAGAGGAGGAAGAGGCAGAGGCAGAGGTCAGCTGCCCTCTTGGGCCCAGACTGACCGCCCACTGCTTCTCTGCCCAGCCCTTCTTCAGGCGGGGCTTCCAGCTGCCCAGGAAAAGCACTGGGCAGGCCCTCCTTCTTTGGCAAAGCAATGAGGAAGTCTCTGGAGTCACTTTGAAGGCCCCTAAGAGGCTTGGTTTCCCCTTTCCTTCCTCTCCAGGTGCATCACAACTGACTTTTGGGAGGCCATCCCTGCTTTCCAAGGCTGCCCAGTCAAAGATTGGACCAGATTCCTTTTGGGTCAGGAGCTGATTTGTGATGGTAATGGTCCCTTTCCTTTCATCATCCACTCATTTCACTCTCCAGTCTCACTTTAAGGGCCCAACAAAGTGGTCCAGTTCCTGAACTTTCCCTGCAGAAGTTGGCCTTTGGGTTGCTCTGAATTTTTAGAGCTCTATGGCCATGTTCCAGTATCATTCTGTCCTGATGTTTCACCTGTATCTGTGGCTAGAAGTATGTTGGAAGTGAGGCAAGTGGAGTGCATATATACCTGTGGAATGTCCAGGGCGGGAGAAAGAACCCTGGAGAAAGAATCAGGGCCAGATAACATTTCCCAACAAAGGATTCCCCCAGGCAGGAAGCAGCCAGGCTTTGAAGTTGCAACGCCATTCAATGCTAATCAAAGTGGCCAATTGCAACATTCACGCTTGCCTCGAACAGACAAGAGTTCTTTCTCCCACTTTGGACATTCCACAGATATATAAACCTCACTTGCCTAGTTTCCAACAGACCTCACAACCTCTAAGGATGCTTGCCATAGATGTGGGGTGAAATGTCAGGAGAAAATGCTTCTGGAACATAGCCATACAGCCCGGAAAACTCACAGCAACTCAACTCTGGTCTGTTTAAAGCAAATATGAATGTTACAATCAGCAAGCTTGATTAGCATTGCGCAGCCATGAAGCTGCAAAGTCAATCACTATTTGCATAGTGGTAGCCTGGCTGTTGTTGCCTGGAGGCATCCTCTGCTTAGGTGTTAATTGGCGCTTGATTGTTTGCTGTCTAGTCCCCCTGTTTCTGAGTGGTGTTCTTTATTCATTGTCCTTGGTTCTGATGGGGTTTTTTTTTTTAATACTGGTACCCAGATTTTGTTCATTTTGATCAATTCCATCAGAAAGGAGGAAACCCTGGAAATGAACAAAATCTCGTTACTAGTATTTTAAAAAAGCACCAGAATCAAGACCATATATAATGAACACCACTCAGAAACAGGAGAACTCCAGACAGGAATAATTCATGGGCTAGTTAACATCTCCCAAACATTGGATGTCTCTAGACAACAAAGGCCAGGCTACCTCCATGGAGATGCCCTCGCTGATTGACTTTGCAGCTTCATGGTTTCTCATATGCTAATTCAAGCTTGCTAACTGCAACATTCACACTTGCTTTAAACAGGGTTCTTTTCCCCACCCTGGACATTCCACGGGTATATATATGCACTCCACTTGCTTCATTGCCAACAAAACCTCTGACGATGCCAGCCACAGATGCAGGTGAAACATCAGGAGAGAATGCTACTGGAACATGGACATACAGCCCAAAAAACTCACAGCAACCCAGTGATTCCAGCCATGAAAGCCTTTGACAACAAATTGGCCTTTCTTTCTTCTGAATCCACCCCCAATGGCAGATCCTTCCTCTCCCTGCACTGCATCAATATGGCTACCAAAACAAACCCTTCTCAATACTGAATGCCCTCCTTGTAAAACTAGGGAAGGCGGCCCAAGAGAGGGTTTCGTTTGGCAGGGCAGAAGAAAGGCAACATCAATATAGCCCAAATCCATATAAATCAAGAAAATTGTTTTCCTCCATTTTTCTTTTTAAAGAACTGGATCTCCTCAAAAAAAGGTGTTGGCTGGGAATCTCTTTCTCAATAGACATGATTTATTTCTGCTCTTTTGTTTTTATGGAGAGCTTCAGAACATTAGTTCAGACCCAGAATCCCCAAACCAACACGGAGAGCTTTACGTGAGGCAATCTCAAGGTTTTGCATGAACTGTTCATAAACTTTTTCCACATCCAAAACCATCCAGAGTCGCCCTGGAAGATGCAAATCTTTCTTAGATGACAGTTGCTAGCTTTGAAGCACCCAGCACCCATGATTCCCCTTTCTTTATTAATGCACAAAGCACATTGCAATTGCGGTCATTGCCATAATAGTGAGGCACTGAACCAGGGAGCCAGGGCATATTTCCCAAAGTTGCTCATTTCCCTGGGGTGCATTTCAATTCCACACATGTGTATTGGAAGTTCTTGCACAAATCCCATTGAGTCCTCTCTTTCTGAAAGTGGTCCAGGACAAGTGCATTCTTCCTAATCCATGGGTCACTGGTCCTTTGTGCTGTTGCTCTTCCGCGACTTCAAGGTCACCTGCACAGGGCCCTCTGGATCCGGGCGCAGGTCTCTCTACGCCCCAAGGAGACCATCATTTCGGCAACGCTGGGTCCTTCCTGAAAGAGATATAGATGCTATTTCATAAAGCAAAGGGAGAAGGTCCTCAGGACCAGGGAGTAAATTTCAATGCTCTGGGGAAAGGAATCAACATGGAACTACGATAACAAAACAAGATCCTAAAGCTGTGAATGTCCTGACAGAAGGTCAATTCATAAGCCTCTTTAGTGTGTGCCAGTTTTAGTTTAGTTTAGTGCCAGTTTTGCCCATTTGGTCCATTTTAGAAGTTGTTTAAGGCCTTTAGTTTGTGCCGGGGTCCGTTTTGCCCATTTGTTTCCTTTTCGAAGTTGTTTAGGGCCTCTTTAGTGCATGCCAGGGCCCATTTTGTCCATTTGCTCCCTTTTATAAGTTGTTTAGGGCCTCTTTAGTGCCTGTCAGGGCCTGTTTTGCCCATTTAGTGCCTTTTAGAAGTTGATTAGGGCCTCTTTAGTGTGTGCTAGGGCCCGTTTTGCCCATGTTTACCTGTGCAGCATTGAAATTTTGCCAGATTTATAAGCTGCCTTGAGTCCCCTCTGGGGTTGAGAATGGTGGGATAGAGATGAAGTAAATAATAAATACTATATCTCCATGAACCTTCTAATGTTTATGAGACTGGGTGGTCATCTGTTGGGAGTGCTTTGATTGTGCCATCCTGTCCGGCTGAATGGAAGATGGACTGGATGGTCTTTAAGAGTCTCTTCCAACTCTAGGATTCTATGATTCTATGGATGGTCAGTTCTACTGATTTCACCTGCATTGTTTCTCTGACCATTTTATGGTTCACTTATGGGAGGAAAAGGTAGGAGCGTACATTGTTGTGTCAACTGGAAAAAGTCATGCTGCCACCACCATCAGACTCTTTGGAAACATAGAAGGCAACTACCGACTTTCGGAGCAGCACAAGAAAGCATTTTGGAGGGAGAGCGTTCACCTGTCGGCCGCTGAGGGCCAAGCGGAGCAGCTTCATCGCACTGCTGTACTGGGTTCCTTTGATTTGCTTCATCAGCAACCGCAGGTCCCTGCTAAGCTCCTCCAAGTTCAGAGGGGCCACTGGCTGGTCTAGAAGCCTGATGGGAAAAGGAACAGACAGAATTATGGCATAGTACCAGATTCCAAAGGCACACTCAGGCTCACTTCAGATGGTGCTACAAACCTAAACTTTAGGAAGATCTGTTCACAAATGGAACAGATTGCCTTCACTGGAGGATTGCAAGCAAAGGCTGTATGGCCATCTGTCAGGAGGGCTCTGATTGTGCCTTCCTGCATGGAAGAATGAGATCAGACTAGATGACTTTAGAGTCCTTTCCAACTGGGGTTGTATAGAGATGGAAACCTCTTTGGAGGTCTGGATGGCCATCTGTCAGGGGTGTTTTGTGTATTCCTGCCTGGCAGAAGGGGCCAGACTAGATGACCCTTTGGGATCCCTTCCCACTCTTTTGTTTTTGGAAATACCTGCTTCACACACACAACACAAAAGTGGAGGGGGGGGGTAGAATGAGTTTAACTGTCCCAACTCTCCCATACTTTGTTGTTGTTGTAGGGTTGTCATAATTCAAGTCATTTCAGTCTTAGAGCAACTGAATACAGGGTTTTCTCAGAAAGATTTCTTCATTGATCATGACGGCTTTACTTCCTTTGAAGCTGAGAGAGTGTGATGTGCCCAAAGTCTGCCAGTGGGTTTCCATGGCCCAGCAGGGATTTGGACCCCAATCCTAGTCTGACACTCAAACCACTCCACATATTGCCAAAGGTGCAGGGAGAACGTCAGCAGTTCATGTATAGTCCTGACCTTTCCACTCACCCGAGAACCAGCGTCCCTATCTTCTCTGCCTCAGATGAAACTGAATGCAGCTCTTCATGCGACACAGAGGGACGGATCCACAAAAATGCATACTTGGGGGACACTAAGTCCTTGAGCTGGCTGACGTGGCCCTGGGAAGGAGGAAGGAAGACTGTGAGTCAGTGGGGAAGATACATAAGTATATATAACAACAATAACAATAACAACAACAACAACAACACTTTATTTATATTTTGCCCTATCTCCCAAAGGGGACTCAGGGTGGATCACAATACACATACGTGGCAAACATTCAATGCTGTTTGGACAGACAGGAGAGAAAAGAGGTGTGTTATGTTGATGTCCAGCTTTTTGGTGCCTTTTGAGGTTGTGCTCAAATCCAGCCACAGGGGGGTGCTGTCACTCCATCCTCTATGACAAAGAGCCATAGAATCATAGAATCATAGAATCAAAGAGTTGGAAGAGACCTCATGGGCCATCCAGTCCAACCCCCTGCCAAGAAGCAGGAATATTGCATTCAAATCACCCCTGGCAAATGGCCATCCAGCCTCTGCTTAAAAGCTTCCAAAGAAGGAGCCTCCACCACACTCCGGGGCAGAGAGTTCCACTGCTGAACGGCTCTCACAGTCAGGAAGTTCTTCCTAATGTTCAGATGGAATCTCCTCTCTTGTAGTTTGAAGCCATTGTTCCGCGTCCTAGTCTCCAAGGAAGCAGAAAACAAGCTTGCTCCCTCCTCCCTGTGGCTTCCTCTCACATATTTATACATGGCTATCATATCTCCTCTCAGCCTTCTCTGAGGACTTCCTTTTGGTCACCGGCATTTTCTGGCTTTTTTCCCCCTTTTATGGTGTCATAAAATACTTCCCCCACTTTTTAGAAGTACCTAATTTCTCTACTTACAGCTCTAAGCTGTTTTCGAGCTGCTTAGGTAAACAGTGAGTTGGGCTGACAGCTAGGTACTCACCCCGACCTGGGCTTCGAACTGGCAACCATATCCACACAAACAATACACCTATCCTAGATTGGGTCCTGCATTTTTCTAATTTTCTCTCTGTTGTGGGAATAAAATAGGCCATTCTGCCCTGAAACACATGTGATGTTTTTGCATGGAAATTACAGGGCATTTATGTGCATAAAATACATTTTTTAAGCTTTCCCCCTCTAAGTTTCCTAATACAGTTACAAACATCCAACTTAGAAACAACTCATTGTTAAGAATGGGGGTGAGACTACAGGAAGTAAGAGAAATCTACCCATTGGAAGGGAAATTAATTCTTGGAAGAGTCATTATCATGGGGAAAAGGGATCTCCAGTGAAGCTTTACCACCACTACTTGTTCCCACAGCTAGCCATTTTTTTTTCAAAATCCAATTGTCACAGGGACAAAAAGTGAGGTGAAATCTTCTGAACAGGGGCACAGGAAGCAAAGGAAACACCACAGGGGTGTTAGGCCTTCTTATATTATCCAAAGCATGCATATATGGTGGAGAAAGCACCCTTTTCTCCAGCTGCTCCTCCATTTCCTGTACAGCTGGACTCACCCTCCGCAGGAAGAGGACCTGCTCCACATAGGGCGCCTCCAGGACCCCTCTGTCCACCAGCTGCTGCCCAAAGGTCTCTTCTATGGCCGTCTGCAGCTCGGACACAAGCTCCCGCCGCAGCACCTCGTCCCTGATCCTCCGGGAGAAGTGGGTCCTGGACAAAATATCACATTGGAGCCCGGCTGAGAGAAAGAGAAAGCCAACTCCAGAGAGAGAGCCACGAAGCGAGTAAGAAAAATAATAATAATAATAATAATAATAATAATAATAATAATAGACTCTGTAAAGACTCTGGCACAAGCCAGTCAAGGTGGTCCCAGTGGTGATTGGCACACTGGGTGCAGTGCCTAAAGACCTTGGCCTGCACTTAAACACAATCGGCGCTGACAAGATTACCATCTGCCAACTGCAAAAGGCCACATTACTGGGATCTGCACACATTATTCGCCAATATATCACACAGTCCTAGACACTTGGGAAGTGCCCAACATGTGATCCAATACAACAGCCAGCAGAGTGTCTGCTGTGGACTCATCTTGTTGTGTTTCAAATAATAATAATAATAATAATAATAATAATAATAATAAGCCAGTGTAGTCTAGCGGCTTGAGTGCTCGACCACAATGCTAGAGGCTAGGGTTTGAATCCCTGCCCAGTCACTGAATCCTACAGTCACAGGCTCTCAGCCTCAGAAGAAGGCAAAAGCAAACTGAACAATTCCTCCCAAGAGTGTGTCCAGAGGAGGGAGACTCAAATGATCAAGGGTCTGGAGAACAAGCCCTATGAGGAGCGACTTAAAGAGCTGAGCATGTTTAGCCTGCAGAAGAGAAGGCTGCGAGGAGACATGATGAGGGTCATGGATAAAGATGTGAGAGGAAGTCATAGAGAGAGGGGAGCAAGCTTGTTTTCTGCTGCCCTGGAGACTGGGATGCAGAACAATGGCTTCAAACTACAGACAATGAGATTCCACCTAAGCATTAGGAAGAACTTCCCGACTGCGAGAGCTGTTCAGCAGTGGAACTCTCTGCCCCCAGAGTGTAGTGGAGTCTCCTTCTTTGGAGGCTTTTAAGGAGAGGCTGGATGGCCATTTGAATGTGATTTTCCTGCTTCTTGGCAGGGGGTTGTACTGGATGATTCTATAATTCCATGAAAACCTTGTGATAGGATTGCCATACATCAGAAATGACCTGAAGGCACACAACAGCTAGAAGAACAACAACTAAGAGAAAACAGTATACTGGGGAATCATTTCCAAAGGGCATCAATGGCCTGGAGTGGACATATTTCAATGCACGTAAAGGCCCTGCCAAATAAAAAAGGAATAGCGTGAGTCCCGCCTGGCCGCTCCCCACCTGTTAAACTCAGGGAGCTTCTCCAAGTCCAAAAGGGCCGAGTGTCGCTCAATTCTGCCCAAGTCGAACTCCTCTATCAGTTCTGGCAGTGTCCTCCCCATCCGGTTCTCTGCAGAAAGAAGTCTGTTATCCTGTCTCCCAGAAGACCCTTGGGTTTCCTTTTGCAACTCCCAACCCACACAAACCCCAACTGCATGGCCTTCCTTATATTCCTACTCTGGCATTGCAGCAAGTGGAAGGTTTTGTCCCATTAGCCCGCCTCAATTACCCACAAAGCCAGAGCCACAGTTGGTCAGCAGGTCCAGCAGGGCCTCCGGCAGGCATCCCTCCCGTGCAAAGCCCTCCACGAAGAGGTCTCCCTGCCGCTTCGATAGTTTGCTCCCGTCGCGGTTGAGGAGGAGCGGGAGGTGGCCGAAGCGCGGGGGCTGCCACCCAAGGGCCCTGTACAGCAGGAGGTGCTTGGAGGTGGAGGTCAGCCACTCCGTGCCCCGCAGGACGTGGCTGATGCCCATCCGGTGGTCGTCCACCACGTTGGCCAAGTGATAGGTGGGGAAGCCGTCACTCTTCAATACCACCGGATCCCCCTCCACACTGGACACCTCGTGGCGGCTCCACCCGTAGACCAGGTCCAGGAAGGGCTCCTCGGTGCCCTGCTCCAGGCGGAAGCGCACTGCATGCTCCGTACCCTGAGACAGCTTCTCCGCCACATGCAAGGGGCTCAGGTGCCGGCAACGGTTGTCATACCTTAATGGTGAGAAGAGAGGGAGATCCACCAGTGAAATTGAGTCAGCGGAATGGTGTGACTCCAGTTCAAGTGGCAAGCACCCATTTCATTTGGCCCACAGAAGAATCCAAGATTTTGGGAAAATTAGGGCTTGTGAGGAAACCAAGAGTGCCTCTACATTGCAATGCAGCCTGACTGCCATGGCTCAATGTTATGGAATCATAGACTCATAAAGTTGTTGGAAGGGACCCCAAGGGACATCCAGTTCAATCCCTTGCTATACTGTTATACGTAATGAAAGCACTCCTGACAGTTGGCCATTGGGCCTCTGCTTACATGAGAGTTGTAGTTTGACAAGGTCTTTCTCCTCCTCTGCCAAAAAAGTGTTGGTGCCCCACCAAACTACAAATCCCAAGATTCTATAGCACTGAGCCATGATGGTTAAAGTGGGGCCAAACTGTATTCATTCAGCTGCTTTAAATCTCCTTCAGGAGAAATGAAGCAGGGTATAAATAATAATAATGATAATGATAATGATAATTATTATTATTATTATATGTACGTAACATCACAGCACACATGCACATTATGTCCAAGTGTGTGGGATTCATCTCTGAATATCGGGCTCTTCCCAAGGGCCTAGGATATTAGAGGCATTTTCGCAGAATGCGCACAGTTCCGTGAAGTGCTACCTTCCCTCTGCAGCATGTGAGTTGATGTTCTGTCCAAATTAAGGCTTTTCAAGTGTTTTTCAAGGTTTCTTGGAATGCCTCCAAGACCACCAAACACTATTGGTATGACTGTTGTTCTCTTTTGTCATAGCCATCCAATTACAATTTGTAAGTCCTTGTGTTTTGTGATCTTTTCCAGCTCTTTGTCTTCTACTCTACTCTCTCCTTTATTGCAATGTCTATAATAAAAACATGTTTCTTTTCCACAGCCATTATATCTAGTGTGTTATGTGGTAAATAAATAAATTATTATTATTATTATTATTATTATTATTATTATTATTATTATTATTATGTGGTTTAGATGCACCCCCAGAAAGCAATGAAGTCATTTATGCTTTCTTCCAGCATGGGCATCACAACATAAATTACGTATGTGTAACGGAACTGTTTGCTAAACCTTTTAATGGCAATTGCTGTGTTTCAGTTTGGTTCAAGCCTTTCCTGGGGACAACGTTATGAGCTAAGTTTGGGGAGAAATTAAACACAAAAATGGATGAAATGGGGCACACCGCCCCACAACCAGCTGCCTGGTTCAGAGATCCCATGCAAGCCCCTCCATGGCTCCTGACCGTGGGGTCTGCCGGTTGCGCAGGGCCTCCTTCTTGAGGAGCTCCAGGCGCTGTGGGGTGCAGAAGCAGCGGTAGGCAGCCCCCTTCTCCAGGAGGAAGTCGGAGGCCTCCCGGTAGAGGCCCAGGCGCTGAGACTGCAGGTAAGGCCCCACAGGGCCCCCTCGGCGAGGGCTCTCATCCGGAGGGATGCCTGCAAGAGAGAGAAGGAAGAGATCGGAAAAGCCTTCGCAGAATCAAAGGAAACAAGGGACTGAAAAGGTGAATGCAAAGCTGGGCTGAGTCAATAGACTGAAGGAAGTCATAGTCCCACTCTCTTCGGTACTAGTCACCTGGAATAATAACCCTGGGCAATTCAAGGAGGATGGGGACAAGGTGGAATGGATCCATGGAATGGCCACCAAAATAATAATAATAACGATGATGATCAAAGATTGATCAACTGGGTTGTTGCAGGTTTTTTGGCTATATGGCCATGTTCTAGAAGCATTCTCTCCTGACGTTTCGCCTGCATCTATGGCAAGCATCCTCAGAGGTTGTGAGGTCTAAAGATGTTTGCCATAGATGCAGGTGAAACATCAGGAGAGAATGCTTCTAGAACATGGCCATATAGCCCAAAAAACCTACAACAACCCAGTGATTCCAGCCATGAATGCCTTCGACAATACATTGAACAATCAAACTGTCTGAAGAGCAGCTTAGAGACATGGGTATGTTTAGCTTCAAGAAGAGAAGGGGAGAGGACAGGTAGGTTGAAATATTTGAGTGTGGTGGAAGCTCTTTCTTTGGAGGCTTTTAAAAAGAGTCTGGATTGACATCTGTAAGGGGTGCTTTGATTGTGTTATTCCTGTATGGCAGGGGGTTGGATTAGAAGGCTCATGTGGTCTCTTCCAACTGTTACTCTATGGCTGGATCTAGATTGCTGTATATCCCAGGATCTGGTCCCAGATTATCTGATTTGAACTGGATTATATGACTCTACACTGACAGACAATCTGGGATAAGCAGATAATCTGGGATCAGATCCTGGGATATACGGCACTGTAGATCCAGCCTATTACTTTATGAAAGGATATTCCATTGAGAAGTGGGCAAGCTTGTTTTTTGCTACTTTGGAGACTGGGGGCACTTCTAGACAGGCCTTATATCCCAGCATCTGGTCCCAGGTTTTCTGCTTTAAATTGAATTATATGAGTCCACACTGCCAGATAATCTGGGATAAAAAGAAAACCTGGGATTAGATCCTGGGATATAGAGCCTGTCTGGAAGGACCCTGGGACACAATAGAGAAATGGATCCCAATGACAGGAAAGGAGATTTCACCTAAACATGATGATGATGATGAACTGTAAATACTACTTATTGCCCGCCTCTCCTTATGGCTTGAATCAAGAGACAACATAGCTAAAGAAAGAACTTCAGATGGCAAGAGATGTTCAATCATGGAACATGCTGCTGCTTGGGATTTCTGTGGAGCTTCTTCCACTGGAGGTTTTGAAACAGAGGCTGGATGGCTCTCTGTCAGGAAGGATTGGAATGTGGTTTACTATCTCTAGCAGAACTGGATTTGGACTGGATGGCCCTTGAGGTCCCTTTCAGCTCTACAATTCTATAGCCCTATTTCTCCATGAACCGTCTAATGCCTATGAGGTTGGGTGGCCATCTGATGGGATGGCTTGGGTTGTGTCTTCCTGTCAGGCTTAAAAGGGTTTAGACTGGATGACCCTTGGGGTCCCTTCCAACCCTATGATTCTATAGCCTTACTTCTCCATGAAACTTCTAATGTCTATGAGGCTAGATGGCTTCTGTTGGGAGGGATTGAATTGTGTCTTTGTGTCTAGCAGAATTGGGTTTGGACTGGATGGCCCTTGGGGCCTCCTCCAAACCTGCGGTCCTCTGTAAGACTCCATGGCAGGTCCCATCATCCCTATAGGCTAGATGTATGCACAAATGATGCAGCCTCATGGGAAAAATATGGGGAGGGTACCCCACCTGCCCACTCCAGCATGTCCTCGATGCCCTGTGCGGCTCCATCCACCACCCGGCTCTGGTCGGTGTCCTCCAGGCGCAGGACGAAGCGGCCATTGTGTTTCCGGGCAAAGAGGTAATTGTACAGCGCGGTCCGCAGGCCCCCCAGGTGCAAGAAGCCTTTGGAACATGAAGGTGAGAGAAAAGAAAGCCAAAAGCTTGCAAATCTGAACCTTTTCTCATGTAGGGCACATTGTCACTGTTGAATGAATGCAGCTTGACTCCACTTGACCTGCCCTGGCTCAATCAATGCTATGCAATCCTAGGAGTCGCAGTCTGCATAAGGTGAAAGGCCTTATAAAACTACAACTCCCAGAATCCCACAGCAGTGAGCCCTGAAAATTCAAATGGGGCCACACTGCAGTGCAGATGCAGCCTTAGTCCTGGGAATTGCAATCACCTAGGCTGGTTGGGTGCTCCCATTATCCCAGAGCACTTAGTAATGCCAGCTCAAATGGGCTCAAAACTGCATTCATTCCTATTCTGGGGCCTTGCAATCATATTGCCTAATTGAGGATGCTGGGAACTGCAGTACACAGAGCTACAGCTCCCATTATCGCATAGCACTGAGCAATGCCAGCCCAAATGGGCTCAAAACTGCATTCATTCCAATACCTGGGGCTTGCAATTATATTGGCTGGTTGGGGATGCTGGGAACCACAGTACATAGAGCTACAGCTCCCATTATCCCATAGCACTGAGTAGTGGCACCTTAATTGGCTCAAAATTGCAGTCACATCGCTTAGTTGAGGATGCTGAGAACCGCAGTACACATAGCTACAGCTCCCATTATCGCACAGCACTGAGCAATGCCAGCTCAAATGGGCTCAAAACTGCATCCATTCCTATTCTTGGGGCGTGCAATCATATTGGCTGGTTGGGGATGCTGAAATCTGCAGTACACAGAGCTACAGCTCCTATTATCCCATAGCACTGAGCAATACTAGCTCAAATGGGCTCAAAACTGCATTCATTCCTATTCTTGAGGTTGCAATCACCTTGGCTGGTTGGGAATGCTGGGAACTGCAGTACACAAAGCTACAGCTCTCATTAGCCCATAGCACTGAGTCATGGCAGCTCAAATGGGCTCAAACCTGCATTCATTCCTATTCCTGGGCCTTGCAATCACATTGCCTAGTTGGGGATGCTGGGAACTGCAATACACGGAGCTACAGTTCCCATTACTCCATAGCACTGAGTAATAGCAGCTCAGATGGGCTCAAACATGCATTCATTCCTATTCCTGGGCCTTGCAATCACATTGTCTGCTAGAGGATGCTGGGAACTGTAGTACAGGAAGAATGAATTCGTGTGAAAAGGGATTCTAGAGCGGCAGCCCTGCCCCTTCTGGAAAGGGAGTGCTGGGATCTGCAGTCCTGCTATCTCTGGAAAGGGAGGGCTGGCTCTTAAAGGGGATTTTGGGAGTTGTAGTCCAAAGACACCCCTTTCCATAAACCCTCAGTCGCAAATTTACCTGTGGGGCTGGGGGCGAATCTCACCCGCACCGCCTCCCGAAAGGCAGCGCTGCCTCCCATTACACTTTCACGAGAGGCTCGGAAATCGGCGCGGCGCCTTTAAGGATGGCTCCGCCCCCTATCGTCAGTGATTGGCTCCAATCCGAGCGAGGGGCGGGGTCATTCTTAAAGGCGCCGCGCCTCTTTGACACATTGAGCTTGGGAAGCCACCAAGGCTGGCCAAGGAGCGGAAGAGGCGGGCTACGGCGGCCGGCGAGGGCCAATCAGGGCGGCGAGGCGCTTTTTCCCATCATGCCCCGCGGCTGGGTTGTACACAATCATCATGGCCGCCGCCGCCGCCTCCTCTGCGTCCGGTTCTCCCGGTGAGAAGGAGGCCAAGGAGGAGGAGAGGAGCCACCGCGGGGCGGCAAGCAGGGAGGGAGCCGGGGCGGGGTCCTGGGAGCTCTAGTTTGGGGAGGCAGCGGCCCTCTCAGGCGGAAGAGGCGCCAGACCTTTTCGAACTACAACTCCCAGGGCTGCAGAGCAGTTCAAAGGGGTGTCAGAGGGCATTTAGCCCACCGCGAAGAGGCCTGAATCCCAGGCCAAGGTCTGCTTCCTCCTCGAAGGACCTAAAGGCCTTACATGGCTGCTAATGGAGGCAACCAAAGCGGAGAAGCACGTTATCCATCAGGGGCAAAGGCCCTGGCCTTGCCAGTCCGCTGTCTTTCTATTTATTTGCATGGAGGGTTTGTACCAGGCATGGGCAAACTTTGGCTCTCCAGGTGTTTTGGACTTCAACTCCCACACTTTCTAACATTCCTGTTAGGAATTGTGGGAGTTGAAGTCCAAAACACCTGGAGGGTCGAAGTTTGCCCATGCCTGGTTTATACCCTGCTTTTCTCTTGTTTTATTTATTTGTTTAGAAGCAGGCATAGGCAAACTTTGGCCCTCCGGTGTTTTAGACTCCAACTCCCAGAACCCGTAACAGCCTACCGGCTGTTAGGAGTTCTGGGAGTTGGAGTCCAAAACACCGGAGGCCCAAAGTTTGCCCATTCCTGGCATATTAATTTTCAACACTTCCTTAGTGATTTCTTCCTCGATACTTCAACTGTTTCTTTCTTTTTCTCTTCCGTGGATGCCAAATTCTTTGGAGGTTTGTTTGGACCAGGTTAATAGCCAGTTAGGTCCTGGATACTTAAGTCATCGTGTCCTACCATATAAACCGGGTAGATTATTAAGATCAAGTAGTCAAACACTCCAATCAACTCAGTTTAGGGACAGCCGTCATTTAAAATTGGTTAGAGATGGCACATTCTCGGGCGTGGCACCCAAACTGTGGAGCACTTTGCCAGAAGCGATAGGAGCAGCCCCCACCCTCTTAGCCTTGAGGAAAACCTTGAAAATGTTCCTATGTGGAATAGCTTTTAACTAAGCTGTCAGAAGTCTGGGGCCTGCACTTTTTAATTATATTTTACCTTCCTGGACATTTTAGAATGTTTTTAATCATTTTTTGGTAATTTTATGTCCAACAAGGACTGACTTGGGATTATTTTAATGTGTTATTTATGCTGTTATGTTTTATCTATTGTTATAGAAATGCCCAAATAAATTAAATTAATTTTGACTTCTTCCATAAACTGAAGTTCCCTTTTGGAATAATACTTATATGTCACAAGGGTTGTTTTTTTTAAAGATGCTTAGGTGGCGCAGGGTAAAAAAAGTTGGAACCACTGGTTTACAGTATTCATACTGTGATATTGTATTTATTTTTTTAGTGCAGTGTTTCTGAAACTGGGCTCCTCCAGGTGTTTTTGACTTCAGCCCCCACAATTTCTAACAGCTGGTAAACTGGGTTGTTGTAGGTTTTTCGGGCTGTATGGCCATGTTCTAGATTTGAACATGACCTACAACAACCCAGTGATTCCGGCCATGAAAGCCTTTGACAATACAGCTGGTAAACTGTTTGGGATTTCTGGGAACTGAAGTCCGAAACACCTGGAGGAACACAATTTGGCCCCTTCTACACTGCCATATAATCCAGAATATCAAGTCAGGTAATTCACATCGTCTTCTTCGAACTGGATTATCTGTGTCTACACTGCCAGATAATCCAGATCAAAGCAGATAATCTGGATTTTATATAACTGTGTAAAAGGGGCCTTTGAGAAACACCGGTTTAGAGGATTTATACCCTGCTCTTTAATTATTTCATTTATTTGTGAGGATTTGTACCCCATTCTTCAGCCACAAAGGCTCTCAGATCATCTTACAAATAGTGAATTTCAATTATTTTATTATAACTTGCCTTGTATTGCTTTGTATTATTATATTTGCAGTGTTTTTACCCTTGTTTGTATGCATTTAGCATTGCATTCATTCTGTTTTTAAGTGGTCTTATCAGTTTATGAAATAGTGAATTTGCCATCAAACTTGCAATCTAAATAAGAAGGGAAAGGGAATGGCAGGAAGGAAACAGATTAAGCTTCTGTTCTGGATGTTGTGGTCATTTGTTCCTCTCCTTCCCAGATTCAGAAGACGCCAGCATGGACCCGGAGACCCAGGATCCATCTTTAAGCTGTAGGGACAGTAGCCCAAACAACTCCCTTCAGGCTGAGCAACTGCCAGAGAAGCCCTCTGGTGACCCCCCAGACTCTGTCAGCAATGGAGGGGAAGCCGATACAGAGAAAGAACTGGTCGAACTCAAAATAATCTGGAACAAAAACAAGTACGACTTGAAGTTCCCGCTGGACAGCACAGGGGCGGACCTGAAGCAGAAGATCCACTCGCTCACAGGTGAGCTTTTTTGTGCCTCCCTGAGAGGCCGTTCTGCTGACCTTCGCTTCCAAGAGACATTAAGTCCAACCCCTGTCGGTCCCTTCTTTGCCAGGCCTCCCGCCCGCCATGCAAAAGGTCATGTTCAAAGGACTGGTGCCAGAGGAGAAGACATTGCGGGAAATCAAGGTCATCAGCGGAGCCAAAATCATGGTGGTCGGCTCAACGATCAACGATGTCCTGGCCGTGAACACGCCAAAGGATGCCGCGCAACAGGAAGTGAAGCCAGAAGAGAGTAAAAAGGAACCTCTCTGCAGACAAAAGGTGGGTCGATCTCTGGCCTGGGCGGGTTGGCTTGTAATTGTGCCTGGTTTGCTGTGTAAAACATAGAAAGTTTGGTCGTTCAACTGGTTAGACAAGAAGCCCTTCCGCTTATGTGCTGATGCAGTGGTAAGTTGTCCTGAAGCGTTTGATCTCTCGGGTCATTATGGTCACAGACTTGCAGAGTAAATTGCTTTTCCAGTTTTACGTCTGGGGAAACAGACAGGGAAAAGAGATACTTGGGGGGGGGGGGGAGTTTTATATGTAATTTTTTTTTGTATTTATTGTATGTATGTACTTTAATTGTACTTTAACTGTATATCCAACCACTAATATTTAAGTGTTTTTAAAATTGCTTTGTTTTTGTTGTTAGTCAATTGTTTAGTTGTTAGCCACTTTGAGTCTCAATGTAGAGAAAGGCAGGATATAAGTAAAGTTAAAAATCATACTAATAATATGTTCCTCCAAAGTGTCAGCATATTTGTGACTGAGTTGGCATCTGAAATACTTCTTTGACTTCAGAGAAAGTAGCTATCACACTTTCTTAGTAAATGGCATTGTAAAGTAAAATATTGCTGACTTTTGTGTGATCTTAATTAATTCAGTGGAAATGTTTACAAAGTGCTAGCAAATGGTGATACCTATTTTTCTTCATGTGAAACATTTCACTGTTGACAAAACTGAAGCGTTGCCAATGAAGAAATATTACAAAGTATACACTATCAAAGTCGAAATATTTCTTTTCGAATTCATTTGTTCTTTGGATATTTCTCTGTACTGTGGATCCTCTTTGATGCTTTCTAATAGTTTGTCTTGAGAATAGGGACCACAATATTAAAGACAGTTCAAAATCCCCATGCTGTTTAGAAGAGGTTGTTGATAAAGGGAATATACTTCTCAGCTAGTTTTAGATTGCACAAGTGAGATATAACAAAGTATCTTCTAATTTTAGATATCATGTCTCTCATTCTCAAAAGTTTGTCTGCTGCAATTGGTAAACCACTCATGTAGGCTCTGTCATCTGGGCAGAAGGGCAGTCCTTCTGAGGGCCTTCCACACAGCCATATAACCCAGAATATCAAGGCAGAAAATCCCACAATACTTTGAACTGGATTATCTGTGTCCACACTGCCATATATTCCAGTTCAAAACAGATAATGTGGGATTTTATTCAGCTGTGTGGAACGGGCCTGAGTTCTAACTGAATTTCAATTTTGATTTCTTCTTTGTTACAGCAACACAGGAAAGTATTAGATAAAGGCAAACCGGACGACGTGATGCCTTCTGTCAAAGGTGCCCAGGTAAGTGCCAAGGCCAGCTTTTGTTTCTGAGTTCTTCCTTTTCTGCCGACAAAACAAAGGATAATGGTTTTTGTGATTGCAGAGCAAGCAGCTGTTTGGTTTGTTCCTGATTGATCTCTGTTCTTTGCCTCTTCAGGAACGACTGCCAACTGTCCCTTTATCGGGCATGTACAACAAGTCTGGTGGAAAAGTCCGGCTCACCTTTAAACTAGAACAGGATCAGCTCTGGATTGGCACTAAAGGTGAGGGCTTCTGAGTCTGTCCTTTCAGCTCTTGAGACACATATCTTTGTGGGGAAGCAAATGCTGCATTTGTTGCTTTGCAGGAGACTCCTTACAGGTATCTAAATGTCCCTGGATTTGTAACAATGTCTCTTGGCTGGGTCTTTCACTGTGTCTTGTTGTGGTCTGTGAGCAATATGTGGAAGTTCTGATGGCTGGAGTTCACGTTATGATTTTGATCAGAACCTTTTTGACATTTTAAAGACTGCACCTGCCTCTGAAAGCCTCTTTCCTGTCTTTGCCAAATTGACTGATTGATTGTTTGATTTTTTTTTATTTCTGAGTTGTCATGCCACTAAATAAATAGCACTATATATCAATAACAACTCTATGTAACAAAATTTGAAAAAAAAAATCTGGTTTGAAAGGATTATTTTTTTTCCTGGTTAATTGTGTGGTGCATACTTTGAAAGTAGTTGTCTACTCCAGAAACTTCATTTAGATGGCTGCCACAGACTATGTTTTCCTTTTGCTCTTCTGAGGATGGGGGCTGGATACAGACAGATGTGGAGCACACTGCATGCCATTTAGGGAAACTGTTTCCCACCTTGCCTCTTCCACGAGGTACTAGGAGCTCCCAAACTGAGACACAAAGAAAGCATAAGATGTCTGGTTGTCTTACTTCCTTGCAGAAAGGACAGAGAAGTTACCGATGGGGTCCATCAAGAATGTGGTGAGCGAACCCATTGAAGGACATGAGGATTATCACATGATGGTAAGGAGCCTTACAGAATTGCAAGCCGTCTTAGGTCTGTCATAATTGTCACTGCAATTCTCACCATCATCATCTGTCATTGCCCCCAAACCCCATCAGTATTTTAAGTTGGTAATGGTGGGTCTGCTTGCCAAGTTTAATCCAGATCCATCACTGGTGGGGTTTACATTGCTCTGGACATGGGTGAACAACAACTCCCTGTTAGGGAAAACTACCCAAAAATAAGAAGAGCATCCAAAATACAAACAGGATACTAAAAGTTGATCAACAGCAAAGCATGAAGTGTCGTTGGTTGTGGCTGTCAAGAATTTAGAGCTTAGGCAGGCAAAGATGCAGAGTCCAATCTTAATAACCGCAAACGGTTTATTTACAATAATAAAAATAACTATATTTCTTAATAGTTAAAGAACTGGGTCTGAGCTACTCTAACACCCATTTCGTCTAAGGTTTTAAGAGACCCAAGCACTACATCTCTCCTGACACACAAGCAGAGAGAGATCTCAAAGCACACAGCACATATACAGATGTAAAAAACAGAACTCAGATTTTAAAAGACTTACAGTAGAAAAGTAGCCATTCTACACAACCAATCAGAATGAGAGTAGAAACAGAGAGAGAGAAAAAATAGCTAGATTCTCAACTGTCATTCAAGAGACATTGGGAAAGGGAAACCCTTAGTTTGTACTAAACTAACTACTTGTTGAGGACTGGAGACTTGGGCAGTGTGGGGTTGAATTCCAGCACTCCCAACATCCTGGGTAACCCCTCACACCTATCTTGCCAGTCCTTAAAGTTGGTTTTTGTGGTGATGTGTGCCAAGTTTGGTCTGGGTTCACTGTGCTTTTTGATTGTGGGTGAACTACAACTTCCAACATCCTGGGTCATTTCCCCCAAAGTTGATCATAAACATGCTAAAGTGTTGAGCTCTAGAGGAAGCTTCTGCTCCTCTTCCTCATTGGTCAGATAGCCCTCGGCCTGCCCCATTTCCTCCTCTGGCTGCCTCTCCTCCTTCTCCTTCCAGGCCTTCCAGCTGGGGCCGACGGAAGCCTCCTACTACTGGGTCTACTGGGTCCCCACCCAATACGTGGATGCCATCAAGGACACCGTGCTGGGCAAGTGGCAGTTCTTTTGAAGGCACGCCTCACCTCTGGCGCTGGGGGGACCGTCTCATGGACCGAGGGACAGACACTGCTGGGAGAGGGGCCTGGAACGGGGGTCATCCCGGGACATCTGCCTCTGTTCGATCCCAGAGGGGCCAGGGAGGACGCCAGAGGTGGGGACACACTCTCTCTCCCCCCATTAGTTTATTTTTAACTTAAAAAAGAAAGAAAGAGAACAGCAGCCACCCCTGTTCTGCAGCCAGCTTCGTTTGACCCTATTTAAAAACAAACATGATGGAAATCAATAAATCTTAAATTCACAAACCACGAAGTGTGTGTCATACACTTTTAACTCTGCCAAGCCTCGCCCTTCTGCGAGGAAAAGGCCGACACACTGCCGTGGATCTTTCTACATGATTTGAACACGAGACCGTTGTTTTTCGCTGTTCGTTGTTATGATTTGAGCTGTTTGCTTGTGACAAGCGAGGCTTTGGGGAATAGGTTTCTCCCTCTCCTTAGAATCTTTGAAACAGTATGCAAACTCGGGGTCTCATAAGCCATATCTTTCTTGGTTTGTTTTTCTTGTATTGTAGAAAGATGGTGCAACGTTTCCCTCTTCTCTTAACCCAAAGATGTGCTCAACTCTTTTTAACTCCTAGTAGTGGTGCCAAGGGAGTTCTTCCTGTCACTGAGAAAAGGGTCATGGCTGGAGAGGAAACAGATATTATGCCAGCTCCCTTTTGCCCTTTTCTTGACCCACTTCCTTTCCCCCTTTAGACTCCATCTCTCTTTTGGAACAGATCACTTTGCAGCCGCCTTGTCACCTTTCCTTTTTGCTTTCTATGCTCTTCTATTGGCCTTATTTTGCTTCGTCCCAGTTTCTGCGGCACTCTCTCAATCATTCTTTTCTGATAAATGATAATTATTATAATAATAATAGTTATTCTTCTGTTCTCTTTCTGGGAAGAGATGGGAAAAGTCTGTAAATGTGAATGGCTCCGCTTTTATTCTAGGGGTGCCGTCTTTATCAAAAACTGTGGCATTTTCCCAGTCACTCCTGCATTAGTTGTGTTCTTCCTGCAGCACTTGAATGAAAGAGCAGACAGTGTCTTTTCCTGCGCTGAACCATTGTTTATTTGTCCTGACATAAAGCAGTAGATTTATTGGAAGGAGCTCTAGGAAGTCACCTGCCTGTCTGTGTTATTGAGCATAGTCAGAGATCATGAAGATAAAATTAAGGATATGAATGAAAGGGAGACCTATTAGTCCAAGAGAAGTGCATGTTGTTATATGGGAACAGCCCTGAGGAGTGTGGCCTAGAGTTATCCCTTCATTCTACTTTCCTCTTGGGCTGAGTTGGTCTTCCTTCTTCAGCTTTCCTTTGTTCTCTTTGGTGTCAGACTCAAGCAGTAGGTGACCAGAACTACTGATAAGAGTCATCTTTCATTCTATTGAAACATTGGCGAGTGACTAAATACCTGAAATACATCTAACTTGTGAAGCCATAAGAAAGAACAAGTATCCTTCCACTCCCATGACGCACTTGGGGAAAATGGAATTATTGGCAGTAGTTTCTTATAAAAGCTAAACCAGTTCTACTGGTTGAGGACTTCTTTTTCCTTTTTGGCATACTTATCGTAAATATTAACTGTGTTGGTACTATGCCAAGCCTGTGAGGGAGGGCAGACTCCAGAAAGTAGCCATTTGCTCAATCTGCTGGATGTCCAGCAATACAGACCTGGACCTGTTGACTCAGAAGTGAGGCCTGTTGTGATCCCAAGTCAGATTGGAGGCTTCCTCCTGAATCGGATGGTTGGTTTATTACTACTACTTCTAGTAGTAGTAGTAGTAGTAGTAGTATGAACCTTCCTGTTATGTGGCTGCAACGACCCTCCTTATCTTCTCCTCTTAGTAACAAGCTTATGCCCAGCTGCCATAATAACAACAACAATCCGCCACAGTCACTGTGAACCCTGGAAACCCAATCTAGAGTATCTGTCTTTGTTCAGAAAAATGGCACGTTTCCATCCTCTTCGACTCTCAAATGTTTTCAAAGCCCTTCTTGCCTTTGTATTAGTAGCTTACCTTGCTATTGACAGGGCAAAATGGATGGCACTTTCCGCTCCCGTGAGCCTGCCTTTGTGGACTTTGCACGCCAACCCTGGAAGGCAGTAGCAGGGAGGCTGTGTCCCTCCAGATGTTGGTGAACTGCTCCTCCAGGCCCAACAGACCCCATTCTATTCTGATGTGGGGAACGTGGCATCATGTCCCGCCTTGTCATCATGCAAATAGACCTATGGTATGGCTGTTAGGCCCTTCCTTGTGGGTTGGCGACCCTCCATGACTGTTCTCTTTCCTCCTTTCTCCGCGAGTGCCTCGTCCTCCTTTTAGAGCTTTAGGGTGCTGCTTTGTGTTCTCTTTTGGGGCCTAGCGAGTCTCTTTGGACATGCCTCAGCTTAGAGAGAGTGAAAACCTGTGCAATGTGATGCAAACTATAAGCCCAGCATCTTTGGTGGCATTCCTCCTGTAGCATTTGGTCCGGAGGTGCCCTGATTTGGCTCCAGTTGGGGCCTCCCAGGAGCCGTATAGCCTTTCTTTTCTTGCCTCGGCCAGCACTGTTTCTGCACTCATTTGTTTCGTCAGGAGGAACATTCTCTCTTGTAGGGCATTGGGGAATTAAAAGGCGTACCTGGCAGCCATGCTTCAGCCGGGGAATCCTTGAATCATTCGGCCGAAGTGGATCTTGTTCAGATCTGTCCTCCTGCTGCAAAAAAAGCCCTCTCTGCCAGGAGGAAATGTTTCTGTTTCCTGCGTTTGACACACAGACCCTGACATACATTTTTAGAGAAGAAGAATGGGGAAAGGGAGGGCGGTTTTACTGCTTCTTCACTCCCCTTTACTCTCTCTTTTGCATTTGAGGACCCTACGCTTGGGTCCAGGTCATGTCTGCAAAAGGGACGCTTCCTTATTCTGTGCAAATGCAATACTTGGTGATTCAGGAAACCTTGTCGCTGTAGCCAGTGCCTAGGGCCAGGGGAAATGTCACCAGGCCCAGTCCTTGAATTTTGGGTAGGCCTTGGTCTGTTCCTTAGTGCCATCAGGCCCAAGGTCTTGAGGTGAATTTCGCAATACGTTCCTTTTTCCACCCAGGTGCAATATTCCTATCACATTTCCTTCTTAGAGTTTCCTCCCCCTCTCCTTGCCCCCTTCTCTTTTGGGGCCCTGCATTGAGACGCCTTCATTCCCTCCAATGTCCCCTCTTTAAGGACAAGCGCAGGGTCGCTTCCCCCCTTTATGCCTTTGGTAGCTTTCAAGATCCACGTTGCTGTTTCCATGTGGCATTGGCTGTTTTCCAGGGGTGGGATATTGCATTGGCATCCCTTTCAGGAAGTGGTTTGCATCTCTGCTGTTTCTGTGTGTTGGGGAGGGCCTTCCATTGTGCCTCTAAGTCTCTGGATAGAGCTTTGGCGTGTCCCCAGCCATGTCCCTGTCGCATTTTGCTTCTTCTACAGAGCAGCTGGAAAGGAGGAATGGAAAAGGGGGGATGCAGATGGGAGGGGGCTAAGCGCCGCCACGCCGCTGGGAATGTGTCAAAGTGTAACCGCATCCCGTTTATTGTCCGCCTTGGTTCTGTTCTGTATGATTGATCAGCCATGTCCATATTAAACTTTGATAATGAACTGCTTTGCTTCCCTTTGCCTGGTTCAGCCGCCGATCAATTGCATAGCCTTTTCCCTTTTGAGAGTGAAGCAGGAGTTGGAGGGTTGCTCTGAGGCCAAAACATGGAAAACTCAAAATAAAATGCCTGTCTGCCTCTTCTGGGGTGGGAAGAGAGAAGAAACTTTTTTGCGTCAAACAGGGCAAATAATGTGTTTAGGGAGGGGACTCTCTTGCCAAATGGAGCTGGACTTTGCTGCATTTCATTCAGGTAAAAGTATCCTGCAAGTCAGAATCTTTGCTGTGGCTCCAAACTCTGTGCCAAAATCTCCCTTATGTACACTTTACAGATATTCTTCTAACTGCATCCTGCTTTTGCCTGCAATTGCTTCCCAAAGAGTTGCTCTTGGCCAGTGCATTCTCGTCATAAAGAAATGTTAGTGGCATTTCCCCTCTGTGTGCCATAGCAAGACTATTTCTGGCCAGCAAGGTGTGCCCAGGAAGTCCATGGGGTCTCTCTTTTCAGTTGTGTGGTTAACCTTAACCTCTCTTTCCGTCAAGGAAACCTCTCCTGATAAAACAGCATCGAAACTTGCCAGAATGGAGTTTCCAGGAAACACTGTTGGTTGGAAATTTGTTTCCAAAGGAGTTTTGGCCCTTCCTCCTTGGCCCTGATCCGCTACTTAAAAGCCCGCCCACCCCCCTCCGCTAACCCGGAAAGTATCAGATGGTGTTTTTGGTTAATTCAAAAGAGAATTCTCAGCCTCCACGTGTCTGCTCCTGAGACTGACTTGAACAGAATCATGTTAACTTTCTTAGGTTTTTTCTTGGCTACGCTTCTTCAGCAGGAACAGGTTACTCTTGCTTCCCTTTCAAGCTGAGAGAGCGTAACCTCACTGCTGCATCTTGGCCATTTTGCATTCAGCCAGGGGCCTGGAGTAGCCATAGGTTTATTTATCAAAAAGAGCTATATTGCCCTCAAATGGCTCTTTTGGTCACCACACAGACAAAACAGGGCAAAGGAACCAATTCAAGAGGCAGAAGCACCTGTTGGATTTGTTGCTGTCACATGGGACACCTACAAATAATGGGTTTGTGTGCCAAAAGTTACCTGTGGACACACACACACATTTAAGGAGCCTCTTCTGGAAAGGGCTTCCTTGCTCATGATGTTCCACCTAGAGTTTGAAGGGCCGATGAGGTGCTCTGCACGTGCTCAGGAGCACTTTGCATGGATGGGGGGGGGGGGGCGACAAGGTGAGACCAAACACACTTCCTCCTTGGTGGATCCAGTGGAGATGACATAGTTCATTAAGAGAGCCAGGGATATAGTCAGGCCACTTCTGACCATGTGCAGAGTATAATCTTATCAGAATGAGAAAATGAAGGGTTTGGAAGAGGGAGGGGACACCTGGCCTCAGGAAGGCCTTCCTCTTGCAAGCACCGGTTCCGCCTGGGTAGGGCAGGGAGCCGGATCCGGGGAGGAGGGAGTCAGGCAAGGCCATCGGAGTGGCATCCAAGGCGTGGAGCTGCCTCAGGGCGGAGACCTCAAGGCAGACCCAGGAGGATCGGGAGCAGCAGCCGTCTGGCTGGGAAAAGCATGTCAGGAGTTGCCCATGGGCTCCTGCAAAAAGCCCTGGGATATCCAGGGGGTTCTCTACCTGAGCCCTACTACTGTACTCCTGCTTCTACTGTTGCTGTTTCTGCAGGTAAGGGAACATGGGCATCCAGGTGGGCATCTTTCCCATGTGGAGGGAAGGGTGCCTGGCCAATGGAGATGCTCAGGAGGGACTGTTTTGAGACTGCTTCCTTGCTCATCCCTCTGGCAGGGGGTCCTACTAGATGCCCTTAGGGGTCCCCTCTACTTCTGGAAGCAAAACCATTAACGTGCCCAGCAGGGAACAGCTTCCTGGTGCTTTTGTTTGCCCAGAGGGAGCGGCTTGAGGCAGGCAAGACTGGAAGCAGGAGGGTTGGCTGGCTGGATGCCCAGGGTGTTTGCAAGGGCCTCCACTGCCACTGAAAGGGACCCCCAAAAAAGAAAAGGAAAACTTTCCCAACGACTGGTTGGCCCTTCATATGAAAGCAAGACAACGGCTGTGCAACCCTTGCGTAAGAAAACCCTACAAAATGCATGAGTTTTGCCATATTTCCAAAGGGGCACATGCATACACAGGTCAACATGCTAAAGAAAGCCCTTGAGTTGAGAAATGCCACCAGTTTCCCAAAAGTCCTTCAGCAAAAGGGGGGGGGGGGAATGTAGCCTTCGTAGGACAATGAAGACCCAGGAGAAGAAGCCCTTGCCCTAACTGACCCCACCAATTCCTTGAGAAGTGAAAAAATAGCTGGAAGACGCAAAATTGGGAAGACTAGTCACTGCTCTTTTCTGGTTCCTTGGAAGACCCCTGCTCCTGAGTTCCAGAGTTCCTGCTCTTGGCCTCACCTCTCTTGCCTCCTCTCCCCAAATCCCCTTCAGTCTCTGGCCGGGAGCCCCACCGTTGTGGCCCCTGACTCGCTGGTCTTTATCTCCACACTGGACGGGAGCCTCCACGCCGTGAGCAAGACGACGGGTGACATCGCTTGGACCCTGAAGGACGGTGGGTGCAAATAAGAAGGGCCCAGGAAAGGGCGGGTGTGTCACACAAGAGTCCAGTGGGTACCACAGATTTATTTATTTCTTTATTTACAATATTTATAGCCCACCTTTCTCAGCAATACGGCGACTCAAGGCGGGTTACAGATTGGCACAATTCAATGTCAGGCATTCATAAAAATTCCATTAAAAACAATCAACATTACAATATAAAACATATAAAGATCATTAAAGCATATAATCATCAGTGTCATCCTGTTAAAAACGTTACCCATGGTCATTCCATGTTCATCATTCATAGTTCTGTGTTATCTATTCTGCTGCATTCTCAAAAGCTTGCTCAAAGAGCCAGGTCTTTACTCTTTCTTTCTTTTTTTTTTTTTTTTTTTTTTTTTGGGAAAGTCAGGAGGGAGGGGGCAGATCTAATATCCCTGGGGAGGGAGTTCCATAGCCGGGGGCCACCACTGAAAAGGCCCTGTCCTTTGTCTCAGATGTGCATCCTTCGCCAGGAAAGGAAGGACGGACAGGCCAAAAGGGCTCGAGATCTACACGATTTGTGGATATTGGAGTTTTCCCCAGTGGGTGCAAAAATGAGGGGCAATTTGAACCAGAGATGCCTTCTGTTCTAATCTGGGGTCTGCCTTGTCTTTCTCGATTCTTATTTCAGACCCAGCTCTGCAGGCTCCGATCGATGTTGGAGCCCAGTGAGTAAAACATGGCTGGAAATTCAGGTTTGGCACCAACCAAAGGAAGGGGATCCAGGCCCAGAAAGGGACACAGATTTGTGGGGCTCAAGGACTGTTTTGGGGGAGCAAATGGGCTGCCAGGATAGACTGGCAATAGGCTGGCAGGTTTGCATATGTACAACTGTGTGTGTGTGTACAACGGTCAGCTTCCTTTGCCAGAAGGAGTCCTTTTAGTGCAAAATGTTTGCACTGCAGTCTTTTATATTCCAATGAATACAAAGGCTACCCAGACCTTCTCAATGGCCCTATTTCTTAACCCACTTTTCCCGCTCTTTCCCAGTTTCTCTCTCTTCCTTCCACTTTCCCCCTTTGTCCTTGGCGTACTTCAGTTTCCACAGACTGACTTCAAAATGTCAACAAGGAAAGGACAGATGATGCCATATTTCTACAATTGTAAGATGCCATCGATTGTAAGACTCACTCTGATCTCAGTGCCATCACCACTGACAAAAATCCATAAGATACACACCTACAATTAAGATACACTCCATCTTTAGAAATGTATATATTGTGGGAGTGAGTCTTAGAATCGAAGAAATGCAGTATTTTAGTTCTTCCCAGTTGGCTCAGGCAAAAGCAAACTGCTGCAGCTTCTCCCAGCCTTGGCTTTTCTTTCCTATTGATTTATTTACGACATTTATACTTGCTTACTTACTTACTTACTTACTTACTTACTTACTTACTTAGGCGATTATGGTCCTCCAAGTGTAGTCCTGGCAGTGGGTCCGTAGATGACTGTGGAGCCCTATTCTTGACCTGCATCTTCTCCTGCAGTGAGGGCATCGGTTTCCAGGTGGAAGGCGATCCCAGTTGGGGTTAGCTTGACGTGCCTTCCTCTTGGCACGTTTCTCTCTTTCGCCCTCCATTCATGCCTCTTCAAATTCTACAGCACTGCTGGTCACAGCTGACCTCCAGCTGGAGTGCTCAAGGGCCAGGGCTTCCCAGTTCTCAGTCTCTATGCCAGAGTTTTTAAGGTTGGCTTTGAGCCCATCTTTAAATTTCTTTTCCTATCCTCCAACATTCCGTTTTCCATTCTTGAGTTTAGAGTAGAGCAACTGCTTTGGGAGACGGTGGTCGGGTATCCGGACAACGTGGCCAGTCCAGAGGAGTTGATGGCGGAGGACCATCGCTTCAGTGCTGGTGGTCTTTGTTTCTTCCAGCATGCTGACATTTGTCCGCTTGTCTTCCCATGAGATTTGCAGGATTTTTCGGAGGCAGCGCTGATGAGGTCGCCCTTCTCACACCGAAGGGGACTCAGAGTGGCTTACAAGATATATATACATGCAATATATTATATTGTATTGTCGAAGGCTTTTATGGCCAGAATCACTGGGTTGTTGTAGATTTTTTCGGGCTATATCGCCATGTTCTAGAGGCATTCTCTCCTGACGTTTCAACTGCATCTATGGCAAGCATTCTCAGAGGTAGTGAGGATGCTTGCCATAGATGCAGGCGAAACGTCAGGAGAGAATGCCTCTAGAACATGGCCATATAGCCCGAAAAAACCTACAACAACCCAATATATTATATTATTAGCATAGTACAATATCAGTATTAAATATTACTATATTGTACTATACCATTATATTGTAATATTATTAGTAATATTACATATAATATAAATATATAATTATAATTTATTATTATTAGTATTATATTGCATTATATGATAATATTATAAATATTATATGTATATACAATATATTATATTATATTACATTATATTATACTAGAGACAAGGTGGAACTTCATAGATATGCATTGAGGTTGCTTGGCCAGATGTGCCTCAGTTTTCATGCATTAATATTTGGGGGATCCCACGTGATGGCCAACATGGAACCATTTTCTTCTCCAGGCCAGCCTTCCTTCCAGACCCAAATGACGGCAGTCTCTATGTTGTGGGGGGCAAGAACAAGGAGGGCCTGATGGTGAGTGGGATGGAGCCTGGGTGCGCGGTGTTGGGGGTCTCAAGGGGGACCCCTTTGACTCTCTCCTTTGCTGCCCTCTTCTTCAGAAGCTGCCTTTCACCATCCCGGAACTGGTCCAGTCCTCTCCCTGCCGGAGCTCCGATGGCATCATCTACACAGGTACAAGGAGAAGGGGATCACAGCACAAAAGACTCCCAGAAGTGTTGTTAAAGGCTTTCATGGCCAGAATCACTGAGTTGTTGTGCATTTTCCATGCTGCACAGCCATGTTCCAGCAGCATTCTCTCCTGATGTTTCACCTGCATCTGTAGCTAATGGCATCTTCAGAGATTCTGTTGATAGTGAAACAAGAGGAGTGTATATATACCTGTGGAATAATGTCTAGAGTGGGAGAAAGAACCTTGTCCGTTTGAACCAAGTGTGAATGTTGCAGTTAGCAAGCTTGAATGGCACTGAATAGCTATGAAGCTTTGAAGTCAATCAGGAAGGGTATCTGGCCCAAGTTGTGAGTTGAGAGCTCTCCTCTTTTTCCAGGGAAGAAGGAAGATGTCTGGTTCGTGGTGGATCCCGCCTCAGGGCAGAAACAGACCATGCTGTCGACAGAGGCCTGGGGGGAGGGCCTGTGTCCCGGCGCCCCACTCCTCTACATCGGCCGCTCCCGTGAGGCCCCCCTTAACTCTCTCTCTCCTTTTGGGGGGCTGGGGGAGACCTCCAAGAAGAGGCGCATCCTTGGCCTCTCTTCACTGGGCTTCATAGCAAGCCTGCCTTTGCTCTGGGGAAACGGGGTGCAAAAGGGAAGCCAGATATTCAGGACAGACTGCCTCTGAACAAGGGGCCTCTATGTTGAGTAGAGTTTTTGGCACCTGGGGAAATGCCATTGCTGCATGCCCTCCGCCTCCCTTTTGGTGTGGAATAGTGTCATTGAACCCTAAAGTTGGAAGGGGCCCCAAGGGCCATCCATCACAATTCTGCCATATAGGAAAACACCATCCAAGCCCTCCCGACAGATGGCCATCCAACCTCTGTTTTATAGAATTGTAGAATCCTAGAGTTGGAAAGGACCCAAAGACTATCCATTCCATCTCTATTCTGCCATAAAGGAAGACACCATCCAAGCCCTCTTGACATGGCCATCCAACCTCTGTTTTATAGAGATAATAATAATAATAATAATAATAATAATAATAATAATAATAATAATCTTTATTTATACCCCACCATCTCCCCAAAGGGGACTCGGGGCGGCTATCATGAGGCCAAGTCCAAAATTAATACAGCAAAGTTAGACACAAAACAACAGAAAAATTACATCAAAAGCAAAAGAAATAAAGTAACAAAATAAAATAAAATAAACAGTGCAAAATAACATAATAAAATCAAACAGAAAAGGCGGACCAAATGCACAAGATAAAATGTTAGAATCCTAGAGTTGGAAGGCATTCCAAAGGCTATCCAATCCATCACAATTCCGCCATAAAGGAAGACACTATCAAAGCCCTCCCGACTAATGGTCATCCAGCCTCTGTTTAAAAACCTTCCAATGATGGAATCATAGAATCCTACGATAGGAAGATACCTCAAGGGCATTTGGTCCAGCCCTTTTTGGCCAGGCAGGTAGATACAATCCAAGCCCGCCCAAAAGATGGCCATCCAACATCTGCTTGGGCTCCAAGCACCAGCCCGTTGCATTGCCAAATAGTGTGCCCCCTGACCTCTCCCCCAAAACCCCCTTCTCTTCTACCCCAGAGTATGTCATCACTATGTACGATACCAAGTCTCGCGAACTGCGCTGGAATGCCACTTTCCTGGACTATTCGGCCGCAGCACCTCTCCCAGACCAGAGCGAGAAGGATGGTGAGCGAAGGGGGAATACAGTGGGGAGAGGTGGGGACTCCTTCTGGGACTTGCCACAAAGCTCTTTGCTATTCATTGATCTTTTTTTCTCTAGAAATACAGTAGACTCTCAGTTAACTGGAACTCTCAAGCAATCAGCTAAATAGATTGAAGAAATAATACTTATTGCATAAGGCATTCACAAAGCTGTTTTTGTAACAGTAAAACAGGGTTAGTAAAGGTAAAGATTTCCCCTGACACAAAGTCTCGTCGTGTCCGAATCTGGGGGGTTGGTGCTCATCTCCTTTTCTAAGCCGAAGTACCGGCGTTGTCCATAGACACCTCCTAGGTCATGTGGCTGGCATGACTGCATGGAGCGCCGTTAACTTCCCACAGAAGTGGTGCCTATTTATCTACTTACACTTGCATGTTTTTGAACTGCTAGGTTGGCAGAAGCTGGGCCTAACAGCGGGAGCTCACCCCGCTCCCTGGATTCAAACCACCAACCTTTTGGTCAGCAAGTTCAGCAGCTCAGTGGTTTAACCCACTGTGCCACCTGGGGGCCCAAAAACAGGGTCACATTCAGTTTATATTTGTCTTCATTTGTTGTTAATGAATGTATTTCAATATAAATAATTAAGTTGAGACAGAGCTTATGGAGCATAGTATTAGTCAGACCTAGATTTAATTGCCACTTTCACGTAACCAGCAACTACATTTACCCAACATTTACCAAACCCCATGGATGCTATTTTTTAAGTCTACTGTAAATCTTTACATATTTGCTAGGACTGGTAACATCTCCCCGTTTCCCAAGCTTTGGATGGCATGCTGCTAATGTCCAGTATTTACTAGGGTGAAGGATGTGGTCAGCTGCTGTAGTCTCACTCTGCTGCCCCTTTCCTCACAGGGGCCAGGACTAACCCTCTGCTCTCCCTCTGTTCTTCTCTTTGCAGAAATTGCTCACCTGGCCTCCAGTGGGGAGGGTCTGCTGGTGGCGGTGTCCCGGGCCAAGGGTGAGGTGCTGTGGATGCAGGACTTGGGGTCCCCAGTGGTGGGGGTCTTTGCCTGGCACCAGGAGATTCTCCACAGGGCCCCGCTCCTCAACGTAGCCCCCGAGAGCCTGCGCTTCCTCCTCCTGCGCTCCCAGCACCTCCGCCTCCTCCACTGGGACTACCATTCCGCTAAGGAGTCCAGCGCCAAGGCCCAGCTGATGTGGGTACATGCAGGGGCCTCTCCAAAAGAGGAAGGGGTGGGGGCAGCTTGGGCACTTGGCAGACTGAAGCAGGGAATCATAGGCTCTGAGAGTCAATAGAGACCCCAAAGGCCATCCAGTCCAGCCCATTTCTGCCAGCCAAGAAGGCACCATCCAAGCTCTCCAAACACATGACCCGCCAACCTCTGAATCATTGGATCTTAGAGTCAATAGGGACCCCAAGGGCCACCCAGTCTAACTTCCTTCTGCCAGCCAGGAAAGCGCCATCCAAGCCCTCCCAACAGATGGCCCTCCAACCTCTGAATCATATGTTCATAAGAGTCGATAGGGATCCCAAGAGCCATCCAATATAACCTCCTTCTGCCAGCCAGGAAGGCACCATCCAAGCCTTCCTGACAGATGGCCATCCAGCCTCTGTTTCAAAGAATCATAAGCTCCTAGAGTTGGAAATGAACCCAAGGCCCATCCAATCCAGTCTCATTCTGCCAGGCAGGAAGACGCCGTCCAATCTCTCCCAACAGAGACCCATCTAGCTTCTGCTAAAAAAAAAAAAACTCCAGAGAAAGAGACCCCCATCACACTCCAAATCCCACAACCAACCGGGATCCAAATCCCAAACTGTCCTATTTTCTTTCTGGGGAGAATCTACACTCAGTCCTCTGCACAGCCAAATTTATCATAAAAGCTGCTCACCTGAGTGATCTCTTTCTCTCACAAAACAGAATCTCTTGTCATGGCAACAAATTTATTTAAAATATTTTTGTAATTTAATTTAATCCGATTTAACCAAACTAATTTTAAGTGCTCAAATGAATTTTCGCGAACTGTTACTGAAGTGTTAGGATAGGGATTTGTGTTTATTGTGTCTTTGTATACTGGTCTTTTGTCTTTTACTGTTGATATGGTTAGAGGACTAATCAATAAACATATAATCTGCCTGCCTGCCTGCCTGCCTGCCTGCCTATAGATAGATAGATAGATAGATCTATCTATCTATCTATCTATCTATCTATCTATCTATCTATCTATCTATCTATCTATCTATCTATCTACTTATCCAAATCCTATACATGGAAGGGACACCCAAAAGCCAACTAGTTCAACCATATTCTTCATACAAGAAGACACAAACCCTCCTGACAGATGGCCATCCAGCCTCTGTTTAAAAATCTCCAGAGAAGGAGGCAATAATGTATTCAACTCTCAAAGAGTCTGACTGTCAGGAAGTTCTTCCTAATGTTTACGTGGGATCTCTTTCCCTGCTATCTGAATCCGTGGCGCCATTGTGTCCTGGTCTCTATGGAGTGGCAGAAAACAAGCTTAGCCCCCCTTCACAATGGGACATCCTTCCAAATATTGAAACATGGCTCTTATCTCCCCTTCTTCTGGTTCTTTTGATTCTTGTAGAAATTGCTTTTCCCTTCCTGCCCTTGCAAAGGCCAAATTTCACCTAAGGTACTTTAGTAGCCCACCTGAAATGCCATTCTGTAGCTGGTGGAGAGTATGAGGAGGGACCCTGGCTGTGCCATCATGTTTCTCCTGGATGTCTAGTTGTTTATTGAAAACTAATCGGGACCCTTTCCTCTTCTGCTGTGTTCTTTCTCCAGGCCAACGCTTTATGTGGGCAAATCCCCACTGGGCTTCTATGCCTTGAAGTCTCTGGTCCATGAAGGAGTGGCTCTGGTGGTGAGCTCCCTCTCTCCTTGGGAAAGGCATTGGTCACTTGGGGATGGGGCAGCGGCCAAAGTGCTGATGGAGCCCCTTGTGCCTTTCCCTGCAGCCCCAGGGGGTCACTCTGGCACGGCTGGAAGGGCCCACCACCAGCGACGTGACGCTGCGAGAGTCCGGCGAGCGCGAGATCACTCCCAGCACCGGCGTCAAGTACCCAAAGGGCAGCATCATCGCTTCTCATCACAGCCAGTGGCTCCTGATCGGTAAGCCTCCCCATTCCTCTCTCTATTGCCCTCCACAGGGGGAAAAATGTGTCCCTGCAGTACTAGGTGTCTATTTGTGGAGAGGTGTCTTTCCCCTCATTTTAGGGCATCTCCTTGCAGCAATTATAATCTCAATTTAGTGCCACTTTAGTCACCTCTGCAAGGGCTTTCTTGATGCCTCTTCACCATTTGTGCTGCCTTGCTCCAAAAAGTTAATATTCCAAAGAAAAGAGAGAGGTACATGTGCAAACCCAGCAACATATACACAGGATTGCTGTGATTTTTTCAGGCTGTATGGCCATATTCCAGTAGCATTCTCTCCTGATGTTTTGCCTGCATCTATAGCTACTGGCATCCTGAGAGGTTCTGTTGGCAATGAAGCAAGTTGAATGTGTGTGTGTTACACACACACACACACACCTGTGGAATGTCCAGGGTGGGAGAAAGAAGCCTTGTCTGTTTAAAACAAGTGTGAATGTTGCAATTAGCAAGTAACCTAGCCCAGGCTACCTCTCTGTGCAGAAACCCTCACAGATTGACTTTGAGCTTCATGGCTACTCAATGCTCATTCACACTTGTTTTAACAGACAAGGGTTCTTTCTCCCACCCTGGACATTATTCCACAGATAGATAGATAGATAGATAGATAGATAGATAGATAGATAGATAGATAGATAGATAGACAGATAGACAGATAGACACTCCACTTGTTTCATTGCCAACAGAATCATAGAATCAAAGAGTTGGAAGAGACCTCATGGACCATCCAGTCCAACCCCTTGCTAAGAAGCAGGAAAATTGCATTCAAATCACCTCTGAAGATGCCAGCAACAGATGCAGGCAAAACATCAGGAGAGAATGCTACTGGAACATGGCCATACAAGCCTTAAAAAACCTCACAGCATCCCAGTGATTCTGGCCCTGAAAGCCTTTGACAACTTATTGAGCATATGCACACTGCAGCTCGTACAGATTCAGCCATTCTCGTCTCTTCTGACCATTCCATCTGAACATTGCAAATTAATTTTTTGGGGACTATGACATCCAGAATCCTCCAATATGCAGAGAAGGATACTGGCTTGGACTATGTTCCACAGTGCACTCTATTCCAGCTGGGATTTCCTTTATCATAGTCACCCTGAACAGCATACAGGCCTCAAGCATCTCCTTCCTTCTTGTATTTGAGTTGGGCATTGAATGTTTGCCATTTTTGTGTGTAAACCACCCTGAGTCCCCTTGGGGAGAGAAGGTGGTCTATAAATAAAGTTTTGTTATTATTCCTTCCTCCTTGTCCTTCCTTCCTTCCTTCCTTCCTTCCTTCCTTCCTTCCTTCCTTCCTTCCTTCCTTCCTTCCTTCCTTCCTTCCTTCCTTCCTTTTGCAGGGCACCATGAGCTCCCACCGGTGGTCCATACTACAATGCTGAGGGCCTTTCCAGAACCCCTGCGGAAGAACCCAGGGACCGTCGCACCTCACAGCTCCCTTTTTGACGAAGTGTGTGAATCCTATTCCAGAACCAGTTTGTGGGGTAGTTTAGTCAGGGGCCCTGAGAGCCAAATCTGACCCAGCCTGGGCTCATCCCACAGCCATCTCCCTTGCCCATATACACTTTTATGCATGGCTTCTCAGTTTGCATGCATATTATTGCCAATCCCCAAAGGTGGAATTCCTTTTAGTTCTTGGCAGAAGACTTTTCAGCGTCCTTGGAAAGCATCTCCAGTGGGAATATCTCATAATGGGAATGGGGCTCATAGCCACAATGGGGTTTCATGTGTCGAGAAGCCATCCCTGGAAACTGCATGAATTGGCCTTTGCCAACATAATCCTTGTTTGGTAATGAGTCTACAAAGCAAAACAGCGAAATGAATACAATTTTTTTTTGGGGGGGGGGGGGCATTGCACATAAATAATATCACGCATGAACGTAAACTTACAGTAATAATCACAAATGCAAAGGGGAATTAAATGTTTGGTAAGATCATACAATAGGAAGCAACCCCAAGGGCTATCCAGTCCAAACTCCTTCTGACAGGCAGGAAGACACATTCAAAACACTCCTGACAGATAGCCATCCAACCTTTGTTTGAAAGCCTCCAGAAAAGGAGATTGCAATAAATGTACCCCAACTCCCCCCCCCATCAAGCCCCTTCCCCTTGTGACACCAGAAGAAGTAGGTGAAGTGTCCTTCATTGGTGCTCCCCCATAAATGCTTCCTTGTGTTTGTTTCAGCTCCTGGAGGAGCCCCCCAACACAGGCGTCCCCTACCGTGGGCCTCTTTCTATGGAAACGGAGCAGGTCAAGGTTCACCCGGAGTCTGGCAGCTGGGAGCCAGTGGCAGCAGGCCTTGTGGCCGTGTTTTGGGGTGGTGGGCTCTTCTTCTTCATGCTTTGGGTGAGTGAGGTGGGCCTTTGGAGGAGGACCCTTGAGGGAGAGAACCTTGTTTGCTCTGGTTCTGGGGAACTGCGGAGTGATGGCGACACTCTCTCTTCCTTTCCGGCTCCAACATTTGCAGCAACAGAACCGCAAGCAGCAGTTGTACCTGGAGCAGCATCTGGAAGAGCGGCTCCAGCGGCTCCAGCAGCAAGTGAACACAGGGTCCCCTCTTGAACCCCACTCCAGGGACCATCTGCCAATGAAAGATTCCAGCCAAGGCCAAGGAGAAACACCAGGGAGTTCCTCAAAGCTGACAGATCAGAGCCTGGGCTCGTCCTCCTCCTCTTCTTCATTGGAACCGGCCAATCAGACACCCAGTCAGAGTCTTCTCCTTGGAAGCACCTGCCCAGGTGGGGTTAGGTGAAACTGAGAAGTTCTCAGTTTCTCCAGAGGATGTGGCCTCACTGCTGTCGGAGGATGTGGCCTCACTGCTTTCCTCAGAGTCCCTCCTCTGTGTCTCCCTTCCCAACAGGCACTGACCCAGAAGACATTGTGGTGGGGAAGATCTCCTTCAGCCCCAAGGAAGTGCTGGGCCGAGGGGCAGGAGGCACCTTTGTTTTCAGGTGAGTGGTAATGGAGCAACGTGTGTGTGTGTTCAAAATGAGCTCCCCTTCCTTCCCCTTCTTTCCCCTCCCTCCTTCCTCTATGTCCTTCCTTCTTTCCTTCCTTCCATTACCTCCTTTCCTTTCCCTCCTCCCCTCCCCTTCCCCTTCCCTTCCTTCCCCCTTTTCTGTCCCTTCCCCTTTCTCTCCCCCAAAGAGAAGCTCTCAGGGACTTTCCACCACAAATAGTCTTTAGATGTGGTTGCCCTCCAACTCTGGAGCACCCTCCCAAAACACATTAGACTAGCACCCACGTTGGCAGTCTTTAGGAAGAACTTGAAGACCTGGCTATTCCGACGTGCCTTTCCAGAATAGGATAACCCAGCACTTTGTCCCAGAAGCACTTTACTAGAGTTTAAGATTCTCTGCACATGGCACTTGCCCAGAATCTCAATATACCTCTTGTCACACCCAGCACTTTTTTAACCTGTACCCATCACTGGCCCGGCCATGGTTTTTATTGTGTAATAGTGTAATGTCTTGCTATTGCTTATGTTTTTAATTTGCTTTGTTTTGTATTGTTTTGTGTTTTACTGCTGTTGTGTTAAGGCCTTGGCCTTTGTAAGCCGCATCGAGTCCCTCGGGAGATGCTAGCGGGGTACAAATAAAGTTTAATAATAATAATAATAATAATAATCCACAGACAGCATTGGAGAACTCAATTTGAGCCAGAACAAAAAAAAATCCTTGCCCAAGTGACCTGGCAAAAATCAAATGCCAATTGCAGAAGACTTCCTTCCTTCCTTCCTTCCTTCCTTCCTTCCTTCCTTCCTTCTTCCTTCCTCCTTCTTCCTTCTTCCTCCTCTTCTCCTTCTTCTTTCTTTCTTTTTCTTCCTTCCCCCTTTCTACCTACCTACCTACCTACCTACCTACCTACCTACCTACCTACCTACCTACCTTCCCTGTGCAAGAATCCATTACTTTACTTCAATCTGCTTTAACTCTTGGGGTCTGCATCCTTCTCCCGATCCTCCCCTTCTCTAGGGGCCGCTTTGAGGGCCGTCCGGTGGCGGTGAAACGCCTGCTGCCTTCCTGTGTATCCCTGGTGGACCGTGAGGTGCAGCTGCTCCGGGAGTCAGATGAACACCCCAATGTTGTGCGCTATTTCTGCACAGAGGCTGACCAGCAGTTCCGCTACATCGCCATTGAGCTCTGCTCTGCCACATTGCAAGAGGTGAGCAGCCAGGGCTTTCAAAGCGGGGATGCTCTGGGTTCAAGGCACAGTGCCCCCCTCTCTTCCTGGGGATCAGGAGATGGGTGCACCCCCCTCTGGGCCTCCTTCCCCAAAGGGGTCCAGGACCCAGGGATCTGGTCCATGAACTACCTCTATGTGTGTAGAGGTAGAGGTAGTTGTGAGGTGCACAAGAAGCACAAGTCCTGTCCTCTTGCCTCATTGGGTTCCCGTTTGCCGCTCGTGGAAATATTCAAGGCTGAAAGCAAACATTGTTTCTGTCCATGAAAAAGGTGGGTTGCTGTTCTTCCTTTTGACAAAACCCACCTCCATCTATTGAGCATAGGACTCCAAAGAAGGAAATATCATTGTGTATTGTACCTGCTTTGTTTGTTTTTCCCAATTAAGATTTCCTCCTGATTGTATTCTCTTTTGCATTTGTAGTATGTGGAGACCCCAGACTTCCCACGGCGAGGCCTGGATCTGAAAACAGTGCTTTACCAAACCATGTCTGGCTTGGCTCACCTCCATTCCCTTAGTATCGGTAAGAAGGAGCAAGCAATTAACTGGGGCCTTTTCCTCATTTAGTACCCCAGCTTCATTCCTTGGGTTTTCTGGGCAGGATTTCGCCTCCGTTGCCTGCCTCAAAGACTGAGAGAGCGTGACTTGCATAACATTGAAACCCTGGGATCTAACACTCTAACCCTGACACTCCTCAAAGGTTTATTCTGGGTAATGTTTTCTTAGAGGAGGATTGCGAGAGAGTGTGACCTCCTTTCTCTCATGCTGTTCTTCCTCCAGTCCACCGTGACCTGAAGCCCTGCAACATCCTGGTCTCATCCCCCGATGCTCACTGCCGGATCCGTGCAGTCATCTCTGACTTTGGCCTTTGCAAGAAGCTCCAAGGGGGCCGCCAGAGCTTCAGCCTCCGGTCAGGGGTCCCGGGAACCGAGGGATGGATTGCACCAGAGCTGCTGAGGGAGGACCCCACAGAGAACCCCGTGAGTGCGGCAGTGAGGAGAGAGCTATTCCATTGCATTCTAGGCCCTTCTCCGGCTACTCCAAGGCCAACATTTACATCAGGGTGGTCAGGTACCAGGGACAAGCAGTTCCAATAGTGCAAAATGGATAGTCACCTGATGGAGTGCTTTGTGGTTTTCCTGCATGGCTTGGCAGGTCTTTTCCAACTCTAGGAGTCTATGATATATCTATCATATGTGTATGTAAGCATATGTATATGCAGTAGAATCTTGCTTATCCAACCCTCGCTCATCCAATGTTCTGTAATGTCCAACGCAGTCTGCCTCCCACTTCGATCCACAGCTGTTTCAATACCTTGCGATGTTTTGGTGATAAATTTGTTAATTCAGTAATTACTACGTAACGTTACCATGTATTGAACTGCTTTTCCTGTTGATTTATTGTAAAACATGAGGTTTTGGTGCTTAATTTGTAAAATCATAACGTAATTTGACGTTTAATAGGCTTTTCCTTAATCCCTCTTTATTATCCAACATTTTTGCTTACCCAACGTTCTGCCAGCCCGTTTATGATGGATAAGCGAGACTCTACTGTATATCTATATCTCGACTACCTGTATTTACTCTGGTGTAATGCGCCACTGAATCTCATGCGCATCTCCACTTTCAAAATCCTGAAACCGAAAAAAAGGATTTGCTGACTAATATAATGCACAGCAGCAAAAGGTGACCTGTTTGTAATATGGCCCATACAGTTGCTCCCTGCTTAAAATTCCTTCTCTAAAAACAAAAGTATTAGGACAACAAAGCTTCCAGCTATGGAAAAGGAAAACCTTGGGGTACATCTGTGCTGTAGAATGAATCCTCTTTAACTGCCTTGATTCAGTGCTATGGAGTCATGGGGGGGGGGGGTGGTTTTACAAAATCTGGGGCCTTCTCCACCAAAGAATGCTGGCACTTCAGCATACTACAAATCCCAGGATTGCATCGCATTGAGCCCTGGCCATTAAATTACAGATGACACCCCTCAAAGAGGAGTTTCAGGTGCATCTCCTGAAGCTGCTCTTTGCCTTTGGCTCAGCACTAAGATTACCATATTATGAGATTTTAATGCACATCCTAATTTTGTCAAGATGATTTAGCCGAAAAAGTGAGTACAGTATATCTGTCTGTCTGTCTGTCTATTTGTCTATTAACTCCTTCTCTCTCTTGCAATCATATCTATGGTTAGATGATCATTTGCCAGGTGGGTTTAGATTGTGCCATCCTGCCCAGAAGAAGGAGGTTGGGCTGATTGGCCAAGTGGGAATGAGCCAAGGATGGTGCCATGGGGAATGAAATAGTCTGGCCCTCTGGGGAGCCCTTTGGGGCCAGATTGAGAAAGTTCCCTATCCTGGGATGGAAGCCCTTGATTTGGATCCTGGTAAACCAAACAGTTTCCCAATTACTGGTTAATTCCCGGCAGACCTGCGCGGTGGACCTCTTCTCTGCCGGCTGCGTCTTCTACTACGTTGTGTCCGGCGGGCGGCACCCCTTTGGACAGAGCTTCCGCCGCCAGGCCAACATCCTGTCCGGGACCTACAGTCTGGAGCAACTGCAGCAGGAGAGCCACGGTGAGGATCGGGTACCATGGATTTGGCCCTACTGGGATCCTCTTCCAGCCAGTGTAGAGGGCCAATCTGGGCAGGGTGCATCTGGGTTCAAGTGGCCTGTGGTTCCGCCTGCCCAGCATATCAGGGACAGTCACCCTCTGGATGTGCTTGTACTGCAACTCCCATCCACTGTAAACATTTTGGTAGTCCACCAAGGTCTGGAAGGATACAAGAGGTCACTTATTTAGAGACTGAATTGTGCTCCTAATTCAAAGTGTTGTTATCTCAATTCAACACTGAATAATCCACATTCACTTAGTCTTCATCCATCAGCACTATGGGTCTAATAGTATTACTGGCTTGTTTTGCAGGAATGTTATAGCAGTCATGAAAGGTTTTGTAATGCACTTGATTTGTCTTAACCTACTTGTTATGCTTCTGTCCCAAAGACAACATTGTGGGACGAGATCTGATAGAAGCCATGATTGACAGTGACCCCCATTTGCGTCCCTCAGCCGCCCAAGTCCTCCTGCACCCCTTTTTCTGGAACCTCGAAAAGCAGCTGCAGTTCTTCCAGGTCAGACCCCCAAAGCTATAATATGCTCCCTACATTAAGAGGCAGACCGCTTTTAACCTGATTGCTGTTATTTATCTATGAATCCATGATACATTTACGGATTAAAATGCATTCAGGGTTTTCAATAGAGAACAATGTAGAAGACTGGCCTTGGGTTCAAGGTTCTCGACAGGTCGTGGAAACTCATTGGGTGACTTTGGGCAAGCAGCAGTCTCTTGAATAGATCTTCCCAAGAGATCTCTATGTTACGTTTGCCATAAATCAGAGTCAATTCGAAGGTGCATTTCTGTTTCTATATTTTCTTTCACCTTTGATTTGGTCCCAGGATGTCAGCGACCGTATTGAGAAGGAGCCAGCGGAGGGACCCATTGTCAGTGCATTGGAAGATGGGGGCCACGAAGTGGTGCGGGGCGACTGGCGGTCCCACATCTCCCTCCCGCTGCAGACAGGTATGGTCTCAAAGATAGCCTTGGAAACCCCAGACTGCCCCTCAAACCCACTATAGGATATTTTCTCTTGTCTTTCTTTCTTTTCTTTTCTTCTTCCACCACAGACCTCCGCAAGTTCCGGACGTACAAAGGCCACTCCGTACGCGACCTCCTCCGGGCCATGAGGAACAAGGTAGCCCTACTGCTGACCCTCAGCCAAGTTGCAGAAATTAAAAAGGGGCTGAATATATGAGCCCATGAAAGGGGGCTGGTGGGCAGTATAAAAAAGGTAAAAGTTTCCCCTCACATTAAGTCTAATTGTGTCCGACTCTGCGGGGTGGTGCCCATCTCCTTTTTTAGGCTGAAGAGCCAGCGTTGTCTGTAGACACCTCCTAGGTCATGTGACCTGCATGACTGCATGGAGTGCCATTACTTCCCCACAGAAGCGGTACCTATTGATCTACTCACATTTGCATGTTTTCGAACTGCTAGGCTGGCAGAAGCTAAGGATAACAGTGGGAGCTCACTCTGCTCCCCAGATTCGAACTGCCAATCTTTCAGTCAGCAAGTTCAGCAGCTCAGCAGTTTAACCCAGTGCACCACCAGTGGGCCCAAACATAGTGCAGTGGGCAGTATAAAGCACCTATATTCCCCAACCATTGGTCTTCATAGAAATGCCTTCAAGTCATTTCTGGAGACCCAAAGGCATGGGCTTTTCGTGGTAAGATTTGTTAACAAGAGGGGGGTGTATTTTCTTTCCTCTATTATTATTTTATTTACTTCTATCCAGCTTTCTCTCTCTTAAAAGAAACCCAAAGTGGCTAACATTCAAAACCACTGACACTCTGTATGGTTGAGAGTGACTTGGGGTGCATCTGCACTGCAAAATTATCACAGTTTGGCTCAATGCTGTGGAGTTGTAGTTTTGCAAGGCCTTTATTTTATAGAAAAAAACATTTTAATACGCAACTTTTATAGAAATATATTTTAATAAGTGTATTTGTAGTATTCTTACAATGTTTATGTGTTTTAATTATTCTGAAACCCGCCTCAAGCCACCAGGACAGGCGGGTAAGACATGAAATTATTATTATTATTATTATTATTATTATTATTATTATTATTATTATTGTCAACAACAATCTCTGCCAAATAGGGCCTGTTCCTCAGCAAACTGCAAATCCCAGGGTTCCATAGCAGTTAAAGTTGGGTCAAATTGCATTAACTGTACAGTGAAGATGAACCCTCATCTCCAAAGAAATAATAATAACAACAATAATAATAAACCGCACAACAATCCACTGCTCAAGCCGCCCTGCCACTCTGTGATCTCAGATCCTCTGTAATCCAGAACTGTCACCCAGTATCTTAGAAATAATGGAGAGAGGTAGGTAGGGTTTGGTGGCTCAAATCCTCTGCTGGAGGAGCAATGAATGGCTAGTCTCTCTGTGTCTCTGCAGAAGCATCACTACCACGAACTGCCTACTGAAGTGCAAGAAGCCCTGGGCCACGTCCCGCAGGGGTTTGTCCACTATTTCACAAGTCGCTTCCCTCGACTGCTGCTGCACACGCACCGAGCCTTACACTCCTGCTCCGGAGAGGGGCCCTTGCGGAGGTATTACGGTCAGGAGCCACACTGAGGAAGAACCCCAATGAACCGCTGGGACTGGATGGTTTAGGGGAGGAGAAGCCCCAATGTATGGACAGTGGCAGCTCTCCATGACATACACACAGAGGCCAAGCCATGAGCATGGTGCCCGCTGGTCACAGGGAAGCCATTTTGGTCAATGGGACCACCATCCCACTCCGAGGGGTCAGTTGAGCTCAGCACAAACCAAACCAGAACTGTGTTGTCAAAGGTTTTCATGGCCGGAATCACTGGACTGCTGTGAGTTTTTTGAGCTGTACAGTCATGTTCTGGCAGCATTTTCTTCTGATGTTTCACCTGCATCTGTGGCTAATGGCATCTTCAAAGGTTTTGTTGGCAGTGAAGCAAGTGGAGTGTGTGTATCTCCGTTGAATGTCCAGAGAGGCCGAAAGAACCACTGTCTGTTTAAAGCAAGTGTGAATGTTGCAATAAGTGAACTTGAATAGCATTGAGTAGCCATGAAGCTGCAAAGTCAACCAGTGTGGTATCTGCATAGAATAGCCTGGCCTTTGTTGCCTGGAGACACCCTCTGTTTGGGAGGTGTTAACTGACATTTGTTTGTTAGCTGTCTGTAGTTCTCCTGTTTATGAGCGGTATTCATTATTTACTGTCTCAATTCTGGTCTTTTTTAGTAGTATTAACCAGATTTTGTTCATTTTTATGTAGCTTCATGACTACTCAATGCTATTCAAGCTTGCTAATTGCAACATTCACACTTGCTTGAAACAGACAAGTGTTCTTTCTTCCCACCTTGGACATTATTCCACAGATATGTATACACTCCACTTGCTTCATTGCCAACAGAACCTCTGAAGATGTCATTAGCCACAGATGCAGGCAAAACATGAGGAGAGAATGCTGCTGGAACATGCTTATACAACTACTTAAACCAAAACTCTCCCTAGAAGCCAAAATGCTCAACTCAGGCTACTGTATGTTGGACATATTACTGGAAAATGAGAGGTTGCTTACCTGTAACCGTAGTTTCCCTAGTGTTGTGCTGTGAATTCACACTAATGGTACTCTCTCTGCGCATGCGCAGTCTCATCCGGAATCTTCAGTTGAAATTTAAAAGAAAAAGCGGTTGGCCCCGCGCACACTCCCCAAGATAGCATAAATAGCCCGCGGCAGGCCAACCGCCTCCAGATCTCTTCCGCCGCCAAAGCAGCCAGAAGGAGGAGGCATGACAAACTGCGGGGAGGATGGGCGGGGCCGTGCGAATTCACAGCACAACACTAGGGAAACTACGGTTACAGGTAAGCAACCTCTTATTTTCCCTACGTGTCTGTGCTGTGAATACGCACTAATGGTATAGACTAGCGAGCTACCCACCTTGGATGGCGGGAGTCATGCCACCGCAGAAAAAAGCACTGCTCGACCCAACGCCGCATCCTTCTTCGCCATCAAATCAAGCTTATAATGTGAAACAAAAGTCAGCGGCGTTGACCATGTGGCAGCTCGACAAATAACGTCCAAAGGAACACCTCTCCAAAATGCTGCCGTAGTAGACACTGCTCTCGTGGAATGCCCTCTCACTGCAGAAGGAATCTCACGCCCAGATTTCTGGTAAGCCAACTTGATAGCAGAAACTATCCATGACGAGAGACGTTGCGATGACACAGGGGAACCACAAGAGTCTTTCCTATACTTCACAAATAACCTAGGCGTTTTCCTTATGTCCTTAGTTCTACTAAGGTAAAACGCCAACGCCCTGCGGACATCTAGCAAATGGAGACTACGCTCCAGAGGAGAGTCTGGATTCTGGAAGAAGGATGGCAAAATAATATCTTGCGACATATGAAAATGAGATGTCACCTTGGGAAGAAAGGCAATGTCTGTACGAAGCACTACTTTATCCCTATGGAACCGGAGGTATGGTTCATCTGATCTAAGTGCGCAAAGTTCGCTAACGCGCCGAGCCGATGTTATTGCCACAAGAAAGGAAGTCTTCCAAGAAAGATGAGAAATATCGCACGTGGCCATAGGCTCGTAAGGCGCACTTTGAAGAGATGAAAGCACGATCTCCAAACTCCATGATGGAATAACAGGGGCAACTGCTGGTTTAACATTCCCGTAACCCCTGAGGAAGAGTTTAACTAAATATTCCCCAAAAAGGGAGGGCAAACCGACTTTCCTTCTGTACCATGAAATGGCAGCGAGGTAACACTTTAAGGACGAGATAGACAAACCTAAATTTGATAATGAAACTAAAAAGTCTAACACTGCCGAAATTGGCGCTCTAACAGGGTCACAGCCCCTACTTAACATGAACTTTGAGAAACGAGCCCACTTATAAACATAAGAACGTTTAGTAGACGGCTTTTGCGCCGCATCCAAAATAGCCCTAACTGGACTAGACAAACCTAAGGAAGGGTCTAATGATTCGGGACAATTCTCCACGCAGTGAGCCTCAACACATGAACGTCCGGGTAGCAAACCCTTCCGTCCTGTAAAGTCAGAAGGTCTGACCTGCTCGACAGGCGCCTGTACCTCCCGTTGGACATCCCGAGAAGAACCGAGAACCATGGCTGACGAGGCCACCATGGTGACACTAGGATACAGTTCCCTCCGTCCCTCCTTAACTTCGAAAGGACCTTCGCCAATAGGGGAAACGGAGGAAACGCGTAGAGGAAATCCCCTGACCACTTGAGAAGGAACGCATCCCCCAGACATCCCTGCGCTAGATTGGGCCTTCTGCGTGCACAGAAAAGGGGACATTTCGCGTTCTCTCTCGATGCGAATAGGTCTATTTTCGGAACCCCCCAGATCCCGAAGATCATATTGAGTTCCCTTTGATTGAGAGACCACTCGTGGCTCGACATGGGCGTCCTGCTCAGCGTATCCGCCAAAACATTCTCCTCCCCTGGGAGGTGAATGGCCATCAGATATATCTTTCTCACTATGCACCAGTCCCAAATACGCATTGTCAACTTCGACAGAGTCTGGGACCGTGTTCCCCCTTGCTTGTTTATATAGAACATTGTCGTTGTATTGTCTGTTATCACTTGCACTACCTCGCCCAACAACTCCATCTCGAAGGATTTTAGTGCCTTTTCCACTGCGAGCAGTTCCAGTACGTTTATATGGAACTTGGCCTCTTCCGGAGTCCAAAGACCTCGGGCAGTAAGTCCATTGAAATGCGCTCCCCACCCTCTTAAGGAGGAATCCGTCGTGACAACACTCGACGGTTCGGGAAGCTGAAAAGGCAGGCCTACAGTAACATTGGCAGGTTCTTTCCACCACAATAGGGAAGTCCGCACTTCCTCTGGCACACGGAACCGCACATGGGGGTCGTCTAGGCCAGGACGGAACACAGACAGGAACCAATTTTGGATGGGTCTGAATCGCAAGCGAGCATACGGCGTGACCGCTGTTGTAGAGGCCATATGCCCCAGTAGTACTTGAATTGTCTTTGCTGACACTTCCCCTGAACACAGAATTTGCACAACCAGAGACTTGAGCGACGCGAAACGGTCCTCTGGTAGAAACGCCTTCTGGTAAGTTGAGTCCAAGACGGCTCCAATAAACTGAATTCTGCGGGCAGGTAATAGGTGGGACTTCTCTCTGTTCACCACGAGACCTATGGACTGGAGAAGAGAGAGAACTGTGTCAACATGCACACGCAGGCGGTCACATGAACTCGCTACCAACAGCCAGTCATCTATATACGGATAAACCGTAATGCCCCTAGTCCTGAGATGCGCAGCGACCACCGCCATGCATTTTGTAAAAACTCTCGGGGCTGTGGTAAGGCCAAATGGCAAGACGTTAAAATTAAAGGCCCTGTCTCCAACCATGAAAGCAAGATATTTTCTGTGATGCTCAGCTATGGATATGTGAAAATATGCGTCCTTTAAATCAATTGATGCGTACCAATCATCTTTATTCAAAAAAGGAAGGATCATAGGGAGAGAAATCATACGAAACTTTCTCGAATCAATATACATGTTCACTCCCCGTAAATCTAATATTGGACGCAAACCTCCACCTTTTTTGGTCACTAAGAAATAACGAGAAAAGTAACACCTATTGAACATTGAAGAGTGAACGCGCGAAATCGCGCCCTTACTCAATAACTTCTCAATCTCTTCCAGCAAAGCTGGGGATTCGGGAGTAACTCTTAACTGTCCCAACGGGGGCCGAGACTTGAATTCTATGGAATAACCATACTGAACAATTTGGAGGACCCAACTATCGGTTGTTATCGCGGCCCAAGACCGCGCAAACGGTCTAAGCCTATCTTTAAACAAAAAACACCCAACTGGTTCAGAAGGTATAGACTGATAAGAACCGAACAGTAGTGGAACAGAAACAGATGGTTCGTCAAAGACGACGTCTGGGATTCCCTGCAGCCTTAGCCTTGTTCTGGCTATACGGCTGGTACCTAGGCTTAGCACCAAAACTCTGCCTACGGTTATATTGGAATTTTGATGAGGCATTTCGATTGTTCTGAGTCGTATTATATCCACTGTAATTGGACTTACGATAGAAAGGGGCTGACTGCTGCCAACGAGGCTTCTGCTGGCCACCAAGCTGCCAAGAGTAAGAGTATGGATAGGGATACTTAGCTGCCTGCATAACCTCCCGTGAATGTTTAATTTTCTCATCCGTTGCTGGGTCAAAAAGACCTTCCTCATGCAGTGGAAGGTCTTCTGCCAACAACCTACTCTCCTCTGATAGTGAAGATGCACGCAACCACGCATGACGACGTATGGCTGTGGCCGTGGCGAGGAGCTTCCCAGATGTCTCGGCCATATGTTTAGCAAAGGTTTTTTGAAATTTGGAAAGAACAAGAGCCTCAGCCTGAAAAGCCTTAGGAAGACGGCGGTCTTCAGTAGGCAGAAGATGGATAAAAGGTAGCATCTTATTCCAGAGAAAACTCTGGTATCCACTCATGTAGGTGGCATAATGAGCCATCCTAACGAATAACCCCGCAGCTACATGCACTTTCTTCCCAAGGGAATCTATCTTTTTTCCTTCTTTGTCTGGTGGCGACACAGAATATTTCTTAGGTCTCCTAGACCTAGCTGCCTCCGCCACCACCGTATTAGGAGCAGTGGGGCGGGCAATCCAATTTGCTGTTGAAAGATCTACTTTGTAGAAAAGGTCAACCCGCTTAGGAATAGCTGGGGCAAGCGACGGGGAAATATCAGGGACCTTTGTCAACTTTAGCAAATATGGCAGTGTTGGGAGTAGTGTAGAAGGGGAAGTGTCCTGTTCCTCAGGCGTAAACATGGTCATCCACTGCAGAAACAGGTTTGGGAGCAGGGATGCTCAATGCGGTTATCATCCTCCCAA